GAAGTGCATTGCCCTGGAGTTAGCTGTGGTTCGCCTTTATGCATAAGGATGCGTGTCAGTTAGGAAGGGCATGTGCCACATGTCACCTTCTAGTGTAACCCAGAAATAATTAACATGTCTCTGAACTAGCCTGTGCTCTAACTCGGAAGCTTGACCTCACTCGAACGTCCATGAACTATTTCTATTCTTTGTAACAATTTTATCCCACATAATTTCTTTTTTTATATATATACACATATATATATATTTTTTAATTTATTTCTAGGAGAGAGAGAGAGACAGCGTGCGCAGGGGAGGGTCAGAGAGAGAAGGAGATACAGACTCCAAAATAGGCTCCAGGCTCTGAGCTGGCAGTCAGCACAGAGCCTGACGCGGGGCCCGAACCCACGAACCGCGAGATCATGACCTAAGCGAAAGTCGGACGCTTAACCGACTAAGCCACCCAGGCGCCCCATATCCCAAATAATTTCTAAAGTGGTCTCCTTTCCATTTTTTCTGTTCCTTGAAAAGAGATTGGGTTCTCCGCCTTCAGTTCCAACCGAACACCTTATAATCATTTTTTAAAAATGGCTTCTCTTGAGTAATGATCGTTAAGGAACTCACTGGCAGGAACAAAAACAAATGTTAAAAAAGCAAAAACCCCAAAAACTAGAAAGAATAAGTACGAGGACACCAGGGAGGGAAGAAGTTAAAGACTGATATGTGACTTATTTGCTGCCCCACAAAATGAAGGGAATGAGCTTTTAAATGCAGCACCTCATTTTTATGTGGCTGTGACCCCAAATCAATCCTTTTAGTGTAGGTGTGGGACATGTTGTTACCTTTTCCAGCAGTTTAGATGGCCTTTGGTTTTTACTGGTTATTCTGAGAATCTCAATGCCTGGAAGGATCTCATGGGCAAAATAAATTTGCTTTCCCCCCTGTATATTTGTTAGTTTATCGCAGCTTCCATTTTCCTCTTATTTTGAAAAGCAGAAATGCCGTTTAGTCATGCTAGGTGTGCTCCTTGTTCATGAAAGCCAGGGAAGAGGCTCCCTTCCTTTTCTCCCACAGCTCCATAATTAGAAATTTGGTAACTGTACTAAATTTTAAGTTTTGGCATTTGCGTGGAGCAGCCATCCATCTGCTGGCGAGACGCACTGCCCAGGGCTTTTCAAGAAATCCCTTAATAGTCCTAAACACTAATAATATTTATATACATTGAGAAGAGACAAAATTTACAGCAAGCTTCTGGGGCTGACTCCAGGACTCTCTAATCCTGAACTTCCTGCGTGTTCTCCTGCCTCCCAGAATCCTCTGATGGTGCCGCGGCTGGGGGAACACCAGCCTCTGCCTCTGGAGCAGCCTCTTTAATTTAGAGTTTGTTCTCCAGCAAACAAGTGACCTCTCCTCTCTCCTCCATCCCCGTCACACCCCGTTTCTATTCCCCTAGAATATTCAATCAGTATGAGGCATGCAGCTTGGATCCTGAAACACGAAGGAACCCCTTGATTTGGGATCCCTTTAAGAGGCATTGTTCTGCCTGTAAATAACATGATTTTACCTAATTTAAGCTGTACTGAAATTCCTTGTGAAGTAGCTCCCATCACTGATTACCCAGCCTGTGTGCTATTTGTGGCAAGAACTGACCGACCATGCAGATCCATGTAATGTACTCCTGTGAAGGGTCTCAGTGGACCACTGCCCAGAGATGCTGTTTCCACCAGAATGGGGAACGGAATGCAAAATAAAGCTGCAGATACTTTTTTTTTCTTTTCTTTCTTTCTCTTACTGGAAATGCCCAACATTTGCATTTGGGTATAACTGATTCCCAACCAGTGCACGGGGATATTTTTTTCTATTGTTTTAAATCCTCTTGAGTTTTTAATACTATTTACTATGACTGTCTGCTACTTGTGATTTTACATAGCATTTTATTTGAATTATAAGCGAGGGAAAGTGGGTTTTGTGACTAGATACTGGTCCCAGCTAGTCTCTGGGACTCAGACTTTTTTTAATGTTTATTTTTGAGAGGGAGTGAGGGGGACAGAGGATCCGAAGTGGGCTCTGCGCTGACAGCAGCAAGCCCAGTGCGAGGCTCAAACTCATGATCTGGCAGATCATGACCTGCGCTGAAGTCGGATGCTCAACCAACTGAGCCATCTGGGTGCCTCTCATCTGTGTTATTCTTTATTCTTATCCTCCTCATCTTTCATCTTGCAGCCCTAGCCTCAGTTTCTCTTCAAAACCTTCCCTGGTTCCCAGGGCATGCCATGCACCTCTATTCACCCCATACTCAAGCTGCCGTATTGTCCATTCTTTACCCGCAACGTCTGACACACAGATGCAATACGTTGCTAAATGAACAGTTGCCAAATGGATAGAGAACTAAAGGATAAATGGACTTCTTTTCCTAGTATTAGGTTAAAAACCTGAACTAAAGACACACAGTTTATTCTTTAGATCTTGAGCCTTGAAGTTACCTCCACAATGGATATATTTGAAATTAAATAATCTTTTAATATGTTTTATGATTAGGCGTGTTGAGGTGTGAGAACTGATGATAGAATGTGTGTGTGTGCGTGCAGGCACACCGTGCATTCGCTACAAATATGCGAGGCTCATAAATCACTTTAGTGTTACCCTCTTAAAGATGATCACCTTGGTAGACAATATATGTATCTCAACATTTTAGGACCTCCTGTCTATAATACATACTTTGTTGGTGTGCTTTAGAGATAGTTACTCCTTGTTATTTGTTGGGTAGCTTAGTTTTTGGAAGTAGCCAGCAGTCATTGAGGCAATCCTGGTAAACAAAAATGGCAAAAACCAACAAGAATGGTTTTCTTTGCTTGTAAGTGGCTCAGTGGGGGTTTTTTCAGTTGGATCTAATGAATAGCAGGCACATAAATAAAAGTTTCTTTTCTCTGTCATCTAGAGAAGTCTAGAGGTACAGTCCATGGTCATGAGAGACCAAGATCATTTTATCTTGCTCTGCCTTCCTAATGGGTTACCTCATGGTCCAAGATGGCTGCTTGAGCTTGATGCATTGCTCTTGCATGCCAGCCAGCAAGGAAGAGGGCATGCTCACTCCATTTTAAGGAATCTTCCAGTAGGTTCCAGCCAAAAAATTTTATTCTATCTCACTGGCTAGGGACATATGTCACTTATAGCTACAAGAGAAGCTAGGAGATGTAGAGATGTAATATCTAGATATTTGGGGGGGGTGGGGTGGCAAAATGCCCAATTAAAAATCAAGGTTCTATTACCAACGTAGATAAAAAGAATAAGTAATGGAAGGCAACTTATGGTCTCTGCCAAAAGATGATTTCAGAGGAGATGCTCAACAGAATCCTGAAAATTTGTCCATTTCCTTCAGAGGTGACAGTTTCTATTTGAATGTCCAAGTTCTGGTGTCCATTTTTAAATTCAACCATTTGCAGTATGATCGGAACTCTTGGATGCAGCTGGTAGGGTGTAAATTGGCACAAACTTTCCAGAGCATAGTTTGGCTTGGTGAGGTCAAATTCTGGAAATTGATTGTGAGGAAATAATTAAGGATTCTCATGAAGATTGCAGCGTTCATTGTAATCCTAAAGTGTTGGGAGCAAACGAAATGTCACCCACTAGGAGACAGCTTACAACTTACACTCTACTGTGACGTAAGATGCAGTTGTTAAATGATTATGGAATTCACGGTATATTCCCAAAATGGTTTCACAATGGTTCTTTTTTTTGTAGATATTTACATGTACGTGTACATGCATAGGAAGGGACCTGGGTAGGGGTGGGGGTCCAACATGAAGGTATTAACAAAAGGGGGTTTGGGGGGACAAATTGACTAGATGTCCTATATATTTTCATTTCTTAACTGTGATCTCTGATGTTTTGAGTACGTATTTTGATTATAAGGAAAAACAATAGACTCTTCACTAAATAATGTATGTCAGAATCAATAATATACATATTTAAATAATTTTCTGTTGTTTCCCAGCTCAAGAAAAAGTAGGAGACAAATAATGCAAACCAGATTTCGTATTTTCATTGATTTATACTTTATTGGCTAGGGAGGCTAACAGCCCCATGGAGCGTGATCATTACAGCATTGTTATGGGGACAAGTGCCAGCCCATCTACTTGGGACATGAATTGTGGATCTCCAGCCTTTAGACACTGCTTTCACTTAAGCTGAGCAGAGGGGCTCAGAGGAGATGGCTTCTAATACGCTATGAGTCTGCTGGACACAGAGGCACTGCCCACCCACGCTTCTTTTTATTTGTATTTGAGAATAGGATATGTGAATAAGTTAACACCATCGTTTTTTGGAGTCAGACCTTCGATATCCAGGCAGACACAAACTTTTCTAAAGCCATTTTATAAATCTGAATAGTATCATCGCTACTATATCTAGGTTAATCGCTCTTAAAGTCAATGGTTTTTTAAATGATTTTAAAATACTTTTAATAACATAAATAATAAAATAATCTTTTAAATAATTATTTTTGCACACCGAGGCTTTTTAAGACATTCAAGGAGCACATTCAAAATGCAAAATGAACGGCGCATAATGCTCTTTAAAGGAATAATACACGGTATTGTTCCCATAGGGTTACCACATTATCACATTGGCCTGGGGCAAACTTCTAATGTGGATATTACTACCCTCGTTTTATAGATGAGAAAAGAGAGGATCAAGGTCAGAGAGGCTAATGACTCATCAGGAGCAAACCGGGAGCACATAGGAGAGGCTGGACTTTAAACGCTGGTCTCCTGACTCGAAATAACAGAGTATATTCTCCCCGCCGCGATGGAAGTGGGATTGGGATTAGGGTCCGTAATACTTAGTCATTCCAAGTCAGCCAGGGGCCGCAGAGCCGGGTGGTCTGGTGGTCGGTTGTGGGTCACTGGAGAGATGGGGCGGGGAGGGGGGGGGGAGACGGTGACGGAGGAGAATGCAGGCCAGGCCTGTGGGAGCCCGTCTAGCCCCTGCCGGTCTCACGCTCTGTCCCCTCCGCCCCACAGTGTGCCCGAGCGCGTGCGGGAAGCGGGCCTGCACGGACAGCAACGAGTGCTGTCACCCCGAGTGCCTGGGCAGCTGCAGCGCGCCCGACAACGACACGGCCTGCGTGGCCTGCAGGCATTACTACTACGCCGGCGTCTGCGTGCCCACCTGCCCGCCCAACACCTACCGCTTCGAGGGCTGGCGCTGCGTGGACCGCGACTTCTGCGCCAACATCCCCAGCGCCGAGAGCAGCGACTCCGAGGGGTTCGTGATCCACGATGGCGAGTGCATGCAGGAGTGCCCCTCGGGGTTCATCCGGAACGGGAGTCAGAGGTCAGTCACGCGGTCCCCCCCTCACCCCTGCTTTCCCTCTCTCACCCCTCCCCCCACCTGCTGCCCCCCAAGAGCAGGGTGCTTGGTACTACCCTTGTTCCATCTGGCGGCAGCGGGACCCCCCCCTCCCCCGGGGAGGTTAAGGGCGTTGGGTCCCCTTGAGAGGGATGGCGTAACTGACATTTTAGAGGAGATTCCAGGAACAATTGGCCAAAAATAAAAAATAAATAAAAATTAAAAAAAAATAATTTAATAAAACAGCTTGTGTCCTGTTGTGCTGTGGAAGTGCACTGCCTGGCCATTTGAAATTAAGTACCTGACTTGCTGGCCTAGGCACGGCCTGGAGGTCACTGTCATCTTCTTCCCTGCCTGCACCTGCCAGGCCTACCATCCAGGCGGTGCAGGGGTGTGGGGAAAGCTGGGAGGGCTGTAGACTTAGGCCGCCCCCCCACTTCCAGCCACTCAGCCAGTACGGTCTTTGGGAGCACGACCAGGAACACAAGCCAACCCCCGAACAGCGTCCTTGCTGCAGCCAGAAGCCCAAAAGCCCCGTAGCACACACTCGGTTCTGAGCCCGCACTACAGCCGCCCAGAGTAGCCTCAGCTTAAAGTGACCCGTGTTTGCCATCAGCACCTGCTCCGCTCCCTCACTGGCTTCCTCCACCATCACCTTTCCTCGATTTTGTCTGTCTCTCTTGCTTTCCTTCCTGAATGTTGAGACTTCACTCGGGAAGCAAAGAAGCCGTCCGCAGCAGAGAGCATCCCCCTTGTGCGTGCCCGCGGGGCTTCCATAAATTTGTCGTTGGTTTGTGTTTTTGAAAAAGCAAGAATGGCATTGTTCTAAAATGGGGAACTCTAGCCCTGGAAGCAAAAGAAGACTAGGGGGTTGGGGGTGCTCTTCCCTCCTCTGGATAGAGCAGAGAACTTTTAGGAAAGAATAGTTTAGTTGCAATGGGCCAAATGCCTCTTTCATAATTAGCTTAGTATCAGGGGACTCCTGCTCCTGCTCTGTAGCTCTCTTCTGCAAGTATAAAATACTATTGTCCAGACACGGGGCGCAAACGCAAGAACCGTGAGAGACCGCAGCCTAAACGAATGGTTGGACGCTTAACCCACTGAGCCACCCAGGCACCCCTCAAGCAAGTCTTTTGAAAGGGGATTGATTGTTTCCAGTGTAATATTTGGAGAGGTTGTTCATACCATAGGCTGAATTTCAAAACAGAGCCAGAACTGACATTATTTCATAATATTAGACAAGACCAAGTTTCCACCTGTTATAATGTCTTTAACTAAAAGATAATAAGTGTGCCAGCGAAGCGCAATGAGCTCTAAAGTCTACATATCCCACCCAGAATTAAGTCTACCACATTTTACTCCCATTTTATTGGCCGACTTAGACTGGTAGGAGGGCTTTCCCAGTGCCCTGGGCAGTGAACCCAGATGAGGTGTAGCTAAGGTTCCTCCTTGGGGGTGGGAACGGAGACGGGGCAGCCGGTGGCATCTTTGCCCTAGGGTACACTGTCCTGCAGTGGCTTCAGAAGGAGGGAAGTGCTACGCACCTTGACCATGTTATTTCTCCCGCCGCAGTGCGTTTTCAAAGAATTGAGCTGTTATTTTCCCTGCCAGCCCTTAGAGTCTGTTCAAAGCTACAGATATACCTCTTCTATTTTAAGATGAAACACCGTCAAGAAAGAATAAATACCCCTCTCAGCCTTTAAGGCCTCTTTGACACTGAGTTTAAAATATTTATTAATGCTGTTTATACCCTCTCTGTACCAGAATGGATTCAAGGAAGCTTAATCTGTAAACATGTAATCAGAGCACTTCCTTAGAAAAACATTTTTGAAGTGCTAGATGATTCCTAGACAGTTTAGCAAAGGTGTTTGGTTCAGAAATTGCTATTTGAATGAAACGTCAGGGAAAACTAAACATACACTTAACATGCGACCTAGAAGTCACACTCCCGGACATTCATCCCGGAGAAATGGAATACATAGGTCCCCAGAACAACATGTACACAGTTGTTCATAGCAGCTCCGTTTGTCATAGTCAAAGCCTAAAAACAACTCAGGCTTTCCATGGTAGGTAAATGGTTTAGCAGACTGTGTTATGTCCATACCGTGGACTAAGAATTCAGCAATATAAAGGAGCAGACTGTTGAAATACACAACAACTTGGATAGATCTCAAGGACATTATGCTGTGTGAAAAAAAAAAAAAAAGCCAGTCTCAAAAGGTCACATACTGTGTAACTCCATTTATATAACTTAAGCCTCCAAATAACAAAATTGCAGTGATGGAGAATAGGTCAGTGGTCACCAGGAAGGAGTTAGGAAAATGAGGACGGGGGGCTATCTGGGAGATCTTTGTGAAGTACTTCTGTAACTTGACTGCATGAAGATCACACAAGAGGTAAGAGAACAGGCAGGGAATTATAGGTACATTTCGCCAGTGTTAATTACCTGGTTTTGCCATGGCATTATTATTATAGAAGATGTAACCTTTAGGGGAAACTAGGTGAGGGGTACAGGAGACCTTTCTGTACTCTTTACGACTTTTCTGTGACTCTATAATTATTTCAGGATAAAAAAAATTTTTGAAAGGGAGGGTGGGCGTATTATATGGTGTGTAGGTGAATTAGAAGTATTGAAAGACCAACAACAAGTGCTGAAGGGAAGCCATTACCCAGGATAGAAGTAAGAATGTTATATGCGATGCTATGGGAAAGAGAAATCTCCTTTCTGGGGTTGGCCCAGCATCTTGGGAAACCTTGCCTGGCATTCTTCTGACATGAAATAGGAAAAGAACAGGGAAATTTTGTTTACCTATGAGTCCTGCGCTGTTGCCTTAGGTATGCAGGATAGTGTCATTAAAAAAAAAAAAAAAAAGACTTGTGAGAAGAGAGTTATACTGTTTTCTTGAATGTGTTTTTACTTACCTTCATGAAGTGGAAAAGATCATTCAAGAACAGTACTGGAAATACAGCTAGCCCTCTAGTTCACCATCCTGTTTATTACACACACGTCCCGTAAGGTTGTACCTTTTATTTGGTTTGGAAATCAGCCCACTTTGATCCCTGGTCTGTGGTTCAGAAGCCTGATGAGCGTTTTGTCCGCTGTTTCTTAACTTTAGGTGATCAGGAGAAGCGCCAGTCTCCCTCACTAATCCCTGACTCTTGGTGGCTGGGGTAAGGTTTGAACCAGGAGCTCATTACAAAGTAATGCAAGTTCCTTGCTTTTGGCGCATATACAGGGGAAAAAAAAAAACACCAAGAAACCAACCACCCAGATCCATTTATAAGTTTCTGCAAAACACCGTACAGACATCATTTCATTTGTGCTTTAGCAACAAAGTGATGGATCTGTGCTATTCCATGTGCCTCTGGGAATCCGCCACTGGGTTTGGCTGGGAGGCGGGCCACAAGAGTTAGTCTCCCGTTAGTAGCAGAAGCGCTGCTGGCCCTGTGTTCCCCCTGTGCGGTCTCCCGGGCTGTGCCAGGCCAGGCCAGAGCATCGAGAGCGGCCCCATCTTCCTCAGAAGCCACCAGCATGTCCTTTCTTCCAGGCTGTTTCTCCCACGTGGAACCAGCTGGCTCAGCAGCCGACAGACTATGATACCCACGTGCCTCAAGGATGCAGCACATATTTCTTCTGGAAACAAGAGGCACACCCTTCCTTTGCAGGCATTTTCTCCTTTGGTTGCAACTTGCGTGGCTTATCCTGGGTGGCTTCGGGATGAGCTACAGCGTGACCACTCAAATGCCTCAAAGTGGTTGCTTTTAGTAATGTGTGCCATAAAAACAACCAGAATAAAATTGTATCTTCATGATTTTTTTTTTTAAATGCACGGTGCCTGACTCAGTTCTCTGTGTTTTTGGTTGATTCTTTATCTTCCAACAGCATGTACTGCATCCCTTGTGAAGGTCCTTGCCCCAAGGTCTGTGAGGAGGAGAAGAAAACAAAGACCATTGATTCTGTTACCTCTGCTCAAATGCTCCAAGGATGCACCATCTTCAAGGGCAACTTGCTCATTAATATCCGCCGAGGCAGTAAGTATTCCAACCCCCGGAAGAGACAGCTGGATCCCTTGGTTTTCTTTCGTTGATGTTTCTCCTTCCTGTCCACGCCTCATGCCGGAAGCATGGGCCTAGAAGAACAACACGGTGCCTAAGCCTCATGCCCAACACCTGTTTCTTGAGTTTCCCTTAAAGATTAAAAAAAAAAAAAGGTCTGTTTTTTAGCCGTGGGCTCAGTGTTCCTTCACGCCAAGGGTCACCACTTATCCTCTGTTATCCCAGCACACACAGGCCCCAGAATACGCTGATGGATCAAAGGTGTGACTCAACAGCCTTCAGCTGGAGCCCAGATCCACGTGGCATCAAGTCCAAAGAGTTTTTGTTACTTGAATGTGTTGAGGAGATGGAGCAAAGGGAAGAGTTTAATGATATCGCTTTAAAATTAATTGAGTCCAAAGAGTGGTTAATCTCTAAATCTACTTTGGACCCCCCCCCCATACAAGCACATGTCCTCAAAAAGCTTCTATCCTCACCCCTGTAAGATGACCATCACTTGCAGTAGATGGCGTTCCTGGTAATTGCACGTGTGCAGAAGCGTCACACGTGGATTTATTCCGTGATAGTTGCACTTCTGGTCTTCAGCTGACAGCAGCTTCTAGCCTTAAATTCGAAGACCTTGAGGTTGAAAGGAATTCCCCCCGCCCCACCAAATCCTTTTGTGGAGAAATTTTTACAGTTTGAGAAAAAAACAATGACTGATTTATTTATTCTGTGAATTTACTTTTCCATAAAACTATTTGTTCAGTGAGTGAGCAGAGTTCTTAGGGCTTAGAGATGGCAGAGACACGTCTATTCTCAGGCCTTTTGAAATTTTTGAAGCCCCTGATTTTTCATACCACCTTTGGCCCCTCCACCACAGAGATAGCACTTGGCTTCTCTGGCCAGAAGTTTCTTACCGTTAAGTGCTTCTAAAGTTTTATTTCTTCTGCTATTACTAGATTTCTTAATTTTTGAAAAGATGACCTCATCCCTAGAGCATACCCTTTAAGTACCTACCCTTCTTCTTTCTTTTTTTAAATTTTCATATCTGGCATGCATCCTGCCCCACATTTAAAATTCAGGATCATTTCCTTGAAATATCAACTGCAGGCAACTTCTAGTGTTTATAACTTGAATTTCTTCTAGAAAACCAGTGAACTCTACATGAAGCATATAGTCCACCGCCCTCCAGGACAGCACCCTTCTTCTTTGATTTTTATCAATTCAAAGCAAGACAGAACCTTTTGTTCAGTAAGCCTTCACAAATCATATGCGATCAAATCCCATTAGTTGAGCTATACCCAGTTCATTGTAGTATTAATCATAATTTTGGCATAAGCTGACCTGAAGCTTATGTTTTTTATTTACTACGAGGAAAAGATAGGCTAATAAACAAGATTACAGGAAATACACTGTTGATATATTTATTATGTTGTTTTCACATAGGTCGTATTAGCAACACTCTTCCTCCAACTATTCTCTCGTTCTGAAAAATCACGTGTGTATTATAAAAACACTTAGAAAAAAATCTTATGTGTGCACTATACAAACACTCGGAAAAAATCATATGTCGGCACTATACAAACACTCAGAAAAAAAATCATATGCGTGTATGATAAAAAACACTCAGAAAAACTATATGTGCATGATAAAAACACTTTGAAGCACAGAAACGAATTTTTAAACATCACTCGCAGATAACCATCATTAACATTTTGGTGTGTTTTCTTCCAGTCTTAGTAAGATGCACTCTTTAAATATAGATCCATGTATCTTAGGAACTAGAAAGGCAGCAAAGGCAGCTCCTAATGAGACCGAGAAAACGTTGTTTATTTAGTCATGCCCTTGTCTAGATTCAGCGCTGTCTGTTGACAGAGCATATTCAAAGACATTCCCTAGATTTGTCAGCCTTCGCTAATTGGCAGTCTGGTATTTATGATTTTACACTCTGTTAATCAGCCCAGGAGCTAAGGTACCCAGCCTTCTAGAGAGTCTCCCTCCCCTGCCTCTGTGGGGCCCTGTCCCGGGCGAAGTGGTTGAAAGTCAAGCCCGCGGAAGTCCATCTTGTGATGGGCATGGCAAGTTCCTGCGTGGCCTCAGTGGCGCCGACACCTGCCACAGAATCATCCTCCAAACACGTTTGTGGGAGGCCATGCGTGTCACCCTCACGCCCCGTGAGCGCTCACTGACACGGCCCCCCTCTTCGTGCAGATAACATTGCCTCGGAGCTGGAGAACTTCATGGGGCTCATCGAGGTGGTGACAGGCTACGTGAAGATCCGCCATTCCCACGCCTTGGTCTCCTTGTCCTTCCTAAAAAACCTTCGCCAGATCTTAGGAGAGGAGCAGCTGGAGGGGTAAGTGCTCCGAGGTTCACGAGCTGATGTCCTCCCACTGCAAAAGAGTAGCGTGCTTTTAAGACTCTGCGTTACTACGGTGAGAGCTCTTTCTGGTTACGAGGAAGCAGAGGTAACGCGGGTTCTTGGCTGCCTGCGCGACGGCCCACCTCCTCCTCCTCGGGTGCGGCTGCACCAACTCGCGACTCTTGGTCCTTGGGATGTTGCTATTTTGGAAAAGTGGGTCGTGACCTGTCGATCCAGGGCTGTGTGTCGCCAAGACAGGGTGCTGGTGGGGACCCTCTGTTGAGAGCATTAGGAACAGGGCTAAGTTGCTTAACCCTCTGTGAGGTCATCACTTGCATGCCTCTTGCCCACCTCAGGATGCTGTGCACACTATGGGAAACCGTAGCATCTTTTAAAATACATTCGACCCTTGGTTTGAACAACGTGGTTTGGATCACATGGGCCCCCTTGTACCCACATGGATAAATAGAGTGCAGTACTGTAAATGTTATTTTCCTCATAGTTTTTTAAATAATATCTTTCCCAACTGACTTTAGTGTAAGAGTACAGTATATAATACATATACTGTATGAAATATGTGTTCATTGTTGATCGTAAGACTTCTGGTCAACAGTAGACTATTACTAGATAAGCATGGGGGATGTCAAAAACTACGTGTGCTCTGGTGGCCATGCAGAGGGACAGCACCCTAACCCCTGTGTTCAAGAGGTACACTGTATATTGGAACGGAACCGATCTGCAGGAGTCTGAATAGTTCATTGTGTTCTACAGAAACCATGATTCACAAAATTGTTTTATTGCTTACCCTGTAGGATTTACACTACTGGTAGAATTTTTGCCTTTCTGCAGAAATATGCTTTGTGATCGGGGTTTTTAAACTGGCTGGAGGCTTTTCACTACCAGGTAAACCAGAGCTGCTCCAGTTTCTTTCTAGAAGTTAGCCTGCATGGACTTCTGTGTATATACCTTTCTCTTCATACTCCCTTTCAGTGCAACTCTTGCCCAGCTTTAAGCTTTGCAATAAAAGGAGACCTCCATTAAGGAGGGAATTCCTTCCAAAGAGAATTTGGAGAAATCATTTAGGAAAGAAAGAGGTGGGAAGGTCATGGGAAAGGTTGTCCTTGCTGATTTATCTGCCCCGACTGGATAAAGTTACCCCATAAGGGTTCCTCTACAGCCTCCCTGCTTTTCTCAGACTCACTCTTGGTCAGTCTTAAATTCTTAAAATTCCACCATCTGATACAGCTAAAGAGAGAGGCCAGCTCTTCATTCCATCCTGGAAAAGCACTGTCCTCCCCACTGGGAACACTGATTTTCTAGGGAAAAAAAAAACCAACAACCTTCTTTTCTCCCCGCACATCCAAGTCTGGTGCTGCTGTGTGGAGTGGCAGTGTCCCAAGTCACTTATACAGCAAGCTGGGGCCCAGCCATTTCGAAGGGCCGCTATTGTTTGTCATACGAATTCTTAGAGTGAATTTTAGCACAACTCTTTTTCTCTCCAGGTAGGTTTGTGTTTCTGGGATCCCTTATGTTGGTAAGCACTTTTCCTTTGGCAGATTGGTATCAGCATCTTTTCCTGCTGCTTAAGGATACACATCCCGCCCCCGTTCCCCACCCCCCCACCCCGGGCTAAACGAGTGACAGACATAGAGGGGGAAGCTGGGAGGAGAGTTTAATTTTTTGAGGAGTGATTATATGAGGGGATTACCTTTCGGGCGTGTGTTCACAGAAAAGTGTGACGCCCTTAAATGCAGCTGAGAACTAAGACTGGTTTGTATTTGCAGGGATATATAGAATGCATTTCTCACTGTCTGAAAATCGTCTAAACCCTGAAGTCCCAGTAGGGGTTCTTTAAAGGAAGCCTGTCATTGCTCAGGTGTTCGGGACCCCTCCAGGCTCTGGGACGCTTCTGGCCCCTGCCCTGCTGTTAACGTTTTAGATGACAAGGGAGGGCAAACGGAGCCTCGGATTTTCACACCCCACTGCTGACCAGTGGCCCTTGCAGCTTTGAGGGGGCTGGGCCTCCAGCCTTTAATTCTGATGTGCTGCTTCTTGGAGGCTGACTAAAATGAGAGAGAGAGAGAGAGAGAGAGAGAGAATCTTAAGCAGGCTCCATGCTCAGCACAGAGCCCAATGCAGGGCTCAATCCCCTGGGATCATGATCTGAGCCAAAAATCAAAAGTTGGGCACTTAACGGACAGAGCCACCCAGGAGCCCCTTGGAGGCTCTCTCTTTAGCTGGGTGCTTGAGACTCTTGCCTGTCTTGGTGGGGGTTGGATTCTCTCACCTGCCTTCCTCACCCATGACCAAAAGAGATATAGGTCACCCTCACTTGTGATGAACACCCCTACAGTTCTTTGCATCAGGTGTGACCACTAGCCACAACTCAGTTACTTATTTTGGATCCTGAAACTTAAGAAGAACGTTAGTTCCAGCCCTTCACCGGCTCTCCCCACCCCCTGCAAGGAAGGGAGAGTCAGAGAGAGGCAGAGAAGAAAGGAATATGATAAAAATAAATACTAACCACGGTGCAGAAGCAGAACTTGCAAGGTACTCCCAGGGAAAGGAAAGGAATGTGCCATGGGTATGAAAAAGAGGCAGATAATCTGATTAAGAAGATCCCGGGGCTTTCAAGAAGGGGTGGCATTTGACGTGGGCCTTGAAGTGTTTCCAGAAACACTCAGAAAGCAGAGGGTGAAGAGGGCAGTTGAGGATAGGGCAGCAACAGCCAAGGCAGCGCGAGCCGGGGCATCCTGGGACCTGTTTGGCGAATAATGCTGGAGAGGTAGGTGGTATTAGCATTACGTAAGGTGTTATGCACCCGGGTGTGGAGGTTATAATTTAGGTGAGCGATGGAATGCACTCAAGGCTTTCGAGCCTGAGAAGTGTTAGCAGAGCTGCCTGGACAGTTCATTTCTTTGCGCCTTTGGCTTAAGCCAAGGTGACTTTTAGCCCAGTGCTTTCCAAACTTTGCAACGCATTAGAATCCTCTTGGGCAGGGGCAGGTTTAAAAAATCCCAAGAATAACCCAAGTGGCACCCAGTTCTGTCAGGATGTTCAGGGGAAGGATCCCAGCACCGGTGATTTTCTCAAGAATCTGAGGCAGTTTCACTGTGTACCGCAGATTGGATGTCACTGCTGTGTCCTGCTGTTTCTCCTTCTCAGAGTGTGGCTCCTCAGAGCACTGTGCCTTTTTTCCTAAATATTTTCTTGTCACACTGTTGCCTTGACGTATTATTTTTCTTGAACTCCTGTAGACGATAAGAACATTAATAAGTGGCTCCATTTGGCTCAATGGGATTGGAAGTTCCATAGCATTTTGTTTGGATGGAGGGCCAACACATCCATAGTGCAGGGACCCTTGGTACCTGACGACCTTGGCTTTCAGCCTGGAACTGAGATCTACCTCCAAGTCCTCCGAGCAGCCCAGACCACCGAGTCAAGGGCAGAACATGAAATTCCAGCATTTTACCTGGAGTGGAGCTCTAGTCTGTGTTCCGAACGAGTTGATTTTGTAATCTGATTTCCAGGATGGCCAAAGATGTAGGCAGAATCACATCCAGGCAGGCATCAGGGCACTTGGTGGCTGGAAGAACGGGGCCTGGACAGCATGAGGCAGTCATCAGTCTGTCCACAAGAACTCAGACCTCCAGGTTTCCTTGCGGACGTCGCTCAGGCTGCGTAATGTAATGTGTTTCTAGAGTCATAACCTTAGATGTCCAGAAAGTCAAGGTTTTTCTGCTACTTAAGAGGGAAATGGGTCTTGTAATACGCATGTATAAGATTTCTAGAAAATTTCTAATTTTTAAGCCCTTGAATAGAAAACAGAGTATTACTGTTATCTGGACAATTCCTTCATTTGGACCCCCATATTTTCTTATGGCATCAGACAAATGAGGAGTTAGACTTTCAGATTCTTTGGTGGCTCCAAAGATTGTTGCTCTGAAAAGCTTAGAAGCAGACACAGGTGGGGGGGATAGAAGAATTGAAAACCTCAGGTGCCTTTAGGCGTCTCCATGCTCACAATCCTACCACTTGACTTTGCAAAACTTGGTTGCTTCGTTCCGCCTTCCTGCAACTCTCAGATTAGGCTGCAACAGGGCTGTGGGGACTTTTAAAAATAAAGACTCAACCATGTGACTCAGCAGTTCCAGGCTCTACCCAGTATCTTCCCAAGAGAAATGAAAACATGCCCACACAGGACCTGAATGTGAATGTTCCTAACAAGATTATTCATGATAGCCCACCTCCCCTCCCCCCCCGCCCCCCCCGCCCAAATAATCCACTGGAAACAACCCACACGTCCATCAACAGATGAACGGATTAACTGAATGTGGCACAATGGAATGCTATTCAACAATAATATAACAACCTGGGTGAACCTCAGAAACATTGAGCTAAGTGGGAAAAAAGCCAGACACAAAAGGCTGCACATTATGTGATTCCATTAGTTTCTACAAAAAGCAAAAGTGTGGAGACAGCAAGCAGATTGGTGAAGGCTGGGGGTAGGAGCAGAGACTGACCAGCATCAGCAGGGAGGGAACCTTGACATGGTGGAAATTTTCTGAAACTGCGTAGTGGTGATTATAGGACAGCTGTATAAACCTGCCGAAGCTCATGGCACTGAACACATTCAGTGGGCACAATATTTGTACGTAAATCCCACCTCGGTAAAGCTATTTAGAAAACACTCAAAGAGGAAGCGTGTTCTGAGTTTCTGTGTGGTGCCTGGTGGCTCTTGAATACAAATTCCCGCCCTTGCAGAGCCCCCACGGTTGGTGTAAATAATGGGATTGGGGGGGTGGGGATTGGATGTGGTGTAAAGCAGCATCTGTAAAAAGGCCAAATCCTGTATCTGCTGCAGATTGCCAGGATGCTGAAGATAGTCCCTTGTGCTGGGTTCTGATGCCCCCTAGAGACAGCCTGGTTTCTCGGAGAAATGAAAGGGAATGATCAGTTGTGTGTTTGCAGATTTTTCCCCCAATTTGTCAGTAAGAACTGAAAGACAGGGAGGAATAGCCCTTCCTTATCCCCATAGCTTGGCCTCCTAGCCCTCAATCCCCTTTGTCCCCGCCTGAGAGAAGCCAAATAAGGACATTGCCTTGAGTTGTTGCTTAGGAAGTGGTGACGACCCCCAGACCCCGATGTTTGGATTCTCCAATGCAGTGCTCCAGACGCTGACCCCGGGGCTGTCTTCAGTGCACCGTGCAGATTCCCCGCACTTTCGCTTCCCTTTGCTTCCACATCCTTCCTGCCCTTCATCAGAGCAGGTGGGGAGGTGGTCGTTGTTGGTAACTCAAGTAAGACAGCCCCAACACTGGAGCCATAAATAAAACACCTGAGTGTCCAGTATGTACTAGGCATTTAGAATATCAATACAGATAGGGGTGCCTGGGTGGCTCAGTTGATAAAATATCTCACTTCAGCTCAGGTCATGATCTCACAGTTCATGAGTTCAAACCCCATGTTGGGCTCTATGCTGACAGGTTGGAGCCTGGAACCTGCTTCGGATTCTGTGTCTCCCTCTCTTTCTGCTCCTCCCCTGCTCATGTGCGCCCTCTCCCTCTCTCTCCCTCTCTCTCCCTCTCTCTCAAAATAAATAAACAGTACAATAAAAAAGAATATCAATACAGATAATAAAGACATATACTCAAGGAAACGACCGACTGCTTCCTACACACCTGAATTGCTCTACATTTTGTCAAATGGGGCCCCCCCAAGTACAAAGACAAACATCTTTTGCCACACAAGGAAGGCTGGGAGTCAGGATCTCAATATCGATAAAACCCGGGCATCTGTGTGTGAGCTACAGAAAAAATAAACAACTTAATTTTTTCTATATTCTATGAATGTAAAGGCACAGTAAGCTTAGAAATAATTAGGAAATCACATTTACTGAGTAATTGACTTATATAGCCATTTCCTCTAGGAAACAATGAAAGTGTGTGTGTGTGTGTGTGTGTGTGTGTGTGTGTAAATGTGCAGACAAGTCTCTGCCTTTTACCATCTCTTAATTGTCACCTAATCATGGGAGGGGAATGTGGGGCGGAGCCAGGCCCCACCTGGGGTTGGAGAAAGGAGCACTATTGACAGACAGCTCCTGAACGGCTTGGCTATTATTTTGACGAGGGTTTTATTTTTACTTTTTCTGTCGCTCACACAGGCTCCATAACGCCTGGGTTTTATTGATATTGGTATCCTGGCCCCAGGCCTTCTCAGTGTTGTAAAAAAATGTTTGTGTTTACGGTAAAAAGATAATCTTGCTTTTCAAAGTGATTAATCACATACACAGACTTGCAGTGTGCCTGCCACTCATTTGTCAAATTCCTGATTTATAATTCATGCTCCCTCCCATGGGGAGAAGCATGTTTTGTTCAGAAGGTATTTTCAGTGCCGTTCTGTTCCCTGCCAGTGAAATCCGTTTACTAAAAAGAAGCCTCACCCCAAGTTCAGACAGGAGCTTGACCTGGTTAATTGGCCTGCACTCCCGGCCCAGAGGTTTCTGCACCAACCAGATCTTGTCCCATGGGGCCAGCTTCGGAACCTGGGAGCAGCCAGACCCACTGGGGTTTGGTATCAGCACTACAGAGTGTCATTCAGAGCAGGAAATAAACCGTAGGCAAGAATGGGAGAATAGAAGGCATCTGTTTCCACCTGCAGACTCCCTCCCCCGCTCCCCCCCATCAGTTGTATGCACAGACCACCCCACTTTCTAGCAGCATCAGCTGCAGCCTGGCAGTGAGGGAAAGGGGGCGTGGGTGGCCACTGGCCCGAGGGATGGGCCTTCTGACCTTGCCATGTCCCAGCACCCCCCGCCTATACACCTGGCCTTGCGTTGCATATCCTGATCTCGGTTCATTTGAACGTCTCCTGTTCCTTTTCCAGTGGATATATGGGTTAGGGAGTGAGCTCTTCCCAAAAGGAAAATGTTACCGCAAATTTTGACCACCTGCTTTGGTGGCCAGGAATGTGTTGGGGGACCTCAGGGTGGGTCCGTGAGGAGCCTGGCTTGGTTGGAGAGGTGCCACCTTTGGACTTCTTAGCCCACTCGACCCTGTGTGGGCAGGCCCCCCACCGCCACCCCCCTGCACGTGTGGGTGGACGGATGGCGCCCAGGGTTGGCGGAGGGGCTGGGCTCGGGCCATGGGGCAGATTCCGTCTCAGTTCAGTGACTCCTCCCGGGCGTGAGGGTCTTGGACTCCTAAAACCAACCCGGAGCTCAGATGTTCATACCCCTTTTTTTCCTGTGTGTTCATCCCCTCCTCGTCCTATGAGTGAGCCAGACCAATGGCTACAGGAAGTTCCGAGTGAACTGCCTACGGCTGCGTGGTTCACTCACGGCATCTGTAGTCCTGAACCTTTGTCTCCGAACTGCCTTGCAAATTCACACGAATCCATCACGAGTCTGCTCAGCAGCGTGTCAACCATAACTTTGGCTTTCCTAATGAATGACCCTCGGGCTGGGGACTGATGAGGCAGGTGGGGACCCCGGTCTGAATGGACATGAGGGACCTCACCAGGTGCAGAGAGCTGCCCCCGGACACAGCCTTCAGGACACAGGAGGGCTTTGCACTTCGGTCCGGTTCTCTTGGCCCTGGAAAAGGGGCTGGAGACTTTCTTCCATGCGGTTTGTGTATTGGATCCTCAGGCGGATCTTAGAAATGGCTCACAGTGCGGCGCCAATTCCTAGACTCCGTTTTGTGTAAAGTGCTCGAGAGAGCCCCCAGAAAGAGCCTGAGGCTGGGGACCAGAAGGGGAAGAAGACAGGCTCAAGGTCCATGTGGAGCTGACCTTTTCATCCTAGAGGACTTGGATGGGCAGAATGGCCCCACCTACCTGGTTTCCCTGGGGCCCCAGAGAGAGGGCCGTATTGGCGTGGATCTTTCTTCAGACCCCTAAGCCGTAGCGGTCTGCTCCCCCGCCTCCCAGAGCATGGATTTCTCTCCGGACAGCCAGAGAAAGCTGCTGCTAATTCTGGCTGCCCTCCCGTGTTCCCTTCAATCAGCAGGTGGAGCTGCTGCTTCTGTGTCCACCCAGATCACCCTTGGTCAGCTCCGGACCCCCAGCCCCTTGTCGGGACCCAGCCCCTGTTAGACTAGTGCTGCTGCAGGTGCGACCCTGGCACCCACAGGGGTCAGCACCACCGAGGTGCAGGATGCAGATTAGCAATGCAGAGTCTTGGCCCGCATGGACCTACTGATGAGAAACTCAGAGTGGAACCCAGCACTTGGAACACAAGCCTTGTGCACACTAGCCTTGTGTTGGGAGACAGAGTCTCTGTCGCCTGGGTGGTGTGGCCCTGGGGGACCACCCTTGGCGGAGGCTGTTTCTTTCCCGCCACCTTCTCCAGGGCTGGTGGTGAGGCTTTTCAGGATGGGGTGAATCTGGAGGAGGGAGCAGGTGGACCCGGGGCTGGTCCACCACCGAGTCTGGCTCCCTGTCCCCATTCTGCCTCCTGCCCCGTCAGACACCGCTGATGGCACAGATGGGATTTAACCCCCAAGGATAATGGCAGACTTTCTGCAGCAAATATGTAAGCTGTTCCGGTTGAGTGGCCGAGCGTGTCTGTTCTCCCATGGACTGACTTCAAGTGCATTATACATACTCTGCTCTGAGAGAAATACCCAAAGGCATTTCTGTGGAATGATTCCAGCAACACCCTCTGGTGCGCGAAGCATCATTTTGTCAGTAATCGAGGTCCTGAAATTAATTCGTGTCTTCCCGATTTCAGTGCGCTGTCCTGGATCAGATTGTTGCTGTTGTGAACAGTCACCGTCCACACTTCCACGCCATTAATGACTAAATCTCTCATTGGCAAAGGCAGCGTGCTCGGGAGCCCCGTGTGGCGGAGGGCCTGTGTGGCGCGGCTGGGGGGGGGGGAGGGGGGCGCGGGGGGGACACTGGGCAAGGGCAGGAGCGCTCACGGCAGTTTCTGTGCCTCCAGGAACTACTCTTTCTATGTCCTCGACAACCAGAACCTGCAGCAGCTCTGGGACTGGGGCCACCGCAACCTGACCATCAAATCCGGGAAGATGTACTTTGCTTTCAATCCCAAGTTGTGCGTCTCCGAAATTTACCGCATGGAGGAAGTGACCGGGACGAAGGGGCGCCAGAGCAAAGGGGACATCAATACCAGGAACAACGGAGAGCGAGCCTCCTGTGAGTGGGCCCTCCTCCCCCGGTCTAGAACAGCGGCTCCGTTTGTGGCTGCCTCCTCATTTCACTTGTGGGTGGGGGGCCATGAGGCCGCCTTAAACAGCACTTTGCTCACACGTGTGTATGTTTTGAGCCGGTAGTGGGGCAGATTCATGACACGTTCGTGTTAATGCATCTCCCTTAGCATCTAGATGAGTGCACTGTGCATTTATACATAGGTTCCTACTCAGATTTTCCAGAAGTGGTCATGGAATGCAGAGTTAAATGTCTGCATATCATATATTAATATGTATGTGTGTGTATACACACACACGCGCGTGCGAGTGAGGGAGAGAAAGAGAGAGGGGGAAGGTGGGGAGAGAGAATCCTAAGCAGGCTCCATGTTCAGTGCAGAGCCCAACATGGGGCTGCCGATCCCACGACCCTGGGATCATGACCTGAGTTGAAATCAAGAGTTGGAAGCTCAATTCACTAAGCCACCAGGTACCCTAAGCTAGATGTCTTCTAATGCACAGGCCTACAGTTAGATAATTTGTCTAGATTATTTGTCTAGTTAGATTATTTGTCACAGAGGAGCTGGTCGTCTCCAGGGAGCGAGCTCAGCTCTGTCTCCTACGGTGCAGGGGAAGCCTGAGGGCAGAGGGGGTTCAGCCACAAGCCCCGTGCATGGCCCCTGGGTTCTCTGTCTCCCACTTGGCCTTATCCTCACTTGCACCCCAATGCAAAAATGATAGAGCCAGCCTACCTCCCTGAATTGATACTGCTTTTTGAAATTTAGGAGAGTGTAATTATAACCTTGCAATGGTTACATGCCTTTTACTTTAGGGTTCCGTATCTGAGCTGTAACAGTACATTTCTCGGCTAACCGTGTATATAAAGCTGCTTTTAAAAACGTTGTGGTTCTGTTTATCTGGATAGGGTTATAGAAGTAAATTGCCTCTCCGTCCTCAGCTTTAAATAAGGGAAGGGTATTAGGAAAAAAATAGAGTGATTTATATGATCAAAGAAGATGTGCGCACACGCACACGTGCACACACAGCGCATGCAGATTCGAGAAACCATTGGCATCTGACTAAGTAGTTTGCTGGTGTCTGGGCACTCAGACTGCCCAGGAGAAGCTTTTGGAGGGAAGGCGCCTGATGCAAAGCTGGACGGCGTGCTTGCACCTTCTCCGTGACGTGCCCATCCAGCCCCTGCCGGGCTCCCTGTTCGAACCATCTCAGGGCAGCTGTGTCTGAGCGTTTGCAAAGTGTGTCCTCCTCCGGCTCAGCCAGTCGGCCTTATCGGATTGTGACTACAGTAGCCATTTCCTTCGAAAACAAAATCATGTTTTTCTCTTTAAATAACCCTTGCTTGGTGGGAATGTCAGCTGGTGCAGCCCCTCTGGAAAACAGTGTGGAGGTTCCTCGAAAAATTCACAGTAGAACTCCCCTATGACCCAGCAATAGCACTGCTAGGAATTTACCCGAGGGATACAGGAGTGCTGATGCATAGGGGCACATGTACCCCAATGTTCATAGTACTCTTAACAATAACCAAATCATGGAAAGAACTTAAGTGTCCATCAGCTGACAAATGGATCAAGAAGATGTGGTTTATCTATACCATGGAATACTACATGGCAATGAGAAACAATGAAATCTGGCCATGTGTAGCGACATGGATGGGACTTGAGGGTGTTATGCTGAGCGAAATAAGTCAGGCAGAGAAGGACTGATACCATATGTTTGCACGTATAGGAGGATGAGGAGGAACTTAATGGAGGATGGTGGGGGAGAAGAAGGGGGGAAATAGGGGGTGAGAGGGAGGAAAGCAAACCATGAGAGACTCTTGAATGCTGAGAAAAACTGAGGATGCTATGCTGAGCGAAATAAGTCAGGCAGAGAAGGACAAATATATGTTTGCCCGTNACTCTTGAATGCTGAGAACAAACTGAGGACTGATGGATGTGGGGGGGAGGGGGGATGGGCATGGAGGAGGGCACTTGTGGGGATGAGCACTGGGTGTTATATGGAAACCAACTTGACAATAAACTATTTTTTTAAAAAGTTTAAAAAAATAATAAATAACACTTGAGCAGGAACTACGTTTCTCTAATCTCATATCAGCACATTTCGCCCCACTGACTTCTTGGTATTAACCACCTTCAGCCTCCGCTTTCCCTCCTGAGTGTGTGTCGGGATTCAGGCAGACAGAGGTAGGAAAGGACAGTCCGTAGGAGACGAGGCTCCCGAGGGGAGGCAGCCAGCAGCTCTTCCCGGGTCCCCGTGGTCCTTTGAATCTGGCCAGAGGAACAAAACGGGGGCTCTGGGCAGGGGTCTCCGCTCTGCCTCCCCAGCAACGTCCCACAGAGCTAGTGGGCTTGGCCAGGTGACACTGTTCTTGTCAGTGCTTACTTCATTTCCAGGGGTGTGTCACCCCCAGCTAGAGCCTTCAAGAAGCTTCTGTGTCCTTCCAGGCCAATACCGCATTTAGAGTGAGGGAGGTGCCCCGTTGTGGCACACCGGGTCCGTTAGCTGGTGTCTGCTGTTTGTGTAGGAGCAGGCAGAGACCCCCTAACACTGCAGAGCGGGTCCCCCCATCGCAGAAGATTCTGCCCAGCTTATGGGGCTCACGGTCCCGGCCCCCTCGGCGGCCCGCACCTTAGGGCTCAGCACAAAGGGCAGGTGCCTGGCGCCGTCAAGCAGCCCTTCCCTGTTGGATTCGGACTCGCAGGACAGGCCCAGCGCAGCCGAGTGTGCTAAATCAGAGGACCAGGCGCGTCACAGCTGCACGTGGGAACACGTTTGGGTCCTTAGCAGAGCCAGGAGGGCCACTGAGAAGTCCAAAAGGGGCCTGTTAACATGCACAGCCAGCCTCGGAGAAGAGGGAGACCGGGCGGGCAGGTGGCTTGTCAGACACGCAGAGGGAGAGGACGCCCGTCTCTGTCACTCACGGCTGTACCTTTCGCCCCAGGTGAAAGTGACGTCCTGCACTTCACCTCTACGACTACGGGGAAGAACCGCATCATCATAACCTGGCACCGGTACCGGCCCCCGGACTACCGGGACCTCATCAGCTTCACCGTCTACTACAAGGAGGCGTGAGTCTCTGTGCCCAGTGACACACCCTGTGGGCCGCGCTGGGGGGGCGGGGAAGCCCGTGCTCCTCCCGCCCCACCCCCGCCGCTGTCACATGGCATCCAGACAGCCCCTACACTGCGGTGTCCGCTTGGGGCCTTCCGTTCTCCAGTGGGTAATTAGAGGGGTTTGAATATAAAACAGCTCTGAAGAGCAAAGCGTGTTTTTTAGGGACTTACATTTGTCCGAACATCTGTGAAGTGAGGTAGAGGATGTGCCCACTAAGCCACAACCCAGGAGCGTCCGCACCCTGCAGCATACACCCCCCCCCCCCGAGGGGACCCCTGGGCCGCTCTGGCCTCTTATTCCCATCCCTCTGTGCACGGGCCCTTCCCAAGGCACCATCCTCTGCTCTAGGTGACGAGGCCTGTGAACTAGGGAAGGAGAAGGGAGAGAGACCAACCTCTGTGTTTTGAACCTTTCATGATTTCTCCGAGGATCCGGGGGGGCTTTGTGCTTTCAGGTGACACTGACCTGCTGCAGCAGCCATGACTTTCTCCTCTAGATGGCGGCTTCTGCGGGTCTTCCTCTTCCTTTCTTTGCCTCCTATTCCAAGTGGTTCCCCCAGTCTGCCCAGTCACCCTCTGGCTCAGCTCCCACTGTGATGCCATCAGGTCTCTTTCCCTAGGGACGGGCCTCCCCGGAGCTGAAACCAGGGCCACCAAGGGCAGTGTCCGGTCCCCTTTCCCCCTGCTGCCGGGGCCAGAGCCTGGGAAGGGTCATAGCAGTGGAAAAAGCAGGTCTCAGGATCATTACACATTTGGCTTGTTTACATATGGGGGCCACTCATGGTCTTCCATTGTGACCACAGGGAGGGGTGTGTGAAGGTCCTTCCGCAGTCACAACTGTTTGTGAGCAAATTCAATTCTGGAAGCTCTGTTTGAGATGCTGTTTTTCTGTAGCGAAAGTCCTTTTTCTCCAAAAGTTATTCTTCATCAGTAGCTGATGTTTGTGTTAAATGACTACACTTGTTTTTTCTTAGTGGGGAAAAATGCCACAATTGGGAGAGAGAAAAATAGCATTTGCATATATTCTTTTTTTTTTTAATGTTTATATTTTTGAGACAGAGTATGAGTGGGAGAAGGTCAGAGAGAGAGGGAGATACTGAATCCGAAGCAGGCTCCAGGCTCTGAGCTGTCAGCACAGAGACCACCATGGGGCTCGAACCCACGAACTGTGAGATCATGACCTGAGCCGAAGTCAGACGCTTAACCGACCAAGCCCCCCAGGCGCCCCAACGTTTGCACGTATCCTTAAGGAGCAGCGTCTGCAACCCCAGTAATAACTAGAACTTACACGGTTTTCTAGTGCATTTGTAACCGCAGTGAAACCTGGGGCTACTTGCTTACTCTTCTTCTTCCATAAAAATCCAGTTGATTATTTGTTTTATTTAGAATTCCCATTACAGGGGCGCCTGGGTGGCTCAGTCGGTTAAGCATCCAACTTCGGCTCAGGTCATGATCTCATGGTTTGTGGGTTCGAGCCCCACATTGGGCTCTGTGCTGACAGCTTGGAGCCTGGAGCCTGTTTCAGATTCTGTATCTCCCTCTCTCTTTGACCCTCCCCTGCTCATGCTGTCTCTCTCTCTCTCAGAAATAAATTAAACATTAAAAAAAAATTTAGAATTCCCATTGCAGAAAGAGTGACATGCTCAACCCCCAGGGAAGGCTTCTGAGCGCCTTGATGGCGGGACCGAAACCTTTTCTCTGAGTGTCCTCCATTGTCTTTCAGACCTTTTAAAAACGTCACAGAGTATGATGGCCAGGATGCCTGTGGCTCCAACAGCTGGAACATGGTGGACGTGGACCTCCCTCCCAACAAGGACGCCGAGCCTGGCATTCTGCTGCAGGGTCTGAAGCCCTGGACGCAGTATGCTGTCTACGTCAAGGCAGTGACCCTCACCATGGTAGAGAATGACCACATCCGCGGGGCCAAGAGTGAAATCTTGTACATTCGCACCAATGCTTCAGGTATCCGCGTACCACCCCTGCCGCGTGTCTGTGCCTTTCTTAGCGATAGATGATGCTGTGTCCCATGCTCTTCCCGGTCCCCATACCCTGGCTTCTTCTGGGCCATTTTCAGGAGTCGGTAGCAACTTCCATCTTCTGCCTGCCCTGCGCCGGCGAGCCCAGGTCTTCCAAGGTGCTGGCTTCATTCTTTTGGGGGACCCAGCCAGGATCCAACCGCCTGTACCCTGCCCTTCTTGTTTATTTTCCCCCTTTTTTTTAAAGTTTATTTCTTAGAGAGAGAGAGAGCAGGGGCAGGGCAGAAAGAAAGAGAGAGAATCCTGTGCAGGCTCCACCCTGTCAGTGCAGAGCCTGACACAGAGCTCGAACCCACAAACCACAGGATCATGACCTGAGCCGAAGTCAGGAGTCAGACACTCAACTGACTGAACCACCCCGGCGCCCCCTTCTTATTTATTTGCATGGTGGAGGCTCCATGCTGATTTGGTGTTCCAGTCAGTACCTTCACGTGGCTCGTTGGTTTTCTGTCTTTATTCTCCAGTTCCAAGGAGATAGAATTTGGAAAACATCCGACAGAGTATGTTGGGAACATTCCAAGTAGTCACCGGTGAAAACGTTCCTCTTTTCTTTATCTTCATCCTCCTCAACCATCTCATTTCTCAACTCCAGGATCTGGAAGTAATACAAGCAAATGTTTGCGCATATTAGCCAAGTATCTAAAAACCGGCTTCAAAGGAGAAAAATGCACATCATTTCTAAAGACAGTGATAAATATTCTTGGATGGGAGCTGTTTTTTTTAAAACCCCCATAAGGTAGCACAAAACACGCTGAAATGGCAGAGAGGGTGAGGGAAAAGCATTGATGGGGAAAACCTTCAGCTCAGGCATTGCCTGCTCCTCCTTCCCTCCCCTGCTCTGTCTCGAGGGTCCCATAAGTGGCTGTAATCATGTCTCGGACCCTGAAGTGTTTAGAGAGAGAAATCTGGCACTGGCTTCTGATCCTGGGTGTGGGGTGGTGTGGGCAGAGATTCAAAGGCAACAAAACAAGTTATTCTTCCTAAGGTTTGGAAGTAATGTATCACAGACGGCTCAGGAAAAATAAGCATCTTTCCTCATTATGACAAAGTCTTAAGAAGCCTCTTCCCTTCCCCCAAAGATGGAAAACAGCGCCACACAGATTGAGCCAGTCCCCTATACTTTGGCCCCAGTCCTTACACGCGATAGGGACAGGAAAATTTGGTCCTCTGCTTCTGCTTTTTTGTGACACTTACCATTGAAACATCTGGGGTCAGCTGTTTATTCTTGAAACACCTGATTTTGGAAACCTGAAAATGGCTAAGCATTCGGTGGTTACATCTTTCCTGAAAAAGCTGGCAATGGGGCGCCTGGGTGGCTTAGTCGGTTAAGCGTCCGACTTTCGCTTAGGTCATGATCTCGCGTTTCGTGGGTTCGAGCCCCGCGTCGGGCTCTGTGCTGACTGCCAGCTCAGAGCCTGGAGCCTGTTTCAGTCTGTGACTCCCTCTCTCTCTGACCCTCCCCTGCTCACGCTGTCTCTCTCTCTCTCCTAGAAATAAATAAAACATTAAAAAAAAAAAAAAAAAGCTGGCATTAGTCACAACTTTTCCCCAAAGCATCATTCCAGACAGGTGTTTAGAACCTTTTGTACCTTGTTACTGACTTTGAAGTACCCTTAAGCTCTTTGCCCCTTTGAGATTTCGAAGCGGCTTGGATGACCGTGTTGTGTAAGTGATTTACCTTAGAGAGTTCTCTTGCACTTGGGAAACTCTACGAAAATCAGTGTTTTCTTGTGAACCCAAGGAAAGTAAGATTTCAGTGGTCCTAGGATGCATTTGCCCTTTATGCACAAGGCAGCTCTGGGTTGGGGTTGGGGTTGGGGTTTGGGAGACAATTGTAAGTAAAGCCTTACCAGATTATTGTGCTTTGCCTATAAATCGATGCTCTTTGGCTGGTAACAGTCCAGTGCTTGCAGTCAGAGCTCTGTGTGTATTTTGAGTTTGCAAACTGCCTCTCCTAGGCCTGTCTCAGTCATTCCCCCGAAGTGTGACTATGGAATTGAGAGGCTCGCGGGCCCTTTCCTCCATGCTTCCTACCCACCGCGTGCACACACACGCTCCAGCCCTTTTCTACTTCCTCTCTCATTTTGGCATCTTGCCGTTTTTATCAGAGCTCCAGAACCTCAGATGACACATAAGTCAGACCGTTTCACCTCCTCCTAAAACCGCCGCAGTGCCACGGTTTGGAGGTTGGCTGCTGCAATCCATGAGAAAAACCCAGTGCTTGAATGAGATTCAAAGTCCCCCACTGTAACCCTGGTGTCACCCCCACAACCCTTTTTTCCATGTGCAGCTCGGCCGTGTTTGTTTGCACACAGAGGACCCAAGGATAGAGACTGCAAAGAGAAGCGGTGACATTTAAGTTCATGCGATTTCAAAACACAGTTCCGTTGTCATCTCGCGTGTCCGCCCTCAGCGCCCTCTCCTTCTCCGGGCCACCCCCTCCTTGTTGGTTTGCAGCGAGTACCTGACAGCCTTTGTCCCTCTTTCCAGTTCCTTCCATTCCCCTGGATGTTCTTTCGGCATCGAACTCTTCTTCTCAGCTCATCGTGAAGTGGAACCCGCCGTCGCTGCCCAATGGCAACCTAAGTTACTACATCGTGAGGTGGCAGCGGCAGCCTCAGGACAGCTACCTTTACCGGCACAACTACTGCTCCAAAGGTGAGGGCGGAAGGTGGGGGGACCCGCAGCCGCGCCCCCGCTGTCTGAACGGCCCAACAAAGCCGGCCCTGTTCTCCATTAAAGGCGTTGGCAGCCACCGGCGTCTGGGACTTGGCTTTCATTTCCGCTCTTGTTGGCCTTCTGTCTCCCAAGCAGACAAAATCCCCATCAGGAAGTATGCCGATGGCACCATTGACATCGAGGAGGTGACCGAGAACCCCAAGACCGAAGTGTGCGGCGGAGAGAAGGGGCCTTGCTGCGCCTGCCCCAAAACCGAGGCCGAGAAGCAGGCCGAGAAGGAGGAGGCTGAGTACCGCAAAGTCTTTGAGAACTTCCTGCACAACTCCATCTTTGTGCCCAGGTACCAGCGTCGTTTGAAATGTGCCCAGGCTGGCGCTGCCCAGGCGGGTTCTGTTGCTCTCTCTCTGGCGGGGTGGCTTGCGGGTTGGTGGCCTCACGGGGGATCCCTGGAGCCATCGGCGGCGGGGGAGGGGGCAACAGAACAAGGGATCCATTGGGTGAGTGGGGTGCCGGTGGGAGCCAGGTGGCCCCCAAAGGAAGGGAGCTGAGGGCTTGTTCTGCTTCGGGCCGCTCGCGCGTTGATGCTGCTGCCTCAGCCACACGGCCTCCCGCGGGAGGCAGGTGGGCTCTCTGGGCAGCGGCAGGGAAGAGCACTGTGCAAGGCGGAGGGTGAGAGCCCCTCTCGCCCATCCCGCTTCCCCCTGCTGCCACTCACAGCCTGGCCAAGGAGGAGTGAATCGAGAGGGAGAAAACCAGAGTGAGCTTCGAAAGGGGTCCAACTTCATGGGGGCGCCTGGGTGGCTCAGTCGGTTGAGTATCCGACTCTTGGCTTGGGCTCAGGTCATGGATCCCCAGGTTGTGGGATCAAGCCCCACATTGGGCTCCACGCTGAGAGGGGAGCCTGCTTGGGATTCTCTCTCTCTCCCCCTCTGCCCTTCTCTCCTGCTTGCTTACTGTCTCTCTAACACAAATAAAATGAAAAAAGGAAGGGAGGGAGGCAGGGAGGAAGGAAGGAAGGAAGGAAAGGGGCCCAACTTGAGAGCACAGCCAAGTGCCACAGGCGTCCCTGCCACGCAGGCGTGAGAAGCCGTGGAGGACGACCTTTTGAGGTAGAGCAGCCCCGGTCCCCACAAGTCTGCCTGCTCTCCTCCTCCCGTCTCTGTTTTGGCCAAATGAGGACAGAAGCAGGGGAAGGTAAATGTGCAGCACAGCACTGTTCACACTAGCTGAAGCCAGGAATAACCCACATGTCCATCCGTGGGTGAGTAGATAAGCAAAATGTGGTCCTCGCAACGGAATGTTATTCTGCCGTCAAAAGGAATGAGATTCTGATGAGGGGTGCAACTTGGATGAACCTTGGAAACATTATGCTAAGTGAGGGGTCCCTGGGGGGCTCAGTCGGTTAGGCGATCGACTCTGAATTCAGCTCAGGTCACAGTTTCATGGTTGTGAAATGGAGCCCCACGCCGGGCTCTGCTCTGAACTACACGTGTAGCCTGCTTGGGATTCTCCCTCTCTCTCTGCTCCTCCCCTGCTCATAGTGCTTCTCTGTCTCTCTCTAGGTATGTAAATAAACATTAAAAAAAAAAAAACACATTATGATAAGTGAAAGAAGTCAGACCCAAAAGGAGAGCTACCATAGGACTCCACCCATAGGAAGTATCTACATAGGCAAATTCGTGGTGACATAAAGTGCATTCGGGGTTTCCAGGGGCTCGGGGGTGGGGGGGAGTTAGCCATTCATGGGTATGAGAGCTTCTGTTTGAGGTGATGAAAAACTCTGGAAGCAGTGGTTGTACAACGTCACAAACGCAATCAGTGCCACTGCATCGTACACTTAATTTTTTTTTTCTTGGCCAGATTTCATTCTTTCTCATTGCCATGTAGTATTCCATCGTATAGATAAACCACATCTTCTTGATCCATTCGTCCATGCATCTTCTTGATCCATGCATCATACACTTAAAAATAGCTATTTAAATTTGGGGGCACCCTGGGTGGCTCAGTCGGTTAAGTGCCGGACTTCAGCTCAGGTGGTTCATGAGTTCAAGCCCCACATCTGGCTCTCTGCGATCAGCACTGAGCCTGCTTGGGATCCTCTGTCCCTCTCTCTCTCTTTCAACCATAAACAGATAAACATTAAAAAATGGCTAAAATGGCAAATTTTGGGGGTGTTTTTTATTTAAAAATTTTATTTTGCCACACTAAAAAGTAGTTTAAAAAACTGAAGGGGAGTCCAGCAGCATAGCCCTGCGATGTCTGAGAAAGAGATGGAAACAGAGTGGGGGTCCTTGTCTCCCTTTCTCTCCTGAAAGATTATAGTGTAGGGGCACCTGAGTGGCTCAGTCAGTTGAGCGTTCAACTTTGGCTCAAGCCGTGATCTTGCAGTTTGTGAGTTCAAGCGTCGCATTGGGATCTTGTTGTCAGTGCAGAGCCTGCTTTGCATCCTCTCCCTCACTCTCTGCCTCTGCCCCACTCATCTCTCTCTCTCTCTCTCTCTCTCTCCCCCCCCTCCTCTCTCTTCTCCTTCTCCTCCCTATCTCTCCTCTCTCTTTCAAAAATAAATGAACATTAAAAAAAATTTTTTAAAGATTAGAATGTGGACTTTGCCTCCTGCCTGAAATGTGGGCAGAGGGCCCGGATTCAGACCAGGCTGCACCTGTGAGCTGCGGGTCCCCGTAGTGCCCCAGCCTCCAGCCTGCAGCCCCGCGACCTTGAAGATCACTGTTGCTCCTGCCCTGGACCCCGAGAGGCCCCGGAAGCCCGTGGCTTCTGTTCAGGCCATAATTCCTTTGCTCTTAAAGCCTTACTTAGGTTGTAACAATGGCAAAGTTGCTTTTAAAGTGATTTTCTCTGTCAAGTGACCTTCCTCATATTTGTGTCATAGTCAAAGATAGCCATCGTACTTTGAAAAATCATGAAAATATGAAATAAAGACCTCTTATAGTTGCAGGCATCCTTTCTTTTCAGAACGAAGCCCTTCGTCGCTTAGCGGCTTTCTGCCCCTGCTGTGCCCTCTAGGAGAGGCAAGGGCCTGAGGGCCACTGTGGGTCCTCTTGACCTGCCCAGCTGGATGCATCTCCTCTGTGCTTGGTAGGTTAGAGGGTTGGGGTTCAAGTGCTCGTGCACGTTGTCCGTGTGGCATGCGTGGTTCCAAGAATAAGAACGTTTGAGGAACTCAAAGATGAGAAACTCGAATCCAGCCTTAGCAACTTCTCCAGCAGCCTAATTCAGTGACGGTCCATTTGGGAGCTGGCCCTCTCTTTCCACACACCAGGGCTCCTTGCCCTGGTTAGCACCGCTTCTCAACACGGGCCGTCTCCCCCAGGCCAGCAGAGGCTCAGCCCTCCGCATTCCTTCCGGTGCACACAGAAGCGGCTGAATTGAGAGTGTCCCAGGCAGGCTGGCCGGGAGTCCTCTGTTTATTCTCCAGCAGAAGCCGTCGGCTACATTGCTGTCTTGTCCCACCGACCTGCCAGAAGTTCAGGTTATAAGTCCAGACTTCGGGAAAGTTCTGCTGAAGGGCCCCGAGCTTTCAGTTTGTAGTTTCAGGGCAGTACCTTTTTTTATCCCCCCCCATCAGATGTGGCACACAGGATCGGGCAACGTGAAGGCAGAGCTGTCGGTTGACACAGATACGGTTAATGCACTGTGTTCATGTTGTTGAATTCAAATTAAGTTTCCCCCGTGTCGGACTCCTCCTGATGCATGCGTGCGCCCTGACATTCTGTCTCCGAAGACAAGTCTGACCTGCTCTTCTGTCTTTTCATAGGGGAAATATAAATACCATATTTGCCCCTGGGGAGCAGCCCCATTTTGTAAGAACTTCATTTTTTTTAAATGCCTTCTACCAAGGGCATAAATATGATGTCCACACAATTTGCAACAGAATTCAGGTAGAAGGAAGAGTCTGTGTGGCAGAATGACTGTATCATCCAGGAAGGTTTTCTGTTTTACAACTAAATTATCCAAAGATGATTTTTATTTCTTTTAATTCATTCTAAGGACAATCTACTGGGGGGAGGAGCTAAAACCATTCAAGTCAGATTTAGTGTGTTACCTGTTGTCCAATGTGTCCCATATGGTTTGAAATAGAATGGACACTAGAGCTTGTAAATTCCTTTCTAGAGTCAGTATTTGGTGGTCAGTGCCCTTTGTTGACCACTGCCTTCATTTTTTTTTTAAGTTAATTAATTTATTTTGAGAGAGAGGGAGCATGAGCAGGAGAAGGGCAGAGAGGAGAGACAGGATCCCAAGCAGGCTCCGTGCCATCACCGCAGAGCCTGACTTGGGGCTCGAACCCATGAACTGTGAGATCACGACCTGAGCGGAGATCAGAGTCGGATGCTTAACCGACTAAGCCACCCAGGTGCCCCTGCCTTCATTTTTTTAAATCACATAGTTGGGCTTCAGTAACCGAAATGTTGGCAGATGTTGAAGAGTGAAAGGTTTTCCAGTGGAGTAGGTTGCGTGATGGAGTGGGAGTGGTTTGCAAAGCTGACAGCGAGGCTGTGCGTCACACCATTTGGAAATGTGGCTGTTTACAAAGATTCATGGGCACGCCATTCTTGTTTCTACACCTTGTCTTCCTGATAATGTCCTGTGGGGCCTTCCTCCCCCAGCCCCTAACTTAGTGCCACTAGTAACAGCTGTTACGGTCTCCAAAAGTGCGGTGTTTAGAAATAAACTTGACTGAACTTGATGATGTGATCCCAGGTAAATGGGGATGGGCCATGGGAGTGGTTTGGGCCCAGGATTCTGTGGCTGGGGATTAAGCCCAGGCAACTTCTTACAGATGTAGGTGGGTGTTGTGTTGGTTTTCTGTGTTGTGTTGGTTTTGAGGAGAATGTAGGACATTCATTCTGGTGGATGTCATAAAAGGTCTCTCTAACCATTAATGTCATTTCTTATGTCCTCCTTGTCCAAAGAGGTTGGCTGGCGTGCAGGTTGTGAGCATGGGAAATTATCCGCCTCATTTCCTGATCTTTCCTCCCCCCAGTATCGGGAAAGTAAACACACGGGGACCATTAGTACATGGCCTGACCCTGCTGTTCTTTGCCTGGTGGAAGGAGCCCATCTGGGTTGAACGGTTCATGTTCTGGGTGGGGCCTATTGGGTCACTGCACATGAGTGGTGATGGTGTTTTTTGCAGGGGTGTCCATGAGCCAGGCAGACAGGGGAGCCAGAGGCCCTTTCCTCAAGGCCCCTGCTTTTCCTTTCCGCGTTATTCACTTTGCGGCAAATAAGGACCCACAGGAAGGCTGCTGAGTGTCAGCTATCGACCACGAGTGGCTTCCCAGGCACTCTGTCCCCCTGTGGGACTTCCGCTTTCTCCCCTGCGGGAGCGCTGATGAGCATTCCTGTGCTCTGTTCCTTCTCCTTGCCTTGGCCTCTTAGTTTTCTTTCCAGGATGAGATTTGTTCTGTTTCCTCCCCACTCCTTGCCCGTGCACAGGGTAAGTGATGGCTGCTGACAGCCTCAGCATGGAAAGGACAGCACCCTCTTCCCCACCATTTCCGGCGGCTGACCTGAGGGCGGCTGGTTCTTGTCTGGGTGTTTCCTCTCGTGTTCTGTTGCTGTTGGCTCCTATTAATGCCAGGAGCTTGTTCTTAAGGTTTCCTGGGGGAGGAGCACCTGGGTGGCTCAGTCAGTTAAGTGTCCCAGTTCAACTCAGGTCACGATCTCGCGGTTCATGAGTTCGAACCCTGTGTCAAGGCTCCGTGCTGACAGCTCAGAGCCTGGAGCCTGCTTCAGATTCTGGGTCTCCCTTTCTCTCTGCCCCTCCCCCCCCCTCTCAAAAATATTAAGGTTTCTTGGGAGAGCCCAAAACCATTTTTTTCATACCACCCCCAACAGCAGCTATTGGAAGGGTTCCCCCACCTCCACCTGCTTGCACTGCTCACCTGCCCTTTTGGGTGCAGACATTCTTCTCTTTCCACTTGTCTTCGCTGTCCTGTTGCCTGTGTGCATGGCGGCAAGCCCACCCCTGTCAACAGCAGGGCCTTGGAGGGGCTACAGGGAGTCACTGCTGAGAGGGAGGCGGGGCCAGGCTGGAAAGACCTCCAGGAGTGTGAAAAGTACAGACACTAGGGTCTCAGAGGAAGAGGGGTTCGGCAGGAGCCCCAGAGGGAAGGGTGCAGGGGGGTCAAAGCAAGGGCTCGCTGCCTGGTATCTTTGTTTCCACATTCAAGGGGGCCAGCGAAGCACCACCACAAGTCTTTGACCCCCCCTCACCCATCCCTCTGTGGCCTGCACCACACCTCACCTCACCCCCTAATAAATCCTAGTGTGGCCAGCACGTTGGTCGCCGTTAATGCTCAGCTGTAAGGTCTGTGGATGGGGGAGCCCAGGCATCGTGAGGAAACAGCCAGGCTGCTGCAGAGCCTGGAGCTGCTGAGACCTTTGTCTGTCTCTAGATACAGTCGGGCCGTCACTCCAGGAGCCAGGGGGTGGGGGGGTGGGGGGGATGGGGAGGGGGAAGTTTGTGTGCCGATCCTGAGGTTTGCAGAGTCAAGGAAGCAAAATAAATAACGAAGGAGGAAATCCCCGTATTATTTGTTGGTTCTCATCCAAAGGGGCTGAATAGTTCCTTTGATCCAAAGTTGAGATTTTTCTTTTCTTTCCGTTACTCTAACCCAAGTCGTAGAAGGGACCAAAGAGGCAGAAGCACTTAGGAGCCAAGTTTCTCTCTTCCCGACAGACCTGAAAGGAAGCGGAGAGATGTCACGCAGGTCACCAACACCACCATGTCCAGCCGGAACAGGAACGCCACGGTGGCCGACACCTATAATGTCACAGACCCGGAGGAGCTCGAGACAGAATACCCTTTCTTTGAGAGCAGAGTGGACAACAAGGAGAGAACCGTGATCTCTAACCTCCGGCCTTTCACCTTGTACCGCATTGACATCCACAGCTGTAACCACGAGGCTGAAAAGCTGGGCTGCAGCGCCTCCAACTTCGTCTTTGCAAGAACCATGCCTGCAGGTACGGCGTGATCCAGCTCGCCCCACTCCTGGCCCACTCACAGCCCCGGGGTATGAGGCTTGTGTTTTATGGACACAGAGTCTGACGCCCAGGGCGATGACCCTTAGTCTCCATCCTGCTCATTAAAGAACGGGGGTCACGTGTAGGCAGCGTGGTAGACCAGCAGCCCAGGGAAGGGAGTCCACTCCTAACGACATCACCTCCATCTCAGTCTCTCTGTACAAAGTACTCAGGAACAAGGAGCGCCCTTCAGGGCCAACTCTCCTCCCTGTTGGCGCCTTGTACATTCCCATGACCCTTTTCCCTATCTGTGCACACGGAAATTTGCCCGGTCCCTCCTGAGTTCTCAGGTCCGGTGGAATCCATTAACTGCCTTGACTCAGAGTGACTGTCACGTCTCAAGGTCAACTGCCTGAGTCACCTTTGGTCCTCCTATTTGGTCCTTTAGGTTCCCCCTGGAGGTTAGAAGCTGCCTGTTACTCAGACTGCCATCCATCTTTAAGCATAGGGGGCACCTGGGTGGGTCAGTCAGTCATGCATCTGACTCTTGACGTTGGCTCAGGTCTTGATCTCACGACTCATGGGATTGAGCCCCGTGTTGGGCTCTGCATTGACAGCACAGAGCCTGCTTGGGATTCTCTCTCTCTCTCTCTCTCTCTCTCTCTCTCTCTGCATCTCTCTCTTACCCTCTCTCTCTCAAAATAAATAAATACAATTCTTTAAAAAAGAGAGGTGAACTGCCCAGTCCACTTTCCTGCTAGGACAGTAGGTAGTAGGAGCCCAGAAGTACCAGCATCTGGCAGGGGGCCCTCCGGGACACAGTCCTGTGGCCAACATGCAGCACGTCTTGAGGCGGTGGTCAGCTTCCCTGGCCTCAGTTTCCCCACCCTTCCAGGACAGCCTTCCCCAGCTGGAACTTCCAGTGACTTTGGCTCACCACTTGGCTTACTGCTTTACGCAAAAGCAAGAGAGCAAGTGCCCAGCCCTTGCTGGTGGCCAGAGGAGGCGTCGACGGCGGCCGTGAGGGCTGGCTGTCAGCACCGCCTCCCAGCGCCTCCTCAACAGGCCTGGCTTGCAGGCGTCCCTCATGCCTGCATCACAAAGATACGTTTGCCGTGTGCAGATGCAGACTTGGAGGGATCTGCCACCGCCTCTGTTCACAAGGCGCCTCTTCGATGCTGCTTCTGGTGGCAGCATTGCACAGTCTCCTTTCCCCAGTGAGAGCGGCTTTTTTGTTGGGGGAGGGGGGTCTGACGGGAGGGAGGGACTGTGGCATCCTGAGCCTCACAGGTCATTAGATTGCCCAGTGACCACCCCCTTGGGAGGAGCCTGTGTGGTCACCGCCCTCAGCCCTGCAGGCACTGACTGGGGGGAGGGGATTCCTAGGTTAGCCTCCCCCACCCCCCAACCACATCCCCTTGCCCCACCAAGGGGGACCCGAATCCAACTTTCTCACTTGTTTAAATTGTTGCGCAGAAGGAGCAGATGACATTCCTGGGCCGGTGACCTGGGAGTCAAGGCCTGAAAACTCCATCTTTTTAAAGTGGCCAGAACCTGAGAATCCCAATGGACTGATTCTCATGTATGAGATAAAATACGGATCACAAATTGAGGTAAGTGCAAGGCGGAGGTCCCCGGGGGTGCTCCCGTTCAAGCCCACGGCACAGGTCCCCTCCTGGTTAGCAGAGGACTTAAACTCATAACCCGAGGAGACAAGTCAGCTAGAGCACTCAGAATATTCCAGGGGGTGGGCACCTTCTCGCCCTTAAGTAACTATTCTGGGGGCGCCTGGGTGGCTCAGTCAGTTGAGCGTCTGACTTCGGCCCCGGTCATGATCTCACAGTTCGTGAGTTTGAGGCCCACGTCAGGCTCTGTGCTGACAACTCAGAGCCTGGAGCCTGCTTCAGATTCTGTCTCACCCTCTCTCTCTACCTGCCCCCGACTTGCAATGTCTCTCTTTCTGTCTGTCTCTCTCTCAAAAACAAACATTTAAAAAAGAAAGAAAGAAAAAGAAAGAAACAATTCCATTGCAGAAAGTGATCTTCCGCACAGACTAGATTGGTCTTAGTAACTCTTAAATCGTTCTGCAGCTCTTTTTGATTACAAAAAAAAAAAAAAAAAGTTGGTTTAGAACTTGGGTGTGTGTACGGTTACTGGAAGAGGGCCATTCAGCACTGGGTCTCTTCCCAGTTACCGCAGATCGGGATCGCTGTGAGGTGGGACGGGACGTGCGAGACGGGGCAGCAGGAGGCGCCCGTGTCTCCTGTGCGGGTACGGGACTGCCACTTAGCGTTCTGTCTCCCCCAGGACCAGCGGGAATGTGTGTCCAGACAGGAGTACCGGAAGTACGGCGGCGCCAGGCTGAACCGGCTCAACCCAGGGAACTACACGGCCCGGATCCAGGCCACCTCTCTCTCTGGGAACGGGTCGTGGACGGATCCCGTGTTCTTCTACGTCCCTGCCAAGAGTAAGGCTGTGGAGGGAGCAGGCTGGGCCGGGCCTGGGGACACCTGGGCTGGCGGGCTCCCCGCCTTTCGGATTCCCCGTTGGAAGCGCGTTGGGCAGATCTCAGGTCACGCTTCTGGCCGCCCCTTACTTGGGAGCTGGAGCGGGGCTGCTGCCGCTGTTTGGACTTCCTGCCTCGTTTGCGGGGCCGGGAGAGGGTCTGAGCCCCTTTCCAGGGAGGTCTTTGGAGGGGCCTTTGCTTTCAACTTGTTTAACCTCCAAAGCATTTTTACAAAGCGCTGAATTGACCGTTCCACCCCTTGTCCAATTAGGGCTGCTAGTTAGGGCGCAGATTCGGGGCTTAGAATCGTGAAGGGTGACAGAAATCTGGGGGCTTCCGGTCCAGCCCGTTCCAGGAGAGGAGTCCTCGGGGTGGCCCCGCAGGCCCCATCCCCTCCCCTGCATGCCGGTAAAGTACAGGCGCACTTGGGAAGCACGAACACACGCAGAAAGCACCCGGTGCTCGCCGGCTGGCGCCGAGACTGGGCCTTGCTGTGATTTTATGCTCAAGCTGCTGACAGGACAGAATTCCCAGAAGGCCGTTCTAGGCAAGGATTTCAGATTTTAAAACCAAGTTTTGGAAAATGTACAGGTACACCACGGGCACTGTGCTTCCGTGGCCAAGAAAATACGGTATTTTCTTTGGGGGCATAAATATTCCTTATCACTTCCATACTGAGTTTCTATTTCTTATTAGGAACCTAGTTTTTTTTAAAATTATTTCATGTTCAGATAATGGGATCAAATTTGGCCTAACATCGCTCCTTGCTGCCCGCCGTGGAAGGGCAGACCCACCTTGCTTACTGATGCTGCTCTGGGGTCTGGTGGATGGTCCCTATGTCCCTGGTCCCTCCCAGTCTCCACCTATGTGCTGCTCTGATCTGTTGTCTGAGGTTTTTATTTTAATTTTTAAAAATGTTTAATGTTTATTTGTTTTTGAGAGAGAGAGAGTGCAAGCAGGGGAGAGGCAGAGAGAGAGGGAGACACAGAATCTGAAATAGGTTCCAGGCTCTGAGCTGTCAGCACAGAGCCAGATGCAGGGCTCGAACTCACAAACCATGAGATCATGACCTGAGCTAAAGTCAGACACCAAACTGACTGAGCCACCCAGGCACCCCGAGTTTTTTGTTTTTTGTTTTTTTGTTTTTATTTCTGAGAGAGCATGAGCAGAGGAGGGTCAGAGAGAGAGGGAGACACAGAATCTGAAGTAGGCTCCAGGCTCTGAGCTGGCTGTTGGCACAGAGCCCGATACGGGGCTCGAACCCACGAACCGTGAGATCATGACCTGAGCCGAAGTCGGATGCTTAACCGAGTGAGCCACCCAGGCGCCCCATCCCCAAGTTTTTAAATTCAGAGCAACCAACCCAGCAGTCTACCTGGTTAGTGCCTAGTAGCCAAAGACAGGTATTTGAAAATCCTAATAGTATAGATATCAGAAGAAGGATGGAGTGAATAGAATTGCAGACCTCGAGGTAGCATTTTTATGAGCCTGGCACTGTGCCTGAGTTCAAGTTTTAGGGGTCAACCAATAGCTGAGGCAGGTTATTCCATGAATAAAAATAGTCTGAATTCTCCACAGGGTCTGCTTACCCTGCTCTTACCGGTGACCCCGTGCCACCCAGTCCAGTGCCCAAACCTTCACGACAGTCCTCTCTGGAGGACTATCTTCCTCTCCCCTCTCCTCTCCTCTCCACATCCATCCCTTTGGAACAGAGCCTCGGTTTAAGGGTCGGTTGAGCATCAGGCTGCATGCAGCCTTTGAAACAGCAGCCTTGGCTTATCTTCAGAGAGGCCCAGGACGAAAATACAACTTTGTGTATATAAACCACATCTTCTTTATCCATTCACCCATCGATGGACATTTGGGCTCTTTTCATACTTTGGCTCTTGTCGATAGCGCTGCCATAAACATCGCGGTGCATGTATACAACGGAGTATTACTCAGCAGTCTAAAAGAATGAAATCTTGCCATTCGCAACTACGTGGATGGAACTGGAGGGTATTATGCTAAGCGAAATTACTCCGTTGGAGAAAGACGAGTATCATATGACTTCACTCATATGAGGAGTTTAAGATACAAAACAGATGAACATAAGGAAAGGGAAGCAAAAATCATATACAAACAGGGAGGGAACAAAACATAAGAGACTCTTAAATACAGAGAACAAACAGAGAGTTACTGGAGGGGTTGTGGGAGGGGGGAGGGGCTAAATGGGGGAGAGGCCTTAAGGAATCTACTCCTGAAATCACTGTTGCCCTCCATGATAACTAACTTGGATGTAAATTTAAAAAATTAATTTAAAAATTTTAAAAAGAGAGAGCAAAGCCCTCTCTGCCATGGCGCCCCATCTTTAACCCCGTGAGTGCCGGGTCCCCACTGGAAACGCAGGAGCCCCTCTGGTGGACTCTTCCAGCAGCAGTTGACATCCGCTGTGGGAGAATTAAGTCTGCATGCCTGCTTTGCTGCTGGGAGCTTTGTCCTTCTGTCAGACAAGACTCTCCTGCCCCAGTGCAGTCTCTCCTCTTCTCGCTTAACCCTCAGGGGAGCTGGAAGCTTGCAGGGCTTTCTGGTAACTTGCCGTCCTTTGAGGAGCCCTTCGTGTGCTTGAATACTAGTAAATTACTCACCAGACTTTTCTTCTCCAGCCTAAATCGTCTCCGGTCTTATGGCCCTTCCTCGTAGCCCCAGTCACAGAGACCAATTTTCTAGCCATCAAATCATTTTGTTCCTCTCTGGCTGTGTTCCAGTTTGTCCGTGTCCCCGTTGAAATGTGAAACTTGGACAGAACACGGCACAGCCTGGCCCGCAGTGTTAGTGATACGAATATAAGAAAGAGTCCTCGGGAGGAAAAACTAAAACTCTTCTGGCTTCCCAAAGGCAGTGATAACTTGAGAGTATTTTCAAGAACTGGGAAATGCTGGAGACTGCATCCATTTCTGAGAGCTACCTGATAAAAAGTGTCTTTAATTTTTTTAATTTTTTTCTTTTAGAGCATGAGTGGGGGAAGAGGAGCAGCCAGAGAGAGAGAGAGAGAGAGAGAGAGAGAGAGAGAGAGAGAATCTTAAGCAGGCTCCATGCTCCATGCAGAGCCTGACATCAGGCTCAATCCCAGGACCCTGGGATCATGAGCTAAAATCATGAGTTGGAGGTTCAACAAACTGAGCCACCCAGGTACCCCAAAATGCCTTTGGTTTTAAAATCTAAAATAGCTAGAGGCTCCTGGGTGGCTCAGTTGGTTAAGCATCCAACTTCAGCTCAGGTCATGATCTAATGGTTCATGAGTTTGAGCCCCACTTTGGGCTCTGTGCTGACAGCTCAGAGCCTGGAGCCTGCTTCGGATTCTGTGTCTCCCTCTCTCTCTGCCCCTCTCTGGCTTGCACTCGCTCTCTCTGTCTCTGTCTCTGTCTCTCTCAAAAATAAACAATAAAAATTTTTTATAAAAATAAAAGTTAAAATAGCTGGAATAATCCTTAAAGAGTAATAACTATAATGACGATGATTTTTAGTGGCAAAATGCTTGCTGGCGTGTGACTTACAATAGATGGTCCCAGTAAGTGCCATCATTTCCACATAGGCCTCTCCACGTGGGCATCCGAGTACCTCAGATTCCTCGTGCACAAAACCAAAATCACAATTGCTCCCCTCACAGCATCTCCGTGTCCTTTGTTCCCCGGGTCAGTTAGCGGCACCATAACCCCCGCCCCACCCAAGCCTGGAACCTCACCGCCGTCCCCACCTTGCTTTCTCCCAGCTGTCCGTTTCTCACTCAACCCCCAGTCACCTTGATCGTGCCTCTTCTGTGCCACCCCTCCAGGTGCTTGCTTTCAGGGCAGCTACGAGCTGTGGGTACAGGAAGCCTGGGTCCCCATCCTAGGACTGTGGCTTACCCCGGCTGCCCGTGTGACCCTGGGGAGTCCCCTTCACCCCTGTGAGTCTTCTTTTATGGAAAAGGACCAGCAGTCTCTTCGTGAGGTCTGGGCTGCATAATGCAGCACAAACTGAGGTCCCCTCCCCCCACCCCTGCAGGCTGGCCTCACACACAGCCACCCCTCCAGACACACATCTGATCAGAGCGGAGCCTGGGCGCTCACACCACCTGCCTTTTGTCTGCAGAATGGGGTTCAAACTAAGCAGTTTGAACAGGCCCCTTGGGAGCCAGTCTCCTCTGCACTGGGAAGTCTCCCCCGGCTCCCTTCTTGCCTCTCCCTTCCCCTCCGCATCTGCGCAGTGTGTGCAGCCCGTTTTTTTCCCATTGTTGTGCTACCTGTGGACACACTCATTTCCCACATCCGGGAGAATCTTCCAGGGTGTGCATCCGTGTCCCTGGCATCCAGCCTGGCCCCTGTCATAAAGGTGCTGGGGACAATGGGGAGAAGGTGTTCCTGTCAGGCTTGTGACTAGACCCTAATGTTTGGGGAGTATTCAGAGCCACTTGAGCAAGGGGTGCCATCCAGTTGTGTGGTTTTTTTTTTAATTGTCTGTGAAAGCCTCTTAAGAGATAAAGGTCAGGGGCACCCAGGTGGCTCAGTCAAGTGTCCGACTCTTGATTTCAGCCCAGGTCATGATCTCGTGATTCATGGGAGTCAGCCCCAAATTGGGCTCTGTGCTGACAGTGAGGAGCCTGCTTGGGATTCTCTCTCTCCCTCTCTCTCTACCCCTCCCCTGCTCACATTCTCTGTCTTTCTCTCAAATAAACATTTGAAAAAATTATCTTGAAGAAAAGGGGAGTACCTGGGTGGCTTAGTTGGTTAAGTGTCTGACTTTAGCTCAGGTCATGATCTCACTAGTCGTGGATTCGAGCCCCGTATCAGGCTCCATGCTGCCAGCTCAGAGCCTGGAGCCTGCTCTGGATTCTGTCATTTCTCTCTGCCCCTCCCTGGCTCACATTCTCTCTCTCTCTCTCAAAAATAAATAAACATTTAAAAAATCCTTCCCAAATAAAAACAAGGGTCAGTACAACCTGAGCACTGTTTTATGTACTAAATGAATCTATTCATTTTATTTTAGCAAACTTCTATATGTATATGTTTGGGGCGCCTGGGCGGCTCAGTCAGTTAAGTGTTCTACTTCGGCTCAGGTCATGATCTCACAGTTCGTGGGTTCGAGCCCAACATTGGGCTCTGTACTAACTGCTAAGTCAGAGCCTGGAACCTGCTTCAGATTCTGTGTCTCCCTCTCTCTCTGACCCTCCTCTCTGCTCATACTGTTTCTCTCTCTCTCTCTCTCTCTCAGAAATAAATAAAAACATTAAAAAAATATATATGTTAACAGTCATTAAATTGCATACAAATATTATTTCACTCGATCCTACCATTTGAACTATTATTTCAGAATAAACTGTACTTTTAAAAAAATATTTACTTATTTTTGATAGATAGCACATGAGTTGGGGAAGGGCAGAGAGGGAGGGGGACAGAACTGAAGCCAGCTCTGAGCTGTCAGCACAGAGCCCACTGCGGAGCTCAAACTCAGAAACTAGGTGATCATGACCTGAGCCAAAGTCAGATGCTTAGGCAATTAAGCCACCCAGGCACCCCTTGTACTTTAAAAATGAGTATACTCCTCACTACACCCTTATTTTATCTTTTTTTTCCCAAATAACTCAGGGTTTTTGCTGTGTCCTATCCAATACTGTCTGCCTTCAGAACTCCTAGTTTGGGCAGTAAGGGAATTTTCAGGGATTTTTTTTTTTTTTTCACATTTCCAGCTTAAAAAAAAACAACAGCTAAGGGCCAGCTTGTTCACCTGGTAATCTTTTGTCATTCCCCTTGTCTTCGGCAGTAACATATGAAAATTTCATCCACCTGATCATCGCCCTGCCCGTCGCCGTCCTGTTGATAGTGGGGGGACTGGTCATCATGTTGTACGTCTTCCACAGAAAAAGGTGAGAGACTCCAGGAAAAGCTGGAGTCTTTTTGTGGCTGCATGATCTGACGGTCTGAACCTGAGTTCAGGCACACGTTTGGAGGATTTTGAGGGAATATCACATGGGTCGGGAAAACTGATTCTCGAATCACGTTGGAAAAGGGAACATTTTCTAAGGAGTCAGCGATGTCAGGAAATGTATCTCTCGGGCCAGTAGGGTTTGTCCGCTTGCTGGTTGCTCCTGCAGATACCGCTGTTTATGCAGAGATTTTCCAAACACAGTATCCCAGCCTCTTCTATCCAGTAGGACTTCAATTTCCGATGAAGGAAAGAAACAATTCTTTTCTCCCCCCGCCCTAATTTTTGGGAAAGCGAAAAGTTGGGGGGGGGACAGAGAGAGGAGGGGAGACAGAGGATCTGAAGCAGCCCCTATGGTGACAGCACAGAGCCAGAGATGGGGCTCGAACTCATGGACCATGAGATCATGACCGGAGCCAAAGTTGGATGCCCAATCGACCGAGCCATCCAGGTGCTCCGAGAAACAAATGTTTCTTACAGGGCTTTCATCCCAGGCCGCTGCGGAAGCCCAGAGCCTTGTTAATAGATATCTTCGGCCCCGGGCCAGATCGGGGAGTATGGGGGGGCGGGGTGGTGTACAGCCAGGCAGTGCCCCTAGTTCCCTTCTTCCCAATACTTAACGAAACAGGACATAAAGCTGATAGAGCAAAGATGAAATGTGTGGGTGTGAGGGCTTTTTTAACCTAAATTTTATCCTTCTTACAGAAATAATAGCAGGCTGGGGAATGGAGTGCTGTACGCATCCGTGAACCCAGAGTACTTCAGCGCCGCAGATGGTAAGCAGCTAAGCCCTGGTCACTGCCCGGGGAGGCCCCAGACTGGGGAGCTGCCAGGAGTGTGGCTAATTCAGGGAGAAGAGGTCTGCGTTATTTGACGTAAATTTGGCCTCAAAATACGCCTTCATTAACGCTTTTTTAAATTTTAATATTTATTATTTTTTAAAGTTTATTTATTTATTTTGAGAGAGAAAGAACGAGTTAGGGGAGGGCCAGAGAGAGGAAGAGAGAGAGAATCCCGAGCAGGCTCTGCACTGTCCCACGCAGAGTCCCATGCAGGGCTTGAACTCGTGAACCGTGAGATCATGACCTGAACCCAAGTCGGATGCTTAATGGACTTGAGCCACCCAGGTGCCCCGCCCTCCCCCTTTTTTTAAATCAAAGCTTTCAGCAGTTCACTGAATATGTAGACAATTCTGGAACTGTATAGCATGCCTCAAAGAAAAACAGCCTTCAGAGACAACTGGTCAGCACAGTCATCAATTTACATAATTGCCTGAAATGTTATGCTAGGAAGACCAAGTCTGTTTAATTATTGACATCTCGTCAGAAGATACGCTGCAGCTGACCAAATGGTCCTTTTAAACCTGTTTCAGCCTGAGTTTCATGTCGCCTAACAGTCTTTGATCACTCAGGGCTTCTCTGTATTTTTCCATCTTGAAGCTTTTCCGCTCATTCCCTCCTGACCAGGCTCCTACAGATTTATCCCCTCATGGGCCAATCACACCCCCTTGGGTAATAACTCACGAGGGCCATTTAGTTAAGTGACTGAGAAGGTCTGCCTTGACAGTTGGGGTATATTCGATGGTTATTTCTTTTTTCCCTTGTTTGCTATCTCTTCTCCCTCTTGTACCTGAATCCAAACCTTCAAAAGTAAGTCCAGGCCGGGCACTGGTCCTGGGCTGTAGTGGTACTGGCCCCATTTACTGGCACTTGCCGGGGGCCTTCTCGAACGCAGTCCCCTTTGATCCCAAGTCCCTGGAAGGTGGCTTGGCTTAGGCCTGCCTGTCTGTAGGTGAGGCACTGAGGTTCAGAGGAGAAACGTGCCCAGGCCACATAACTACGTGGTTGACGTGTCAGGATAACATCGTCTCCGGCATCTTGTTGACAGGCAGGGAGGCCGACCCCCTGGGAGGGGGGGTGCGAGGGTCCACCAGATGAACCAATGAGTGCGTGAAACCGGGGAGGTGTGTTCAGAAACAGTGCATGCCTCTTTCTTGCTTTGGGTGAAGTGAAAGGAGGTGTGCAGGCCGTGTGAAATGGTGTCGTGATTATTCTGATTGATCGCCCTGAGCAAACGGAAGACATCAGAAAACACTCTGATGCTTTAAAAACACTATATAAACGTGTGAAGTTCTCTTATGATTTCTCTAATAATTTCTATCTAATTCAGTCCTGTTTACAGTAAGGTCAATCAGAAGCCTTCCCCTGCATAGGAATCAAGTGCAGAATAATGACATTCTTCCTGATTCCGTGGAAGTCTTACAAAGTTGTATTTTTTTCATGTCCTTAGTTTCTTTTTATTTTGAGAGAGAGGGAGAAAGAATGATCAGGGGAGGGGCAGACAGAGAGGGAGAAAGAATCCCAAGCAGGTTCCACACTGTCAGCACAGAACCCCACATGGGGCTCGATCCGACGCACCTTGAGATCATGACCTGAACCAAGATCAAGAGTGAAACGCTTAACCAACTGAGCCACCCTGGCACCCCACAAAGTTGAATTTTTAATAGGTATATATGTATGTATGTACATACACTTACACATGCACTTCTATACTCCTTTATATAATGTATGTAGGTATATAAGACATAGAGAACATTCTAGAAGGATACACACCAAATTTGAAATAGTAATTGCGGATAGTATCTTCTTCTTTATTTAAAAAAAAAAAAAAGCAAACTCTGATGCCAGGTGGCTCAGTCGGTTCAGCATCCAGTTGCGGCTCAGGTCATGATCTTGTGCATGTTTCACAGGTTCAAGCCCCATGTTGGGCTCTGTGCTGACAGCTCAGAGCCTGGAACCTGCTTTGGATTCTCCCTCTCTCTTTGCCCCTCCCTCACTGGTACTCTGTGTGTGTGTGTCTCTCTCTCTCAAAAATAAACATTAAAAAAATTTTTTTAAAGCAAAAAGATTTTTATGCATTACTTATATAAATAATAGCTTTTTTTTTTAAAGTCTGATAAGGAGTCGTCACACAGTTAATGGAATTCATGGAGGTAATGCAAGGCCACTTTCCCTCTCTGTAGAGGTGGAATAAGGCTATTCCAGAGAATTTGCTCTGCTTGGAAATAAAGCACAGAAGACTGGCATTTTGTAGTTTTGACTATAAAGTGTCCAGGAAGCTTAGAAAGAGCATTAATACAATAAAAGCAGACTCTAATGGTGATTTGAATTCAAATTTTGTATCTTTCCAGAACTACACTCATAATATGCTTTGATTCTCCTTTAAAAATAAAATAAAAACCAAACGCATTGTCACGCAGGCCAACAACAGGTAGGAACACGGTCACCTCGTTTGAACTTAATTTATTCAGCCTTTTTGACAAGAACCTTATAGCTAGTCTCCTCGAGGGGTGACAAAATGACATTGCAGTTCGAAAATGCTTTAAAAACTTCTTTTTCCAGAAGCTATTCTGCATGTCACCATTCTCCAGAATATACCGAAAATCCCCTCTAGGGAAGTGCTGATAACATTGTGCATGTAACCCGCTGTCGGCTAGCACAGCTTAGGACCTGCTAGTTCGCGTCAGAGCTGCTGGATTGAATTTAGAGAAAAAGATTGCAAGTATTGACTTCGGGGACCTCCCAAGGAAGCAATGGGATTGGTTTTAACTCCGTGTTTTGTGGTGTGCTACGAAGTTAATTCTGATTAAAAGCAAGCCCAGATTTTCAGAGATAAGTGGATACAGACAGTTTCTCTTTATACTTTCTGAGGGGTATTGTGAAGAGCCTTATCTACTGGTTTGTCTTGCATACTTACCCTCCTAAGCAAGCCTCAGCCTCTTCTTCAGGGTTGTGTGGCATCTAAGCCACATAGAGGGTAGACCTCCACTTATGAAATTCCTAAACTACATATGGAATGGGAAATACGAAAGTACATGTGAAAGAAAATTCTAGATTGATGAACATAGGCCATGTTGGACACGCCTCCGTGGTGTAAGTTGGTGGTATCTCCTTTTATTTATAGACATCATTCCTTCCAGACATCACTGAAAGGTAAAATCAGGGGACCCGAGGGTGTTAGAGTATGGCTGTCAGCCTCTGTTTCTCTTATCCAGCCGTAAGCGCAAGGTTAACGTCCAAAAGCATACAAGCAAACACAGACACCAGCCCAGCACCCCAGTCATGCATTTCTGAGCCGAGACCCCTTCCTAGCACGCTGTGGAGGCTGCTGGGAATTCCCTCTCAGGGAAGGATGGAGGCACAGCCAGCATTAGAAGGATGTGGTTATAATTGAAATTTCTTAGGGAGCTAATGGAATAGGTTGCTTTTTTTTTTCCCCCCATTCTGTCCATCTGAGTTGTGGGATGGATCCTCTATACTGTTTTCTTTTCTGTCTTACCTCTCTTCTCCCCCATTCCTCTTTCTTTCCCTTTCCTGCCTGCCTGGAATGACTTACTTGTTTTCTGAAAGCAGATTAACTGAAAGTCTGGGCTGGAGAAGTCATATTCAAGCTCTGTCTTACCATGTCCCACCTCCTAGCCCCTCTTCCCAGTTGTGGGAGGTCCCTGAGTTGACGGAGCGCAGGTGGGGGCCCTGGGGTTATCAGCTGTCCCTCCCCTTGCTCACCACTGATGCTCCTTATGCCAGAGTTCAGTAGCTCTGTACCTCTGTAGACGCCCCAGGGGCTTTGGTGAGGCCGGGGACACATGTCTAAACTAGAACAGCGCTACCAATGGAAATAGAATGCCATCCCCACATATAACCGTAAGTGTTTCTAATAACCACATTAAAAAAAGTATAAAAGAAACAGATGAGGGGCACCTGCCGTGGCTCAGTCAGTTGAGCTTCCCACTTCGCTCAGGTCATGATCTCACAATTTGTGAGTTCAAGGCCCACATCAGGCCCACTGCTCTCAGCGCAGAGCCCACTTCGGATCCTCTGCCCTCCCCACTGCCGCCCCTCCCCACTCGCGCCCTCTCTCTCTCTCTCTCTCCCCCTCTCTCTCAAAATAAAGTAAGAAAAAAACATTAAAAAAAGAGAAACAAGTGAAAAAGGGTTAATGGAATACTACATGGCAATGAGAAAGAATGAAATCAGGCCACTGTAGCAACATGGATAGGACTTGAGGGTGTTATGCTGAGCGAAATAAGTCAGGCAGAGAAGGACAGATACCATATGTTTGCACGTATAGGAGGATTGGGAGGAACTTAACGGAGGACCATGGGGGAGAAGGGGGAAATAGTGGGGGAGAGGGAGAGAGGCAAACCATAAGAGACTCCTGAATGCTGAGAACAAACGGAGGGCTGATGGGGGTGGGGGAGAGGGGAAGGGAGGTGATGGGCATGGAGGAAGGCACTTGTGGAGATGAGCACTGATTGTTATATGGAAACCAACTTGACAATAAACTATTTAAAAAAAAATTTTTTTAAAGAAAAAGGATTAATGATACACTTCATTTAACCCGATCTATCCAAAGTATTATCAGTTTAAATATGGAGTCAGTATAAAAACTATTTGAAATATTTGCATGATTTTTTGGTACGAAGTCTCGAAGCCTGTTGTGAATTCTATACATAGTGCATCTCAAATTGGACTCCTTTGTGGTGGTTGTATGCTGTTAGTGTCCTGAAATTATCTCAGAATCCTTGAAGGCTTGAAATAGTGGCATTTGCCCATATGGCTGCCTTACAGGGATTTCAGGACACACCGTGCCACCGTTTCTCTGTGGACTTCAGGAAGTGGCACCTTGTACTCCCCGGCTTCCCCCCAAAGCACCTTCTGCCCAGGGGCTCCCTGCCTGACCTGTCTCAGTTCCGGTTTCTTCTTGTCTAGTGTACGTACCTGATGAGTGGGAGGTTGCTCGGGAGAAGATCACCATGAGCCGAGAGCTGGGGCAGGGCTCGTTCGGGATGGTCTACGAGGGAGTTGCCAAAGGCGTGGTTAAAGACGAGCCCGAAACCAGGGTGGCCATCAAGACGGTGAATGAGGCCGCGAGCATGCGTGAACGGATTGAGTTTCTCAACGAGGCTTCAGTGATGAAGGAGTTCAATTGTCACCATGTGGTAAGAGAACGCACTGAGAAGCCAGAACCCGACACGGGGAGGGCGCCTCCATGGAGCCCTCCCCCCCCAGGATGTCAGCAGCCTCACGTGGGTGGCTGGCATCCCGCCCCTCCTTACAGAGTCTCCATCACCTCACCATTGCGCCTTCATGCGTGTGCACAGGAAGGCTCTGGAAGTGGTGGAGACCTGGCCAGTGGAGGCCCTGTGGCCCGCTCCTCTGGGTGCTGCAGGTCACAGTTCTAGCAGCATGGACAGGGACTGTCACTGGCAACCCTCACCCTGAGTCCTTCTCTCTGTCGTTCCTCCCAGGTACGCTTGCTGGGCGTGGTGTCCCAGGGCCAGCCGACGCTGGTCATCATGGAGCTGATGACACGGGGTGATCTCAAAAGTTATCTCAGGTCTCTAAGGCCAGAAATAGAGGTCAGTTTACATTTTCACCGACTTCGCACATTACCTGTTCTTTCTTTACACCTTCCCCCCACCCCCCCACCGAAGATGTTGTGTCTTTATTTTTTTAATTTTTTTTGTAAGAGACAAAGCGTGAGCAGGGGAGGGGCAGAGAAAGAGAGAGACAGGCTCCGAAGCAGGATCCAGGCTCCGAGCTGTCAGCACAGAGCCCGATGTGGGGCTCGAACCCGTGAACCATGAGATCATGACCTGAGCCGAAGTCAAACGTCCAGCCAACTGAGTGACCAGGCGCCCCTGTGGCTTTAAACCCACCTACTTTTCAACATTGAATGTTTCTTGCTGCGTACTTGGTTATAGGTCCTTTATATGGAAGATTTCCCTGATTAGAGAGAGACCTTGAGCTTTTGTGCAAGGCCCTTGCCATTCCTCAGATACCCTTCTACTTGACCCTTCTGTGTGGTTATTCTGCATTCCGCCCACCCCCAGTCCCCTCCTCCACCGTGGGTGCTCCCTGACTCCTACCTGCAGACCTGCATCCATGTCCACACCACTTCCTCCCTGAAGCCTTCCCTGCCCTCTCCCCCCTGCCCGGAAGGAACCCTCCCTGACTTGTCCTCTAGCATGGCTCTCTCTTCTCTGGTTCTCCGAGTGGATTCCCCTTCCACCCCATTGTGTTCAGCTCTTCCTCCCAGGCTCCGCCACGAGTTCAGGGTCTGTGTTTGTGGCAGGCAGTGTTTCAGTAAGAGCCTGTCAGAGTTCAATGTTAGGCTGACGTGATTCTTGTGCTGGTGTGGTTTGCCACCCAGCTCTGTGTGCAAATGCCCCCTCGTTCACGAACCCCCTCCCGCGCACACACCCTGCCAACCTCACTCCCCACCCCACCCCCCATCAACAGTCTGAGCCTTTGAGACTGGGAAGCCCCATTTCTCAAACTCTGCGTCCACACATCAGGCTTGAAGCTGAGGCAGAATGATAATCGCCTCGGCTGCACAGTGTCTGCTTAGTCTAGTAAAAAAGATCAATTTGTGTTATGAGCTTCAACTTGTAAACCTGCCGAAGTCCTCTGCAGTTTTTCATTAGTCACTGTGGTGGCTGCCGTCTGTGGCTTGAACACACAAGGGGCCGTTTTAGCTCGTGGAAGCACGCCTCGCAAGTGAGTCACTCTGAGAATAAACTGGCAGATAAACACTCACAAATAACACCAGCAACATCTGCCTTTCATTCGGCCGCCTCGGTGGGGCTCAGGTCCTCACTTTCACCCCAGCTTTGCTCCGTGGTGAGCAGGCTTTGTGTCTGCTTTTATTCCCACAGCACCCCCCTTCCTCAACCTCTTTTGAATGTCTACAGCCGTTCCCTGTTGGCGCCTAATCTTTGAGGTTCTTTTCATCTGCACCTTAATCATCTCCCAAGTAGTCACTCCATACATTTTAGTTCTGGGCACCTGTTCGCATGTGGCTTCCTGCGTTCACGGCAGGTGATTCTCCTTGTTCTCCGAGGGTCACGAGGCCGAGTGTGGCCCGAGGGCTGGAGCAGGGTGATTTACAACACGCACCCCCGCCCTCTGCCTTACCGCGTGGCCCCCAGCTCCCCTGGCTCGCGGTGCCTTTTCCCGGCTCCCGTCCGTGATGCACAAGCTGCAGCAGACAGGGGGCCCGAGCCGCGGCTTGTGCCTCTTACCAGATTCCCGCGGGACCCCTCAGAGGTACGAACACTCAGGGCCCCGATTGCAGGCACAGAACGGATGCTCGGAAGCTCACAGTGTCCGTCCCCGCCCTGCTGCGAACGGCCCGCCGTCCTCAGGCAGCCGCTCCCTCTGCATCTCAGGCTCCTCGTGTGTCAGATACGACGGGTGGACAAGAAGCTTTCTCAAAGTCCCTTTTCCAGATCTCAGATTCACTTTCAGATGTGTCCGATTTAAACTTGGTCTTTCTAGCTCAGGTCAAGGATAAAAATAGGGATGCTTGTCCCACAGGTTCATTATACTCTCTTTGGCATCTTCTCCCCAAGTTAGGATTTGCTCATTTACTTTGCTAAACGTGGCTGTTTGTGTGTACATGTCTGCAGTAGCTCGAAGCAGATGAAAGATTTCCGCTCTCGGAAATGTCTGACGAATGGCAGCCCTCTCTTCTAACACGTATAATCCGATTCCTTTTATTGATTCTGTTTTTATGTTAATTATGAATGACCACTTCTTTTAAAAAAATTTTTTTAATGCTTATTTATTTTTGAGAGAGAGAGAAGGCGAGTGGGGGAAGGGCAGAGAGAGAGGGAAGTACAATCTGAAGCAGGCTCCAGGCTCGGCACAGAGCCCAATGCGGGGCTCGAGCTCACGAACCGCAAGATCACGACCTGAGCCAAAGTCGGACGCTTCACTGACTGAGCCCCACCGGGCGCCCCTATATAACACGTACACTTAATACCCCACAGCTTAAGAATTATGAGCATCAACCTAACAGCTCACCTGCAGATTTCCCAGCATACCATGTGTATCTAAAGCCACAGAAAAGGTTAAAAGGCAACGGTGGGTCCTGTCGGGGAAAAAGCTCTTCTACAAGAGGCTCCCGTGTAAAAAGAAAGTGGTGGTTTGGGCTTACCCTTGGGGACATCGTGTCACTTCCCCAGGAAACTCTATGATAAGTATTTTAAACCACCAGAGATGGTCTTGATAGTCTCATCAGAATGTAAACATACGTCATGTGCCGGGATCTGACCCCCAAGTGCTTCTAGAAGCCAGCTTTCAGCAGAAACCAGCGCATCACTGGCAAAGCCAACGTCCACGGAGCACCGAACCCGCCAGCAGGCGCTTTCCAGGCATGATCACAGCTCATGCTTCCAGCACGGACCCCACGCAGGCATGCCCTTCCCATGGTGCCCAGGCTTTGAGCCGAGAGGGTGATACCTTGGGACCCATCAGAGCAATGTGGCTTTGCAGTGTTGTAGCAGATGCTCTATAGTCAGGGAAACCGAGGTAAAATCAATTTTGCACCAGCACAGGCAAGAGGTGGTTAGCATCTAACCTGTGGCGAGCCGATTTGCTTTGTATTTTTTTAGGATGGAGAGATTTGGGCACATGTTTTAGATAAGCTTTTTTCTAAACTATTTATTTATGTAATAATGTAATAAATAATTTATAAATTCCTATAAATTATTTATTATTACTATTTGGAGGTAGTTCTCTTTAATTCCAAAGCCAGTAGATTGTCCTCCTCTGGAAAGAGGACATGCTTTTCCGTGTTCCATGTCCCCATTTTGCATTGGGCCCCTGCCAGAATATGCTTCAACTGGACTTAATGGGCAAGTGCCTGTTTTCCTTGGCACCCACAGAAAACAATAGCCCAAGGAATACCACAGCGTAAGGTGCAGATATTCATCGTGATACTTTTGTACTTGAGATGAAAGTTAAAGAAAAAGATCAAATACTTGATAGCGATGCTTATGTGAGAAATAAAGCATACGGCATCGATTTGGGAAGCACATTTGCTTGCTTCCACACAGCCTTCGTAAGTCTCTCTCTCCTTCCACCTATAGAAAGAAAAGGAACATCTAAACTAATAAAAGTGGGAGTAATCAAGAAATCTTAATACCCAAAATCGTTAGCTTCACTTTAAATAATTCTTGCCCTACCCAAAATAGAAAACGCCAGTCCCAAGTTGTGCTGATTAGTGTTTCTCTCAGCAGCTCTGTGTGATGTGGTCAGCGAGCAAGCACATGACTTTGCCATGCAGCAGATGCTGTGTTCCTTCTGAGCAAGTCCTGTTTCTTAGCAAACTGACCTGTGGTGTGCAGACTGAACAAAGATGGGTTTGCACACCCTGAAAGAATGTGGGGTGGGGAGCACTCCTCAATTCTTACGTACATTTTGTTTTTTTAATCTCCAACAGAATAATCCAGTCCTAGCACCTCCGAGCCTGAGCAAGATGATCCAGATGGCGGGAGAGATTGCAGACGGCATGGCATACCTCAACGCCAACAAGTTTGTCCACAGGGACCTTGCTGCCCGGAACTGCATGGTGGCTGAAGATTTCACGGTCAAAATTGGAGGTGTGTTCTTCGCTTTCCAGATCTGAGCAGGAACTAAACTCGCACACGTTTCAGGCACTGAGCTGCCATTCACCCACCTGTGAAGAGGTTTTCCAGTGCATCTCATGAGTACGGAGCCTCGTACTTGGGAGTAACTTGGTTGTCTCTGATTGAGAGTCCGTCACAAACCTGAACTGGGCTGGCTCAAGTCCTGAGAGCATGTGTGGCCACAGAGGAACAGGCAGTGGGCAAGTATGAGCTGAGGCCGTGGCTCCTGAGGGAGCCTCCCCTGTCACTTGGGTCATTTCTTGGCAGAACAGTTCTAAGCATTGGTTACAGAAATAATTGAGGCACTGTCCTCAGGTGATTTTGACTCGGGAATGAAAGTTGCCATACAAACATCCAATGTTTCCTCCAATTTTCCCGGCTTGAAAGGAGTTTTGTCCTCCCAGTGGTTTATGGAGTTTTCTAAGACATGAGGTCCCCTAACGGTAAAGCCCTTGCATAGAGCAGTAGCAGTGACAGGGAGGTGGCAGTCACTCAGATGAGAGAAGATCGTCACTTATTGGGGTTCACACACAGGTTGGTCAGCCTCTAAGCTCTTGACCTGTGTGTTAAACACTTCGGTGATCAACTTGCTGGCTAGAACTCTTGTTACCACCACCCACTGAAACACCAAAAGAAGGGAGTTGGATTGCATTTCTGGTGCTGGTTAGAAATTCATTTTAGCCTTTAGGTTTCAGTTTTGCTTTGATCTCTTATTCCAGATAAAAACACCTATAACCTCAGGGCTATTCAGGAAAGCACCTACTCTTACCAGTACCTTTGTCTTCCCACTACAAGATGATGATGGCTCAGAAAAACATCAAATATTTATCCTGAGAAACTGCAGGGGACACTTTACATCCAAAATCTATTTAAAATTAGCCTCCTTGATGTAGCTGACTTTCCTAACACATAGAAACAGACACAGAGAGTTATACAAAATGAGGAAGCAGAGGAATATGTCCCAAATGAAAGAATAGCACAGAATCACAGCAAAAGAGCTGAAAAAGCCAGCGGTAAGGAATATGTCTGTTAGAGAATTCAAAGTAATGGTCAGAAAGATACAGGACTGGAGAAAAGAGTGGAGGATCTCACTGAGATCTTCAACAAAGAGACAGAAAATATACCAAAGAACCAATCAGACAGAGATAAAGAACTTACTAACTTAAAGATACACTAGAGGGAATCAATAGGAGGGGAAGCAGAGGAACCGATCCATGAGCTAGAAGAGGAAGCAATGGAAAGCAACCAAACAGAACAGGAAAAAGATAAAAGAATAATAAAAAAGAAGGATAGGTTAAGGGAACCCAGCAACACCATCAAGCATAATATTATTCACATTCTAGAGATCCCAGAAGGAGAAGAGAGAAAATCTATTTTAAGAAATAATAGCTGAAAACTTCCCTAATCTGTAGAAGGAAACGGACTCAGGAACTAGTGAGAGCCCCAATAAAATCAACCCAAGGAAGTCCACACCAAGATACATAATAATTAAAATGGCAAAAAGTAGTGATAAAGTTTTAAAAGTAGCAAGAGAGGGGTGCCTGGGTGGCTCAGTTGGTTAAGCATCCAACCTCGGCTCAGATCATGATCTTACGGCTTGTGAGTTCAAGCCCCACATCGGGCTCTGTGCTGACAGCTCAGAGCCTGGAACCTGCTTCCGATTCTGTGTCCCTTTCTCGCTCTGCCCCTCCCCTGCTCGCACTCTGTGTCTCTCTCTCAAGAATAAATTTTTTAAAAAAACATTAAAAAAAGAAAAAAAGAAAGGCAGCCAGAGGAAAAAAAACAGTTACATACAAGGGAAACCCCATAAGATTATAAGCTGATTTTTCAACAGAAACTTTACAGGCCAGAAGGGAGTGGAATGATATATTCAAAGTACTGAAAAAAAATAAATAAATAAAGTAAAATAAAATTAACCTCTTTGGTTACCTCTTGAGCTCTGTTCTAGAAAGGCTCACCTTTCTTTAGCAATATATTTTTTCTTTAGCTATGATTTGAATGAAATATTTTGGTCCTTTAGTTGTAAATGAGGAGTATCCCCTTTAGAATATCAAATATTATCAAATTAGGGGTGAGTGTCTTTATTTGTCATTTATCGGAGACAGAGGTGATGACTGGAGCCATATCATAGAGCAGACATTCTGTGTCATCAGAATTACTCATTCATGAGCCACCAGTGTGTCCCTGGATTTGGCCCTTTGAGGCATCCACACATCTGGTGCCCCTTGAAGCCCAAGACGTTGACATGCTCCAGGGTTTCTAGGGAAGAGCCTCTTTGGCCGCCCTTCTACTCTTCCTTTGTGCTCCCTGCTCCCTTCCCCTTCCCTTTCCATTCCCCACCCCCCCTTTTCCATGAGGACTCAGATTATTCCCACGGAGATGCCAGGCAGCCCCCCTTCCCCAGTGCTCGGGAACCAGGAAGGCCTGAGCTTATATACTGGTTCTGCCAATAACAGATGAGACTTGGGACAGGTGCCTTGAGTTCTGTGAGCCTCAGTTTCTTTCCCTCTGAAATGAGGATGCTGATAGAGCAGACCTATGAGATACGGCAGGCAGGACCGGGTGCAGGAACACTCCAAGCACATGTCTGGCGTGGGACAGGTCCCCAGGAGGTATTAGTTCCTACAGCTGTCAGCATCCTGCTTCCCACCTGCTTCCTGGCACGTGCGGGAGCTCAGCTCCTGCTACGCGCTGCTTTCTGGTTTCCCATCACGGCGGGAGAGCCCTTGTGCCACTAACATTTGAAGTCCAAATCAGCAAGGACCATATTCGCCATTTAACCTGGTGGCACATTTTAGTGACCTTTGTACTCATGATTTTTCACACTAAAATTTGGAATTTTTCTTTTTCTTTTTTTTTTTTTTTAATGTTTTATTTATTTCTAGGAGAGAGAGAGAGAGAGACAGCGTGAGCAAGGGAGGGTCAGAGAGAGAGGGAGTCACAGACTGNTGACAAATTTTACTAGAGATGAATCTTTCAGCTCAGAGGAAAATGTACCTTTTTTTTTTTTTTTTGGCTCAGAAGAAAGTCAGATGAGGACTTTAAAAGGTAAATTTGCCCCCTCTGGGGTAAAGTCACAAAACTTCTATGCACAGAGCAAGATGTCAGCCAAGGATGAAGCAATTCTCACTTACTGACCATTTCTTTTTCTTTTTCTTTTTTTTAAATGTTTTATTTACTTCTAGGAGAGAGAGAGAGAGAGAGAGCGTGAGCAAGGGAGGGTCAGAGAGAGAGGGAGTCACAGACTGAAACAGGCTCCAGGCTCTGAGCTGGCAGTCAGCACAGAGCCCAATGCGGGGCTCGAACCCACCAACCGCGAGATCATGACCTAAGCGAAAGTCAGACGCTTAACCGACTAAGCCACCCAGGCGCCCCTAAAATTTGGAATTTTTCTTTTGTGCTAAGGAAGAAATAGTTTATGTTCTTTTTCTGGGATATTTTGTTTTTCCTTTGCGTGCACATAAAGGCAAACCCTCACATCCGCATGCCACTGGATCAGTTCTGAGATAAGGTTTCAGCGCTTCATTTTTATTCTTCACGGGTTCGAAAGCCCTGTTTTTCCAATGCCCAGTGTCTCACGGAGTCCAGACATGACAAGTAATTTTATCAGAGGCAGCTTGACGGGCGCTCAGCTCAGCTCGAGTAAATTGTGGCGGTGAACATCCAAGGAACTTTATACCCTGTGTTTGCTTTGCAGCCTAACCGCTTTGTGGCAACAGTTAGAGACATGAATGAACAGTTTAGAAAGGAGAGCAGCCCTTCCTCCTGGGAAGGAGAATGGAAGAGTCCCAATAAGAAAAGGTTGGGTGATTGAGTGGAAAATCGAAATCTGACAAAGAAGCGATAATTTAGGATTATAAAGCAAGCCTGCCATCAAACATAATTATGTGACATCTTCTGGAGACATGGAAAATGGAACAAATTTTCAAAAACGACTAGGAGCATTATGTTGAAAAACATTATTGGGTAATAGCTTCAGGGGCCTAGTAAATAGCATCTCCCAGCATCTTACTGTGTACTTTTTTTCCCCATGAATTGGTACTTTCAATATTTTCCCCCTTATTAAGCAGCAAAACTATGTTATTTCCTCTGGCAGTGGGGTGGTGCTTCCAAGGAAGTAAGAGTCAACATGTTCTTGTTTCTGTCACCAGGTTTTAAAACCACATATAGATGACCTTTGGTCCACACATACCTGTTTTCTGGATAAAGTAGGAGACCTGATCATTTGTAAACTGCTTCTCACTTTAAATGAATAAAGGAATTAACTTGTTTATCTGTTTATTTAATTGGAATTAAATTTTTTTTAATTTTTATTTTCTTAACGTTTGTTTATTTTTGAGAGAGAGAGAGACAAAGCATGAGCATGAGCAGGAGAGGGCAGAGAGAAAGGAAGACACAGAATCTGAGCTGTCAGCACAGAGCCCGACAAGGGGCTCGAACCCACGAACCATGAGATCATAATCTGAGCCGAAGTCGGACGCTTAACCAACTGAGCCCCCCCCCAGGCGCCCCAACTTTTTTTTTTAAAGGACTCAAATTGTAAACACATTTGAAACAGACATTTATTGGTATTTACTTGTCACGGGATTAGTCGGTCCGTCATCCCTTATTGATTCTGCCTCATGCAAACTGCAAACACCGATGTCCAGACTCCTGAGAGTGTGGCTCACCTGTGGGTGTCCCGCAGCAGTGATGGGACATCGTTGCTTCTGCCCTGAGAGCTGCTCACAGTGCGTCACTCTCGTGCCTTCTCTCCACCTTACAGATTTCGGTATGACGAGAGATATCTACGAGACAGACTATTACCGGAAAGGAGGCAAGGGGCTGCTGCCTGTGCGCTGGATGTCGCCCGAGTCCCTCAAGGATGGGGTCTTCACCACTCACTCTGACGTCTGGTACGAGTCTTCTTCCATCACGCGAGCCCGGAGCCCTCCAGCCTCCACAGATCCCACTGGCTCTGTCTCGAGGGCTTTATGTTTCTCCTGGTCTCTGTTCATCGTTACCCCCTTTCCAGCTTTGGCTAAGCGCTGTGTGGGCCCTAGTCCTGCACGGTTGAAGAGCTCCCGTTGTCAGTGGGCTAGCCAAGGACGGTGGGCAGTCGCGGGCTCTAAAGAACTTGTAGGACCCACATTTCTTGCAGTCCTTAGCTGCTCAGTAAGCGGCGAGGGGCCCTTGAGACAGACCACCAGGAGCCGGGACATGTCCGAAAACTTCATCTCTGCCCTGGCCGCCTGCTCTCCTTCTACCTTTCCCAACAAATAGGTAACGCAGTATGTGCGTGCGGCTGCCTCACCTAATTACAACTTCAGATTGCAGACATTGCTTTCTTCAGACCCAAAGCTTGTGAGTCTGGATGTGTTCTCTCATTCGGCCCATCTGCTGTCTGTCTTTTCTCAAAAAGCTTCACCACTGTTGACCCAGGGATGGTCTGGAAAGCACAATGTCTCCCTTCACGATAACGTGTCTTGGGGTACAAAGCAGATCAGCCGAGGAATACAGAGGACTCTCACTAGTGCTGTTTACTCTGATTCCTCAGCAACGCTGGAGAGGAGGCCAGGTTCCGAAATACAACTGAGGTCTTTGGCAGGCTGAGGCCCTGGCACATCTACCTTCTAGAACGTCAGCTAGTTTCTTGGCTGTCATCCTGGGAGATCCCATTGCTGATGTGTTACAGAAATGGGATTTGTTTACTCCTGCAGTCCGGATGGCCACATCGAGGAGCTATTTAAATAGTGACCGACATCATTTTTTTTTTTTAACCTCATGAACCTTTCACAGTTCAAGGGCCTTGGATCTTACTTTGAAGACAGGTGCAAATTGGAAATAGCATTTGAATATGACCCGGCAAAGCGTGATTGCCTCTCGAGTTCATGTATGAGATCTGTTTTTGCAGTTAGCCTGTCCAAGATAGTGAGCTCTTTGCTGTCAAATCAAAGTGCTCACCACCATTTTTAGATATAGAGATGATGGGGAGAGAAGGTCTGTTCTTGCATCTGATTATCGTAGCCTCTATACCTCCCAGAGCTCTGAGGTCAGCTTGCAGTATGATAAAATAGAAAACCGTGCGAGCCAGGGACCGCAGAGGCAGAATAAGAAGAGAAAACTAGAGTGAGTTAGTAATATCTCACAGGCTAATTTTGCCCAAAACCCTGGTTAGCAACAGTTGCCACCAGCAGTGGCAACAGAGGGACATACAGGGTATTCAATGCCAGATTTCTCCCACTTGATGGCATTGACATTATGAACAAGTAATATATGTATATAAACAAGAGTGTCTGTTTGATATTCGTTCCATTCAGTGTTCAGGCATTAGCAGTGCTTTAAAAAAATGTTTTTTAAATGTTTTCTTTCTTTTTTTTTTAAATTTTTTTTAATGTTTTTATTTATTTCTAGGAGAGAGAGAGACAGTGTGAGCAGGGGAGGGTCAGAGAGAGAGGGAATCACAAACTGAAACAGGCTCCAGGCTCTGAACTGGCAGTCATCACAGAGCCCGACGCGGGGCTCGAACCCACGAACCGCGAGATCATGACCTAAGCGAAAGTCGGACGCTTAACCGAATAAGCCACCCAGGCGCCCCATAATGTTTTCTTTATTTCTGAGAGAGAGAGAGGCGGGGGGCAGCATGAGCAGGGGAGGGTCAGAGAGAGAGGGACACATAGAATCTGAAGCAGCCTCCAGGCTCTGAGCTAGCTGTCAGCACAGATCCTGACATGGGACTCGAACCCACAAACCGTGAGATCATGACCTGAGCCGAAGTCGGTCACCAAACCGACTGAGCCACCCAAGCACCCCTTAAAAAAAATTTTTTTTAACACAGCCTTTGAGGGCAACATGGGTAGGGTAGGCCAGGACTTGGTAAATATGGAAGGTTCCCCAGCTTCTAAAGCCATCCCTGTCAAAGGAATGGAAGTCACCTGAGATTGGATTCAATAGCACAAAACAGGTATTCCTAAATAGTTGAAAATCTAGAAAGAGATACAGAGAATTGTATTTGACTTTGTCAAAGAGACCCCAGTATCTTAGGTTTGGGAGGCATCCCCAAGGTCAAGTCCAGCACCCACATCCCATCCACGGCCTCTTGGACAGCTAGTAGTTGAGCTTCTGCTCACATGGCTCCAGGACTGCTTGTCCCCTCCTTCACAAGGACAGCCACCCTAACGCTTAAGACGCCCTTGTTCTTTGCAGGCCTCTTCTCATATGATGCTCAAGTCCACCTCTGGTGACGCCCAGGGCCCTCCTCTATAGCACCGTCACACACTTGCCTCTGTCTTTGATGAGACAGGCCTTGGAGTGGTCTCTTTTCTCTAGTTTGAACGCTCGCACATTTTTCTGCTGCCCTTTGGGATTTTATTCCCGGGGCCTCGGGCTCTGTGCATGCTACTCCTACAGCTCCCTGGTAGCACCGCGTCCTTGCAAATGATTCCTTTGGCTTAGAAGACACAAGTGTGTGCCCTCCCTGGGCATCTGGATCAGCCTCCAACAGTCTTCATTTCTTGACTTACTAAGATGGTTTCTAAACTCCCACAAATATCCAGGCCTGCACCCACTTAAAGTTACTTGCCTCTCTAGTTCTAATTAACGTCAGTGGGGAGCGTGGGGATCCACGTAGGTGTCGATTTGCTGGCGGGTGGGACACGGACACGCTCCTGTCGTGCTGTGCCGACGTGCGGTTCCTGAGCGCCGACCCCAAGCAGAGACAGCACTGATGTGGCCGATTCACCTCAAGTTGTACCTTCTTTAGGGAAAGCCCCACAGTGCTCATAATTAGAAAAGACGTCACACAAAGACATCTGTCCAGTGTTTAAAGATGAAATCTGTCCACAGAATTCATGACTTGGTTTTATACGAAGGCATTGAAACCACTGCCCACAATATAAATCATCTGCTTTGAAAAATACATAGGCTTTGCATATTAGCGTCCCTGACCGGCTATGTGGCCTTGGTCAAACCATGGCGCATCTCTGGGCGCGTCTGCTTAGGAAGGTCTACACTCCCTGCTATGCACACAGGAGCTTGATAAATGTTTAAATGGCTCCTGTGGCAACTAGTGGCATCAGGGGGGCATCTTGGTGCCGGGTAGAGATACTTCAGCCTCCATACGTTAGACTCAGCTGGTCACGTCCCATGAAGGATGACCAGACTCCAGCATTAAGTGGCCAGCCCTCCCTGACGAGGGATGCTGGCATCACACGAGTTGCTCCAGGGAAAGAGAGCATTTGTGGAGCCGGCCCTATGACCTGCCGTGTTCCTTCTTGCATGTGACCACAAGGACCTGGTGCAGCCCAGGAAACACTCCACGTGTGCAAGAACAGGGTGACTAGGGACCGATTCCCTGTCCCGGAGGGGTGACGTCTTGTGGAGAAGAGGAAGTGACCCTGACAGGTCGGAGTCACAGAAGCCTGGCCAGAAGAGACGGGGCTGTGGGGCACCCTGAAGTATGAAGTGTCACTCATGAGACAGTGAAGAGACGGGTTCTAGGCAGCGGGAATGCCGGGGGAGGCCATGGTGGCAGGACGCGCTTGCAGCTCATGGAAGACGGGGGGACTCCCTTGAGGGAGTTGGGGTGGCGAGAGATCAAGTAAGGCCTCAGGCGTTGCGTCAGGGGCTTGGGTCTGATTCTTCAGGTTCTGCAAAGATGTGTAAAGCTTCTGAAGGAAGAGCCACACAGAAAGGTGAACATGTCCCGTTAGCTAGAGTGTCAGACTGCACTGTGGAAGGTGCTGGTGCCAGAGAGGAGGAGCACTGTGGGCCAAGGAGGACCGGCAGCGCTGTGGCGGACCCTGAGGAGGCAGAGGGAAGGACTTAGTCTTGAGGGTTGACTGCTCAAGTGAGGCCGGGCCCCGACTGCGTGAGGCCAGAAGAACAGGACTGAGAGGCAGAACTGAGGCTGAGCCCCAAGAAGTTTATGGATCGCCAAGTGACCGGGAGCTTGAGACAGAGCAGCCGGGGGCCGAAAAGAGTCCGTGCAGGAGCCGCTGGGTGAGAACAGGCTGAGTCTGTGGCGGAGAAGGGGCTCTGGGAGGAAACTGTTGTCAGAGGATTCCTCAGGTCAGGCTTGCAGTCGGTAAAACCAGCCAAGCTTGTCATTTCTTGGACCGTCCCGCCCTCCAGACATGGAGGTTGGGAGCTCCAAGGCTCGTTGCCAATGTGACCAGGCCCACCCCAGTGTGACATCCCAGCGCCAGGCTTGTGGCAAAGCTGGCTGCCATCAGCCCAAGCCTCTGAACGCCGCACTTAGGCCTCTGGGTCTTTGGCGTTTCTAGGTCTCTTGTGCGATGTAAAGACTATTTCAAGGTCACTGAAGATTAAAAAGGGCCTTGGGTGGGTCATTCCTCTGCTAAGATTCTATTTATGTCTGACAGTTGCTCTTAGTACCAATTTGCCCAGAAGCCTTTTTATCTTTTTATGTTTATTCATTTATTTTGAGAGAGAGAGCATGCATGCAAGCAGGGGAGGGCCAGAGAGAGAGAATCCCAAGCAGGCTATGCTGTCAGCCCGACACGGGGCTCAAACCCACGAACCGTGAGATCATGACCTGCGCTGAAATCAAGAGTTGGACACCTAACCGACTGAGCCCCCCAGGCTCCCCTGTACAGAAAACTTTTGTTCATGGAAAGTCGCTATTGCTGAACCAGTAAACAAAACACCGGCTCCGGCTCAGGGCCAGGATCCTGGGGGCTCTCGGGGGGAAGTGTGGGGCCCTGGGATTTCCCTGGCCCATCTACAGTCCTGTCGGAAGCCACTTGGGCTGTTTGCTGCTGATGAGCCTGCTTTATTCTGCTGAGATGAACCGAGTGTAAAGGCAAATAGACCGAGGAAGATCCGTACAAGGTGGCCGTGCGTGTTGGGAAGGCACCTTTATTTTGCACGTTGCAGCATCTCCTTTTTCAACATTATCTGCCTGGCGGGGAAATGCGGGGAGGGAAGGGGCGGTGCAGCCCGCCCGCCCCTCTCTGAGCCCTCACGCCCCTCTCTCTCCTTAGGTCCTTCGGGGTCGTTCTCTGGGAGATCGCCACGCTGGCCGAGCAGCCGTACCAGGGCTTGTCCAACGAGCAAGTCCTGCGCTTCGTCATGGAGGGCGGCCTTCTGGACAAGCCGGATAACTGCCCCGACATGCTGTACGTACTGCCTGGGCCCCTGCTGCCGCCCCCCGACTCCCCTCCTTGGTGACCCTTCCTGGGTCACCCGAAATCGGCGCTTCTGAGAGCCAGTCTCTGCGGCCCGGCAGGTGGAGATGGGGGGGCAGGGGGTGCAGTTTGGAAGGGGGTTAACCCAACGGGAGGACCCAGTGCCTTTGTGGGGCCTCTTTAATGTTCCCCGCATCTCCCTGAATCTTCTCATCCTGGTTTGTGCTTGGAGCCTCAGGCCAGGCATCTCTGTGAAGTATTTGACCAAAGTGACCCCTACGCAGCTTCTGCGTGCGGAGTTTAAGAAAAGAGGGTTGGGGGCCACAGCATGGCACTGACGGCGCTTGAGCCACATGCCGGAGCCTCCTGCAAACTTGAGCAGGACTGCTCAGGCACCTTGTTGGGCAAACCTTGGGCCTCTTCCCGCGGCATGCTGCCTCCTCAGTGATGCCCCCCCAGGTTTCTTCTCTGCTGAGTGCTGACAAGTCATCTGCCCTGTAAGCAACACGCTCTCCGGAGCTTTGCCCAGTAACCCAGGGGATCTGGAACGTGGTTTAGCTGGCTTCCCTGTGGACACGGCCCCATGCGCGCACTTTGGGCTCTGGCAGATTTGTCCCCTCACACCCCTTCTTTTTAACAACAACAACGACAACCACAGCAACAACATTCCGCCCTCTGTTCCCGAGATTTGTCCGACAATGAGAGGGTGTCCGTGATCCCTCCTGGGCCCAAGTGATGATGGCTGACTCGCTTGCGATAGCAAACTCTGAATGATACCCCCTGCTTGTTATCCTTTGGGTAATCTTTGTTTGTTTCTACAATATTTATTATAATTTCTATACAGAAACCTTTAAATGGCAAGACGAGCTTTGCCCACATTTAGAAAATCACTTAGGGCCACTCCCTCGGCGTCCTTCGGAGCACCCCTTGTCGGCGCAGGTCAGAGCTGCCAAGGGCCACGGCCTCCCCGTCCACGGGAGGAATGGGTCCGAAGAGGCTGTGGAGGTGTTCTGTGGCTGGGTCATCAGCTGCAGGACAGGTCCAGGTAGAGAGCATGGACTTGTTTCCCAGGTGCGTATTAAGGCAGGGCTCAGAGATTCTTCTGGATTCCAGTGGGTAGAAGGTAGGTTACTGCTAGTACCTCAGGACCAATTCAGGAATTTTCCAGGAGCACTTTTCAGGACAGGTGTGGCTTCACACTGGGAACGATCCCGGAGGAAGGGTCAGGCTGTGTCTGTGTGGAAGACCCACCCCCGCCCCCAGACCTGCCGCCCGCACATGCACCAGGCCCCCAGTGAGCAGGGGCCCAGGCTGGACCTCGGGGCCGTGGGATGGTTTGCAGATACGAGTCAGACACCACGTCGGCTGGGGACCAGGGAGTTTGGCCCCGACGGTCACAAAAGCTTTGCTCCTTTGAGTCCCTCGCGGTTTCCTTGGCTCAGGAATCTGGACCCGGGTGTGCGGCCCTTCTGTTCTGTCTCATCAGCCTGAAATCAAGGTGTCGCCTGGAACTGCCATCCTCTGAGGCCCTGGGCCTCTGGCAGGACTCATCCCTGTGGCTGCAGGGCCACCGTCCTTCCGGAGAATGGGCCTTCCCCCACTGCCCGCTTACTTCTTCAGGGCCAGCAGGAAAATCTCTCGTTACCATTTGTTTTGCCTGTGTCAGCCACATCTAGCCCAGATAATCTCCCTGTTGGTTAAGTCAGAGTCAGCTGATGAGGAAACTCCAAAACGGGGTGAAATCCCATCTGCTCAGGTGAGGGGTTGGTCATCCAGGGCGCTGACCCGGGGCAGGACTCCTGGGAAGCATCTTTGAGTCCGACTCCGACAGCTTAGGAAGCAGAAACCACTGTCTGTGAACAGACCGAGGTTCCGTGCTGGCTTTCTGCAGCACTGTGTTGCCAGCAAGCCTGCATCCGTGTCCACGTGGCAGGCCGTGTTCCGAGGCTCTGGCCGCATGGCTGCAGGGCCTCTGGGGCGGGGGACTCGGTGCTTCTGGAGCACGTTAGCGGAGCCTCGTGTGTCTTAACTGCTGCTTCTGAGTGTTTGTTGGGCTGAAGCCCACAGGGAGCTTGTGTGGAGCTAAGAGGACCCAAGACCGCCCTAGGGAGAGCAGCATTCTGGCTTCCGCGTGTGCGTGCGTGTGTGTGTTGGAGGTGGGGGAGCCCCCTGATCATCTGAGCAGGGACTAGGAAGCCCACATGGGCCTGAATGTGGGGTACAGAGTAGGCCCACCAATGACAGGAGACCCCCAGGAGGCAGTGTCTATGGGGCAGGGATGAGGGGGAGGGGGTTTCTCCAGATCCCTCAAGAACCTTCCCAGTTAGCCTCTTCAGATTTCAGGACCCAGTTAGAAGAGACTCAAAAGGTCACTTGGTGCAGATTTATTAATTTACATATATATTAATATGCACATGATAATATGCATATTAATTTAGAGGCATACATACATGTGTATATAGAGAGAGAGCATGCAAGTCGGGGAGAGGCGCAAAGAAACAGGAGGGGCGCCTGGGTGGCTCAGTCAGTTAAGCGTCCAACTTCGGCTTAGGTCATGATCTTGCGGTCCGTGGGCTCAGGCCCTGAATTGGGCTCTGTGCTGACAGCTCAGAGCCTGGAGCCTGTTTCAGATTCTGTGTCTCCCTCTCTCTCCGCCCCTCCCCAGATTGTGCTCTGTCTCTCTCTGTCTCAAAAATAAAATAAAATAACATTAAAAATTTAAAAAAAAAAAAAAAAGGAGAGAGAAAGAGGAGAATCCCAGGCAGGCTGTGAGCATGGAGCCCGACGGGGCCTGAACTCACAAACCCGTGAGATCATGACCTGAGCTGAAACCAAGTCAGCCGCTTAACCAGCAGAGCCACCTGGATGCACCTCACTTTGTGCATTTTCTTGCCTCGCACGGAAACACTCCTTCCGCGCACCTGTATTAGTTTTTTACCCCAAACCCAACAATGAGCAGTTACCATCTCACAGAGTTTCTGAAGGCCTGGACCCCGGGAGCGGCTTAGCTAGGTGCCCCCGGCTCTCTTGTGGGTGCAGTCGTCAGAAGGCTCGGCGAGGGCCGGGGCCCACTTGCAAACGGCATGCAGCTGGCTTCTATGAGAGCGGAGCTTGGCAAACTTACCCTCTAGAAGATCAGCTAGGAGGTGTTCTCAGCTCTGTGGCCCATAAGGTCTCTCAACCCAACCCTGTTGTTGAGCAGATACGGTCACAGGCAGCCCGGGAATGAGCGAGCCTGTGCTCCAGTAAAACTGTATTTGGGGACACTGGGACCTGAATTTCATGTAATTGTCATATCACAAAATATTCTTATTTTGTTTTTCTCCCCCAGCCATTTACAGGTATAAAAACCATCCTTAGCTCATAGGCCTCACACAAAAAATCAAACAGAAGGCTAGATTTGGGCCCTAGGCCACAGCCGGCCCGGGAGCAAAGGATTCCAGAGCAGAGAGGAAGCCACAGCGTCCTTCCTGGCCTACCCTCGGGGGTGGCCCTCAGTGATTGGGGGGGGGGGCGGAGTACAGGTGGCATGAACCCGAGGAGGTGGGGCTCACCACGGGCTGGGTACCACACCCCACTGACGCCCAGGCTCCCTCACAGGTGACTGTTCTCCATGAACAGTCAGCTCGTTACAAGAAAATTCTTCCTTCAGGGAAAACACATCTCAGTAATGGAGTAAAAGGAGTGATGCCCGCTGAATTGGCATCCAAGTGTCTAGTGCCAGAACGGAGGAGCAAGCTTAGCCACGGTTTGAGAAAGCAGGCATCAGTTTCGTGCATGTGGTTTGGGGGTGGCAGGAGGGGAGGTGTCTCCGTCGAGCTTTCTCTCTGACTCGGAGAAACGTTGGCCTCTGAGAAACTTGTGGTACTCCAGAAGCTGATGGACCTCCCGGTGACTGGTGTTCTGATCTATTTGAATATGCCTGGGAAGCCGCGCACCTGCCGTGGGAAAGGCGGTGTACTTCCTGTTCCCGGCAAAGAGTGACAAGGAAGTTCGCACGGAGGGGTGACTGTTGGACATTAAATGTTTCACTCCGGAGGCATTTCTACTTTGCCATCCAGAACCCCCTTGGCAAATTGCTCTCCCCCAAGAAAAGGACAGAACGGAAGGAGGCGAGCTGGTCGCGCAGGGAGTGTCCGTGTGGTCCTTCTGAATTTATTGGTGAGCTTAGGTAAAGAAGAGGGGAGAGGGGTCCTTTGGTTACAGCGACAAAAGAATGGACTCCTGCTTCTGCCAGAGGAAAGGAAGGTCCCGAGCCCCTGGGAGTTGCCCACGAGCCCTGCTGGGCCCCCAGGTGGGAGAGCAAGCACATCAGCCGTGTGGCTCCAGAGGTCTGAGCTGGCACTAGCAGGGTAGCCAGGGGCGGGTATGCAGGGGTGGGGGAGTGGTGGGCTTCGGCTTGGCAGCAGCGTCTTAGGGATGCCCACAAGCAGCTGGGGTGGGCTCCTCAGAGCAGCCGGGAAGCCCCATCCACTCAACAGCGCCGAGTCCTGTGGTCCAAGCCACAGGCAGCCCAGGCTCGTGAGCCTTTATGTCGAGACTCCGTTTGAATTCATGTATTGGCAAGTGGCACGAGATCAGCTTTGGCTCGTGGTCCGCTGGTGGCTCCGCATTTTAAATGGACAGCCACGCCCGCCCTTAACCACCTCTTATGCTCTCATCTCTGCCACGAGCGTCCTCGAGTGCCTGTGTCCGCACGCTGAGTGCCCACATCCCCAGAGAGGGCTGCGAGGCGAGGCCCCGGCTTTCAGAAGCCAGGTGGCGGAAGGACGGAGGGCAGGACAGGGCTGGAGTGGAGGTGCGCCCCGAGTGGGGAGCCCAGGGCCAGGAGGCCGTATTTTTTCCGTAGAACTTCCACCATGTCACCGGTCCAGAGCCTTGCCAGGGAAGTCCTCCGTACACACGGCGCAGGAAGGAATTGGGACTTTTTAGCCCAGAGAGTCCCCAGCTCATAGGGGAGCCGGAAACACACACAGTGGACTCGGGTGGTCTCCGCAGTCGTCGAACGTGCCTCTCCCCGTTGCTGTGGTTCTGGGCTGGCTGTGCGGGCCTGGGGCGCTGGAGTAGAATCCAGTCAGGAATGGCCGTTCCTGCCTGCTCGGCCGTGCGACTGCGGGCCGTCCCTGGTAGCTGGGCCCCGCGTCTGGTCTCAGTCCAAAGCCAGGGTGGCATGGGGTGAGTGGCACTGGCGGGCCCAGCTGAGAAGCAAGTGGCTAATACGACAATCCTGGCTGTTCTAGGCTGCCAAGAGGAGGAGGAGGTGGAGGAGGGGCGTGCCGGGCCGTGCGGGGCCTTCTAGAATCTAGTCTTTGTTGCACTGATTGTCAGGTGGACCGAGGCCAGGCCACCTCTCACACCTTGGCTTGTGATCACCACCTGCATGCGTGCAGCAGCGCCGAGAGGAGGGTGGCGGTCCCCAGGCGCCCTGTGTGCAGGACAGTTGTCCCTCTTCCCTCACACCGCCTCCTCGGGTCCCACTTGTCTCTAAGTGTCTGCACACCGGGTAAAGCACTGCTCTGCCTTCCCAGAGCTGACTGGTTACAAAACATGTGCCTTTTAAAAGAAGAGATTTATCAGCTCATAAATCCTTCTAGAGTCTACTGGAAAGTGTTCTTGTGGACATAGTGTAAACAAGGTCGTGAATCCTACGGAGTAAGAAAGACTTCCTTTTATGGGCAGGCCTGGAAGGGCTGTGACTCTGGGAGGGTTTAAGAGTGGCAGCACGTGGCTTCTTCGTGCTGATGGCACTCCAGGCACTGGTGGCACCTCCTCGGCACCTCCCCTCCCCCCCGCCACCCCCGGCCACAGGGGCTCCAAGCCAGGCACATCACGTGTTCTTGGCCCTGGCTGCCCTTCTGTTCAGGGACCAGGCAGCCGGAGACGAAATCACAGGCGAGCCAGAGAGAGGGGTCTCGTGTATTTACGGCCCGATTTATTTGCGGGGGGGGGGGGGCAAGAGGGGAGTCCTCTCTCATAGGCAACAATGGGAGGTAAGGGGAGGCAGGCTTGTGTGTCACGTGACCCGGGCAGGAGCTGTCACACTGAGGACAGGAACGGGTCTCCTAGGGGGACCATGGTTTCTCTTGTTGCAGTTGACAAAAGTCCTCTCCCTGAGGTAGATGGTGTTCAAAGCGCCACCATACTCTTTCACAGAGAACGCCATCCCGCTCCATCCTCGCCGGTGTGGGGGCCTCGGACAAACCATCTACTCTCTCGGTGTTTCTGCTGCTTCATCTACAAAATGGGGACATGTTACAATGCACCTGCTTCTAGGCCTTGTGAGGGTTCAAGCAGCCCACACACTGAAAACCCCACCTGCCCGACACCCACCGCGTGTCACCGGATGCATTACCAAAGGTCACCCCTGCCACGTGGTTAGCGGTGTGGCCGAGGGAAAAAGGCTGGTCTTCGTATTTTGTCCACATCTTTTTCTGCCAGAGCACAAGTGGCACACGTTTTCCGTAAAGGGCCACCCAGCCGGCACTATGGGCTCCTCGGCCAGGCAGTCTGTTCCAGCTGCCCACCTCGAGGGTGGCCTTTGAAGCAGCCACAGACATATATAAACAGACGGGCGTGGCTGGTCCAGTGCACGGCGATTTATAAAAACCAATTTGTAAAACCCGGCGGCAGCAGAGGCAGAAAGTCTGTCTCGGGCTCCCACCCTCCCTCCCGGTCACATACTCTTCCCTCCCCGACCTGCCACCAACCCCGCCAGGACCTTCAAGGTAGCTCGGCCAGGATGGCTTAGGGCTTTGTCTTTGCAGGCTGGTCTGGTGTTCCGTGGGTGTCTTCCCTGGGGCCACTCGGGTGGTCAGCCTGACAGAATGCTCGAAGCCAGTTTGGGGGCTGTGTGCTTCCTGAATATGGGGAGTTCCATTTAGCTATTTTTACTGAAAGGCATCTCTTTAGCCAGAAGTTTTAAAAATTTGTTTACTGTTTATTTTTGACAGAGATTGAGCGGGGGGGTGGGCAGAACGAGAGACAGAGAGACAGAGACAGACAGACAGAATCCAAAGCAGGCTCCAGGCTCCGAGCTGTCAGCACAGAGCTCGATGTGGGGCTCGAACTCAAAAACTGTGAGATCATGACCTTGACCACTGAACGCCCCTCTTTGGCCAGAAGTTTTAAAACAAAACAGAGAACAGTATCTTCTGGCGAGAACCCTGACGAAGGGAAGGCTCTTCTGTTTCTGGCTCACGCGCGACAGGGCTGCTGTCCAGCCCTTTCTCAGACTGGAGCCTCGTCTGGCCCTGTGGCCGGCCTGGGTGCTGGTCACCCTCGCCTTTGCTCCCAAGGTCTCCTCGGCTGGGTCTCTCTGCATTCCGGGTTCGTAAGAAGCATCCCCGCCTCCCCTGGGCCTCCTGAACACGTGTCCAAGCGCAGGCGTCCCCTGGGGCCGGGCTGCTGGCAGTAGCACACCACCCCCCTCCCTTCTTACTCATGCAGCCTCCTGCTCCTCAGCCGGGGGGCGCGGGGCAGGGGGGAGGCCGCCTCCCGTCGTCCGCTGGACTCTGAGGCCTCACAGAAGTTTGCAGCCCAGGCGCCGCCGTGGTCCAGCTGGTGAGACCCGGCACGGGCTTCGTGCCGTGTTCTCTGCCTGTCCCCTCGCCTGGGCAGGGACCCTTGCACCCGGCTGGGCCTTCCCGCCTTGTCGGGGTCTGGCTGCAGGTCTTCGTAGGACTTTCAGTTCGGCGCTGCCTGGACGCGAGGCCGGACCCTGGGTGGTGGGCGCGGCAGGCAGCCCGGGAGGCTAGACCGCGACCGCAGAGCCCGGCCGTGCGCTCCTTCCGCCTCGCGGCCCCGCGTCTCTCTGCCGGCCGTGCCCGGCCCCGGGAAGTGGGGCTGAAGGAGAGGTCACTGTCAGGATAGCTGTGATCACTCCTAAGCCTTTTTTTTTTTTTTTAACTTTATTTTTATTTATTTTGAGAGAGAGTCCGAGCAGGGAAGGGGCAGAAAGAGGGGGAGAGAGAGAATCCCATGCAGGTTCCGCACTGTCAGCACAGAGCCCAGTGCAGGGCTTGAACTCACAAACCGTGAGGTCATGACCTGAGCTGAAGTCGGACGCTTAACCGACGGAGCCTCCCAGGTGCCCCGTTCTTAGGCCTTATTAGTGACACACCAGAGGCTTCCCGCACTCTAGTTCCAGAAGGAGTGTTTCACTGGTGGCTCCAAGAGATGCTCACGTGGATGCCATGTCGGGTTCTTATTTCTTAGCACTGTCCCCGTAACACCTGTAATGACAGACTCTGCGCGAACCCGGATTTATCCTCAGGAAATGAGAGGTTGGGTTTTGTCCCGGTGATGGTCCTGGGTCCCTGGAGTGAAAGCAGTGGGGGCCACCGTCCAGAGAGAAATGGCCGAGCTGTCTCCCTGCTCTCGGTGCACGCGCGGCGGGCAGGGGCTGCAGGGAGGCCAGAGCAAGCGGCCCGGGAGCCACCGTCTGTCTGTCTGTCTCTGTCCCAGGTTTGAACTGATGCGCATGTGCTGGCAGTACAACCCCAAGATGAGGCCTTCCTTCCTGGAGATCATCAGCAGCATCAAGGACGAGATGGAGCCCGGCTTCCGGGAGGTGTCCTTCTACTACAGCGAGGAGAACAAGCCGCCCGAGCCGGAGGAGCTGGACCTGGAGCCGGAGGACATGGAGAGCATCCCCCTGGACCCCTCCGCCTCCTCGTCCTCCCTGCCGCTGCCCGACAGACACTCAGGACACAAGGCCGAGAACGGCCCGGGCCCCGGCGTGCTGGTGCTCCGCGCCAGCTTCGACGAGAGACAGCCTTACGCGCACATGAACGGGGGACGCAAGAACGAGAGGGCCTTGCCTCTGCCCCAGTCTTCGACCTGCTGATCCTTGGATCCCGGATCCCGTGCAAACAGTAACGTGTGTGCACGCTCGGCGGCGGGTGGGGGGAGGGGGGGAGTTTTCGCAATCGATTCACAGCCTCCTGTACCTCAGTGGATCTCCAGAACTGCCATTGCTGCCCGCGGGAGACGGCTTCTCTGCAGTAAACACATTCGGGATGTTCCTTTTTTCAATATGCAAGCAGCTTTTTATTTCCCTACCCGAACCCTTAACTGACATGGGCCTTTAAGAACCTTAATGACAACACTTAATAGCAACAGAACACTTGAGAATCGAGTCTCCTCACTCTTTCCCTGTCTCTCCTCTAATTTTGTCTCCCTCCTCTCTCTCTCTCTCTCTCACCTTTCTCTTTCTTTCTGCTTCATAATGGAAAAATACTTGCCGCAAGCCCAGCTGGGACGCCCTTTTGATCAAGGAAGCGGCTGTCCCTCCCTGTGGCCCCCCATTGCCCCTGTGCACACCTGCCTGTCACCGTAGGTCTTTATAAAAACAAAACAAAACAAAACACCTTGAGACGGAATTTTTTTACCTGTATCTTTCACCTTTTTAGGGACATACAAAATTTAAAAAGGGCCATCATTCATTCGAGGTTGTCACCATTTTAACGCTGCCAAATTCTGCCAAAACCCTGACCTTCCTCCTTCACGGCCCCCCCACACTTATCTCCTTGTTTCCAGAGGCATGGGGCGAGCATGGCATCTAGTCACATCATTTAAGGGCCACACGGATGACGCGCTCCATCTGGTCGCCCCTGGCGTTCTTTTCAAGTCTTACGTCCACACAGGTCTGATCGCTTTCTGACTAGGCTGTTATTTGGGGGAAGTGGACAGGATGGGATTTTCTCTCGGTGAAGACTGGGAGAAGCCAGACCCGGCTTCCCTGCCCCTCTTCCCCACCCCCATCTGCTAGCCTCCCCAACCCACCCGCCCCCCCCCCCCAACTAGAATTGTGGAGAAAACAGGCCCTGTCACGAGCCTGGAAGACATGAGTAAAGGTCGTCCACGTGCCAGTCTCCTGTCCCCCCACCTCAGCCCCCCACCCCTGGCTCCCGGCCCCCAGGACACAGATGGGAAGGGGTTTCCAGGGACTCAGCCCAACTGTTTATGCAGGTTTGCAAGGAACAGAAATTCAGACACCATCACAACAGTAAGAAGAAAAGCAGTAAATGGATTCAAGCATCCTAAGCTTCGTTGACATTTCCTCTGTTACTAGGACTTCTCCACGGCCTTACAGTTCTATGTTAGACCGTGAGACATTTGCATACACATCGTCTTTCATGTCACTTTTATAACTTTTTTACGGTTCAGATATTCATCTATACGTCTGTACAGAAAAAAAAAAGCTGCTATTTTTTTTGTCCTTTATCTTTGTGGATTTAATCTATGAAAACCTTCAGGTCTACCCTCCTTCCCTCTCTGCTCACTCCAAGAAACTTCTTACGCTTTGTACTCGAGTGCGTGACTTTCTTCCTCTCTTCCCAGTAATCGATAACTTCTCGAACATAATCTGCCATGAACTGTTTGATGCCTTTTTATAAATAACGCCCTCCCCTCCCTGCTCCCCGCTCCCCCTGCCCGTTAGTTGCGTTCTTACCCGTAGGCTCTGTGGGCACGAGGCTGGCGAGGGAGGCCGGCGAGGGAGGCCGGCACCCCCCGCGCCCCCCCTCCCCCGCCCGGCCTGCTCTCTGCCACGCTGGAGTCTGTTACAGTGCAAGACATGAAGCAAACTCAGGTCAGAAAACAAAAGGTTAAATACGTTGTTCAGTGTTCCTAGTTGCCGTCGTCAGAGAGTCTCGCCTTCTCTTTCCCTCACCCCCGTGTCAGTCGTGACACACAGATCTCTCTATTTTTTTAATTCCTGGGCACAACAACAGTTGGAGCTGCAGACGCTAGGCATTTGGATTACTTCTTTTTTTTTTTTTTTTTTTAATGGACATTTAGCCCTTCCATCCCATGACAACCGGCTGCTGAGTCCAAGGGTGCAGCAGAGCGGCGTCCCGCGGGCCCCTCCGTGGCCGCCGCCGCCGCCCTCCAGTCCCACCTACCCACCTCCAGATCCAGAAAGTCCCAGGGGGCCTCCCAGACACTGGCAGGGAGGAGGCCCCCGGGGGGGGCCTCCTCGGGGCATCAGCCAGCCCCCACCCCCGCCAGGGTACGGGGTCAGAGGGGCCCGGTCGGGACGGAGCGCGCACGGACACCACGGTGGCCGGTGGCCCGGTGGCCCAGGAGCCCGGTGCGCCCCCCCGGGGCGGTTGAGGGGGGACTGGAGCCCTGGCGCCGGCTCGCTCCCCCGCGGCCAGGAATCCCAGTCCTCGGGGCCCGGGGCCCAGGGGTCTTGTTTTGTTTAGTTTTTAGCACTTCTCACCAGAGTGATGACAGCACCCGAGTTGCTTCTGGGATGGAAATGTTTAAAGTACGAGGAAGAACAAAGCTAAAGTCTGACGGTTGCCAGTCGAGACTGGAGACGAGACACGAGAAAGCGAGCGTGTCGCGCTTTTTCTGGTCGGTTGCTTCAGTCCTGCCTTGTTCTCGAGCCTCTGCCCCGTAGTTTTTCCCCCTTAAAAAAAAAAAAAGAAAAAACTGAGAAAAAGAAAAAAAGTTAATTAAGAAGGTATTATATGTAGGAGTTTTAATTTATTTTGTGATACCAGTTTCAATCACTGTAGAGAAGCCCCCCCATTATGAATTTAAATACCGAGGAAAGGGTTTTGTGTGTGCGTGTGTGTGTAAGACAGGAGAGTTTTCGGGTTTCTTTTGGTTTTTTTGGTTTTGTTTTCGTGTTTGGTTTTGGTTTTCAAACATTTATCTACCTCACTCTTATTTTTTATATGTGTGTATATACAGACGACTACATCTCCCATCTCTCAGCACCTGACAGCATGCCGTCGGTACCGGTAACCTCATCCACACACAGGCTGCGCACACCAGGCAGGGAGAGGCCAGGAGGCCGTATTCCGGGTCGGAGCCACACTAACCCGCCTCTCCGCTCAGTTCACACAGCTTGCCTTTTCCCCAGACTTCTCGTCTTCTCCTCCCCCTCCTCCTCCCCCTCCTCCTCCCCCTCCCCTTCCTCGCTGGGCTTCCTGGGAGGCTCCTGTTAGGATTCCCTTCCTCCCTCCCGGCCCAGGGCGCCCCGAGCGGCAGCGGGGTGGGGGGCTGGGAGGCTGCCTGGCCGTCCCAGGCTGTCACTGAAACAGCCTTTGCGCGGATCGAATGACACGCAAATTTGGTCATCTGAGAGACGACTCGTTTTGCAGGTTTTGAGGACAGGGAGCACCGAGGTGGGCAGTCAGTCTCTGGGCCATGACCGCGCCTGTCCCGTGCGGCGGCGTTCGGGTCTCGGGCCGCCCCTTCGGCCGCCAAGGCCAGGCCTGCACTGGTTCCGATCGCTGGTGCAGCCACGTCGGCGCCTTGAGCGCCCGGCCCTCAGGCCTCCTGCCCGAGCGCACAGAGGGCGCTGCACTCGAGGATGCACACAGGAGGGCCCCCCTCCCCCCGACTGTTCCCCCACTTCCCCCTCATCCCCTCCTCCCCCAGGGGAAAACAGAGACCAACCCTTCGGGCTGGAAGGGACTGGCGGCGGACGCCCGGCCTCCTCCCAGGGTGGCACTGCCTCCCCGCCACCCCGCTGCTCACAGGGGCGGATGGCGGGCTCCCCACTTCCAGCAGCTGCTCTCACAGGCACTGGCACCCTTTCTAGGAGACGTGGGAGGGGGGCTCCCCAAGGGCGGGGGGTTCCTTTCAGACCCCGCGCTGCAGCTCCGTCCTGCCGGCACACCACTCTCTTTCCCCCACCCCCTGGCATCTTAAGGTCACTGAGAAATACTGTCAGATCAGGGTTTTCTTCTTCCACACCGTAGGTGACCCCTTGGAATAGTAGCCTCTCCTCTTTTGCACAAACCTCCCGGTTTCCACAACTGGATTTCTACAGATCATTCAGCTGGTTCTAAGGGTTTCGTTTCAACTGTCCAAGTCGTCGGTGTCCTTCTGTCTTTGTTTTATGTAGGCAGTTGCTCTTTAAGTAGAAAGAAAACACTAATAGCGTAGTGCCCATCCTAACGAATGCTTCAGAAACACTCAAATAAAAGAAAATTTTGCTTGCGCGATGGTGCAGTCATTTTACTGGACCAAACCACCCACCTTGACTCTACCAAGGCATCATCTGTCCACAGTTCTAGCCTCATCGTATGCTGATTTTCCCGCCTCTTCTTGAGTTTTCTCTTTTGTAGGCTCCACATAATTTAATCAAGCTGAGTTGTGGCATTTTTTTCCATGCAACCTCCTTCTGACAGCAGCTCACGCTGCTTCAAGTGACGTGAACCACTGAGGCACATCATTGAATTGATGTGAGCATTAAAACATTAGTACACACAGCCCTTCCCCAAGGCAGCGGGAGCTGGTGTGTTCTGGAGACACTGTCGAACTTCAGCTGTGTGACGCCCAGACCACCCCAGCTCTCCTTTATGGGATGTCATGACGTTTGACACACAGTTGGAATGAGCTTCCTCCTTGGAAGATAGAAGACCGTGTTTGTGGCCAACAGTGGCCTCTCCTTCCAATCTGTCTCTTAGGACGTGGGACGACATTTCAATGGCAGGAAAAGTGGCTTCGTAAAATAGGGGGAAAAAAGTGGTTACTGTGGAACTACCCAATGGCAAAATGCTTGGCACGAGGTGGTGTGTTTTGGTTGGGATAACGATTTCCGAGCCAAGTATGATGCCAATTTCTAGGCCAGTTTGTTCCACCAAAGCCTCTTTCTCAGCAGCTCACCTCTGTTGGCAGGTGGCTGTGCATGATGCAGGCTGCTGTTGTGGCAAGGCCACACTAGCTCAGATTGGTGAGAAGGCTAGGATGCTTGGCCCAAGGTCCTCAGCTGTCACTGCTGGGTCCTCCTGGGGTGGCCAGTGTCAAAGGCAACTCCTTTCCAAAACACAGGCACCCTCCGGTTGACAGTAATGCTCCACAGTATGCCTTGGCCCGTTCCAGCAGTCCCAGAAACGCATGTAAGGTTTGGGGTTTGTTCTTTTGTTGCTGTTAACTTCTGTGTTTGTCAGCTGTTGTTGTTGTTGTTTTGTTTTGTTTTTTTTAATTTCCTGGGCTAAGCAGCATTGGGAGATACGGACCAGATCCACTCTCTAAGCACGAGTGATGAAAGTCAAACTTTCTTCCTCCCCTCTGACTAGTCGGTGGCACAAATGAGAACTTCTAGAGAGGATGCTGTGTAGATTGAACCTCTGTTGCCAGAGATGCTGAAGATACAGACCTCAGACAGGCCAGAAGGTTTCATTTTGGGCATCCAGCTTAGATGACTGGTTGGTCATTTAGAGGAAAAGCAGATGAACACTCCTTGAGGGTGGGAAGATCAGGCAGCGGGAAGCCACTGTAACAGGGTCACAACGTGACACGGAGCAAAGACTGGCAAGCAGAAGGGTACAGGGCTAGGAAGAAGTGTGGGCCATGTTTTGAACTTGATGGTTTCTGAAGGTATCAGACCACATCAAGGCGCAGCAGTCATCCAAGGGCATTTGGTTCCAACACATAAACCTGACATCCTCCTTCGGAAACGGTTGCTGCAGTTCAGTGAGATCGTTCAAGAACGCGAACTGCATCGCACCGGTCGGTTGTCAGTTCTGGGGCATGACTTTAGAGTTTTGTTTCACCTTGTTTATGCAAGGACATAATGGTCGCTCATCTGTACGTCCACGTTTGCGTGTGTCCACATCTTTCTGGTTAAACATTGTTTTAATTAGTCACTCATTAGTGTTTTCAATAGGGCTCTTAAGTCCAGTAGATTACGGGTAGTCAGTTGACGAAGATCTGGTTTACAAGAACTAATTAAATGTTTCATTGCATTTTTGTAAGAACATAGAATAATTTTATAAAATGTTTGTAGTTTATAATTGCCGAAAATAATTTAAAGACACTTTTTTTCTCTGTGTGTGCAAATGTGTTTGTGATCCATTTTTTTAGGACACCTGTTTACTAGCTAGCTTTACAATATGCCAAAAAAAAAAAAAAAAAAAGATTTTTCCCCCCCTGACCCAGGCCGTGGTTCACCCTTTTCCCCTCCACCCCCCCATGCTTTGTGCCCTAGTTTATAACAAAAGAATGATGATGATTTAAGAAGTAGTTCTGTATCTTCAGTATCTTGGTCTTCTGGAACCCTCTGGTTGGGAAGGGGATCATCTTTCGCTGGTCATTTCCCTTTGGAGTGTAAGACTGAAAGAACCTCATTGGCCAAGGACACAGCAGAGGTGTTGCAGCCCAGCCGTGCCCCTGGCACTCCGGAGCATCTGGTTTGGTTGGTGGGGTCGTCACCGTGGGCATGCAATGCCTGGAGAGGGAAGGACCTGATGGCGCGGTGATCACAGCATGCAGACTTATCACGCTAAGGATGGTAATTCTGGTGCGCGCAGGCCGTTTGCTTACATGCCTCCTATCGTGATTAGCGCTTTGTTCTAACAAGGAAGAGACCCTAGTTCTTTTATTTAAGGCAGAACACCGAAGATACATTTTTCCAGTCCCAAACAAGTCCCTTTGCGTAAAAAGTACACACACACAAAAATGTGTTTAAGTTGGACTCCATTTCCTCTCGCTCCCCAATGGATTATTGGCCATGTCTACACTACTCCACAAAATCTCCATCATTAGAAATATCTGGATGTTTTGCACTACATGGGAGAAAGGTCCAGAAACAATTGGTTTTTTGTTTTCCACTATTCATGCAGATGTTTGGCGTTGCATAGACACGCCCACAGGTGGAACAGATGCTTGGCAAAAACACCTGTCTGCTTTCTAAGCCAGTGAGGTTGAGGTGAGAGGTTTGCCAGAGTGTCTACCTCTGGGGCAGAGAGAAAAAAGAATCAAACCAGAAGGCGCAATGGAATGGATGCATCGCAAATAATGCATTTTCTGAGTTTTCTTGTTTAAAAAAAGTTTTTTAAAAAAGTAAAAAAAAAAAGGTAATAACATGGCCAATTTGTTACATAAAATGACTTTCTGTGTATAAATTATTCCTAAAAAAATTCCTCTGTTTATATAAAAAAAATCAGTAGATGAAAAAAATTTCAAAATGTTTTTGTATATTCTGTTGTAAGAATTTATTCCTGTTACTGCGATATACTCTGGATTCTTTACATTATGGGGAAAAAAAAGAAACTTTGTCTATTTTGAATGGCTGGAGCTAAGGCAACTTTAGTTTCTCTTACTCTGCTTTTTTCTAGTAGTTAAAGTACTACATGGTTTAAGTTAAATAAAAGAATTCTGTATGCATTTTTGGTCTCTGACTTCGTTCCCCTCCCTTTCTGGAAGAGTCCCCACGCTTCTGAGGCCAGGGAGCTGAGCTACGTGTGGCATGTGTGTTCACACATGTCACTCGGAGGTGTTCTGCATGGAGGCTCTGCTTTATTTCTGATGGCTGAGTGTTCGCAGCATGCAAATCGCTGCGGGGGACAGCAAGGCTCTTCTGTCTCTTCCTCCATTAAATTGGCTGGAAGGAAATTTGAATACATAAAATATAGAAATCTATACTTCAGTTTTGACCGATCTGTAGACTTTTCTGGTATCTTCCACTGACAAAAGTTAGGCCGAGGCAGGATTGCCCTCGGGTGACTCTGGGACAAAGGACTCAACCTTCACATTTCCCTGTCCTCGTTGGTACCGCATGGCCAGCAGAGTCAGGATGCACATGCAAACCAATCAGGCACACGGGATGTGGCTCGCTGGCGCTGTTCAAAATGTTACCTTCTAGCTGACGATCTTGATCTTGGCCTGTCCCGGGGCCTCTAGGCACCTTTTTTTTTTTTTTTTTTTTTTTTATGGCCATGGGAAATGGCTATAATAAGAAATGTGAACAATATACATTCAAAGGTAACAAGCTGTAAGTGCTCTGGAATCAGACCACAAGCACATCAGGAGGGCGATCATTTCTCGACACTTCGACTGTAAGAAAGTACACTCCAGGAACAAGGTCAGGCACTGTGTAAAGGGCAGGCTAGCAAGGTGTGGGCAGCAGAGGTCAATCAAAGGCCACAGTTATTTCAGATCCAGTGAGTCGCACAAACATTCGGATCTAAAGACAAAACACCTTCCTCAAAGAGAGGACCGTCTCAGGCTCTTGGTGTGGCCCCAGGGTGTCTGCTCACCACGGGCACTCGGGACCGTCACTGGATGACTGATGGGTACAGGCTGGCTCAGTTCCAGGGGTTGGGGGGGGCAGGGTGCATAGGCTGGCAGCAGGAGGACACAGGAGTCTGGTGTGGCACTCCCACGTTCCCCGGCAGATCAGTGGTGCGCTCTTGGCTTGAGGCGCCATCTTCCACACTCATCCTCAGCCAGAAGCAGCAGCAGTTTCTTCTCAGGATGAAGGTGATGTGTCTTTACAAATGTTAGAGCCTCTCCTCACTGCGCCACTTCTTAAGACCACAGATCCCATGGGGCTATTTCTGTACTTCTGGTCACAGGTCCAGCCACGAGCCCAGACTCGCTCGGTAAGGTGTGTGTGTTGTGTGTGTGTGTGTGTGTGTGTGTGTGTGTACGGGGGGTGCTCATCATGGACAGACTCGCACATCTGTTCTCTCACCAGATATTCACAACTCTGCAAAGGAAGGACTTTCTTTACTCTTCTATGGATAAGCAAACCTGCAGATGTGTTCGAGACTCCCCAGCTATTAAGTGACCAACCCAGGGTTCAACCTGTTTAAGCTGGGTCAGCTTTCAGATGGACTCAGAACTGCCATGTAGCAGCCACAAGTAAACAGGCCCCAGGATGTACCAACAGAAGATGGTGGGCCACTGAGAGCAGCATGTGATCGGGCCCTCTGGATTCTCCCTGAAGAATGTCAGAGGTCACACAGGGGGAGATGACTGGGATGGTCATCAAGAGGGAGCTCTGGTAAAGGCTTAGTATCCAAAATCTATAGAGAACTTATCAAACTCAATACCCAAAAAACAAATAACCCAGTGAAGAAATGGGCAAAAGACATGAACAGACACTTCTCCAAAGAAGATATCCAGATGGCCAACAGACACATGAAAAAAATGCTAAACACCACTCATCATCTGGGAAATACAAATCAAAACCACACTGAGGTATCACCTCACACCTGTCAGAATGGCTAACATGAACAACTCAGGCAAGAATAGTTGGCGAGGATGCGGAGAAAGAGCTCTCTTGCACTGCTGGTGGGAATGCAAACTGGTGCAGACACTCTGGAAAAACAGTATGGAGGTTCCTCAAAAAACTAACAATGGAACTACCCTACAACCCAGCAATTGTCCTACTAGGTATTTATCTGAAGGATACAAAAATGCTGATTTGAAGGGGCACATACACCCCAACGTTTTAGCAGCACTATCGACAACAGCCAAAGTATGGAAAGAGCCCAAATGTCCATCGACTGATGAATGGATGAAAAAGATGTGGTGTGTATACACACACACACACACACACACACACACACACACACACACAATGGAGCATTACTCAGCAATCAAAAAGAATGAAATCTTGCCATGTGCAACTGCATGGATGGAACTAGAGGGTATTATGCTAAGCAAAATTAGTCGGAGAAAGAATTATCACATGACTTCACTCATATGAGGACTTTTAAGATACAAAACAGATGAACAGGGAAGGGAAGCAAAAATAATATAAAAACAGGGAGAGAACAAAACATAAGAGGCTCTTAAATACAGAGAACAAACAGAGGGTTACTGGAGCAGTTGGGGGGGGGGGCTAAGTGGGGGAGGGGCATTAAGGAATCTACTCCTGAAATCATAGTTGCACCATGTGCTAACTTGGATGCAAATTATAAAAAATAAATAAATTCTAGAAAGTAAAAAAATGATTAAAAATTTTAAAAAAAACTGTTCAAACTGCAGAAAATAAAGCCTTCTAAATTCTTTTAAAAAAAAATGAGAGAGCGAGCGAGCAAGCAAGCTCTGGGCCTCCCAACTGGATGACATCTAACAGTTTGTAAAACATGCATCACTTGGTGCCAAGCGACCTGAAAAAGCACTGAGGCGGGGTCCCGAGGCCCCCTGCCTGCCCCGGGCCTGAGACAGAGGCTACAGTGGGGAGGGGGACAGAGGGGTAGCAGGCGTCTGCCCACAAATACAGAAGGGTCACCACTTGAACAACCAACACAGCCAGGCCCTGCATGCTGGCCATGCCATCCCGCTCGGCTGGCTTTCATCCACTACGATTTGACTCCAAACCTTGTTTTATGTCGAACAAGCCAGGTTCATTTGCAAAAGGGGGCCCGTAAAGTTTGTTCCAAAGGCACAAGGTGCCACAGAGCTAAGGATGAGCCGAGCAAGGCCCGCCCACTTCCTCTGTTATTAAGCGCCAAATGCTTTCTCTTCCGGTGAAGGAATCTGGACACTACGTGAATAATGCTTTTTTAAAAGGGAATTAAGTGAAAGTGACGGCTGTGAGCACAACAAGGAACAAGAAATTTCCCAGACCTTAGCCACCTTCAACCCCTTCCTCCAAAACACAATGTCTCTCGCTGGATACTGACCCCCACCCCCCCCGCAAACACAAGACAAGTACATCCTTGCTTTGAGCAGCTGGACACAAGACCCAGGTGTTTGCCCAAAGGCAACATGCTAGCTGAAGAGGGGAGATTCTGTTTCTAAAAAGTAAGTATAACACCCATCATGGTGGAGAAGCCAAGCCTAGCTATTCTCCTTTAAGGCCAAACACTACTGGTAGGAATATAAAACAGCGTGACTGCCACGGGAAACGGTATTGGGCCGTTTGCCTTGGGGCGCCTGGGTGGCTCAGTCAGTTAAGCGTCCGACTTCGGCTCAGGTCATGATCTCGCAGTTCGTGGGTTTGAGCCCCACGCTGGGCTCTGAGCTGACAGCTAGCTCAGAGCCTGGAGCCTGTTTCAGATTCTGTATCTCTCTCTCTCTCTCTCTGACCCTCTCCTGCTCACGTTGTCTCTCTCTCTCTCAGAAGTAAATAAAACATTAAAAAAATTCATAGGATTGCCTTATGATCCAGCAGTTCTACTCTTAAGTATATAAACAAAAGAACTGAAATTAGGAACGCTAACTTTTTTTGTGCACCTGCGTGCACAGTACTAGTATTCACAATAACCAAAAGGTGGAGGCAACCCAGTGTCCACAAAAAGATGAACAGATAAACAAAACATGGCCTGTACTTACAATGAACTATCACGCAGCCTCAAAAAAGAAAATTCAGTCACAGGCTACAATATGGATGGGCCTCAAAGACACTACGCTGAGTGAAATAAGCCAGTCACAAAAGGACACCTATTGAAATTCATTTATACGAGGCCCTCAGAGTGATCAAATTCAGAGATGGAGGGTAGAATAATGGTTGCCAAGGGCTGGGGGTAGTCAGGAGGGGGGGATGTTATTTAATGGGTACAGAGTTTCAATTTGGGATGTTGAGAAAGTTCTAGAGATGGATGGTGGTGATGCCTGTACAAGTGAATGTACATCATGCCACTCAACACTTTAAAATGGTTAAGGGGGCTCCTGGGTGGCTCAGTCAGTTAAGTATCCGACCTTGGCTCAGGTCACCATCTCAGGGTTTGTGAGTTCGAGCCCCGCGTCAGGCTCTGTGCTGACAGCTCAGAGCCTGGAGCCTGCTTCGGATTCTGTATCTCCCTCTCCCTGCCCCTCCCCTGCTAGCGATGTCTCTCTCTCTCTCTCAAAAACAAACATTAAAAGAATTTTTTAATGGTTAAAAGGGTAAATTTTATCATGTGTGTGAAAACACACGAGTTTTTAAAAGATTAGAAAAAGAAAAACCAAACACTAGAGACCCAGTGGCGCAGAAGCTGCACACGGCACCTGGATACACGAGCTCCGAGGCCAGGAATGGGGCGCCCGGCAGCAGCAGCGGCGGCTACACCTGTGTTTCCCGACTGGCCAGCTGGTCACAGATCACCATCACGTGTGGCTCTGCCAAACAGGTCTGCGGTTTTAGCAGTCTGGGCAGGATCACACAGGCCCACTGCACAGTCTTTTTAAGAGGGGGAAAAAAAAATTACTAGGATTTCATTTTATTGTCATGAAAACCATAACTGAAGCTAGTTAATCCCTTGTGCAATGTCTGCCTTTCGGAGCGTTCTTCTTTCTTCTGACAATAAAATAACCCTTTGTGATTTCGTTGGGCTAATTTCGAGCTTTTTTTCCCCTCTGTGTGAACGGTTTTACAAGCCATTTTTTTAAAAGTCTCTCAAAGCACAGGTGATCTCTGCACACAGGACTGAAACATTTAATTTTCTCTAAAGGAGCAGTCCCCCAGTCGGTTCCCCTGGGCGGGGATCACCAGAGGCTGAGCTTCCTGAGATCCAGGCTTCGGGCTCGGCCTTCCGCATCTGCGCCAGCATGTCCTGGGTGAGGACCCGCAGGGCTTCGCCCAGCACGGGCGCTGGCAGCCGACACGATAATGGCGGCACGTGGATGAGTGCCGCGCGCCCATTTCCGTGATGCAAAGACAGGTAATAGGTGTAATCACAGATGTATCTGCAACCACACAAGACGCCACGTTACTCCTTGGGCGGGCCTCTAAGCCCGGGGCAACGTGAGCCAAAGGGACAGCGAAGCACCCGCCAAGCGTGAAGAAGGCAGGCTGCCCCCCGGGAAGGTTCTGTTCTTCTGCCTCTGAAAGCGCATGTGCGGGGAATGCGCCCTGGAGAGACGCTCGGTCTCACCGTCCCAAGACCAGCAAGTGGCCGAGCCTGAGAAAGGGCCAGATTTTCAAAGTGACTAGTTCAAAGCCCCTTGTGCCCTCGGAACCCCTCTCCCTTCGTTCCTTCTGTGGGGGCTGGAGAAACTCCCTACTGCGGGTCAGAGTTCGCAGGAACCAGGGTAAATCAGCCTCTGTGCGGGGCTGAATCAGAACAGCTACTCACAACCGGGCCGCAAGAAATAAAAACCGAGCATCCACAAGACGTTAGAGGCTCTCAAAACACACCTCCCCATCTCTTCTCCTCCATCAACGCACCAGAGGCCCGGAAGGGGGCACGGCGGGCGGGGGGCGGGCTTGGAACCGAGGCCCGGGAAGGAGGGGGCGACAATGCGCTGGTCTGCACCCTGGGTGGCACTGCGTGAGCAAGCGGCCTGCTGGCCGGCGCCAGACGGCCTCCCGGTGGGGACAGGGGACACCCCGGGAGCGGGTCGGGTCACGCTCCAGCCACGCAGCCTCCCCACCGCCCAGGGACCCGACCCCCGCCGCGCCTACCTGCCGGCATCGCGGGAGTAGATCACCTGCACGCCCTCCACCGCCACGCGCTTGCGGACGGCCCTCATGTTGACCCCTGACGCGATCACTTCCGGGCCATCGGGAAGGCACTCGCCGCGCGCGGGCCGGAAGCCCCGGATGTCGGCGTCCCAGTAACCTCGGTTCTTGGCGCACTGTTCCAGAACGATGGCCTTGGCGGAGGCGTCCAGCCCTACGTGCACAACGAGCTGCAGAAGCACAAGGGAAGGGAAACTGAGGCCTGCTCCCCGGATGTAGCTGAAGGGCTAAGTCAAGGGAGAGCACCAGCACCGGGCGCAAAACATCTCCAACCCCAGATCCGGCCGGCACAACCTCCGAGATTCCCCGCTGACTGCCTTTAATGAATATGCTGGAATGAAAAACAGCTGGACATGGGGCGCCTGGGTGGCTTAGTCGGTTAAGCGTCCGACTTTCGCTTAGGTCATGATCTCGCGGTTCGTGGGTTCGAGCCCCGCGTCGGGCTCTGTGCTGACTGCCAGCTCAGAGCCTGGAGCCTGTTTCAGTCTGTGACTCCCTCTCTCTCTGACCCTCCCCTGCTCACGCTATCTCTCTCTCTCTCTCTCCTAGAAATAAATAAAAAAATATTAAAAAAAAAAAAAAGAAAGAAAAGAAAAACAGCTGGACAGAAACCCATGTGGCATTTAATTTAACTGCTTTTATAGGTCTAAATATTCTTCCAGGGTAACATATTCCCTTCTTTGCCCCAGGGGTCCCCAGAGGCCCCCTGGTGGCTAAGGCTGGCACAGGAGAAGCTTCCTGTTTCTGGGGAAACTTCCATCTCTTTTATGAAACTCTAACAAAGCAAGTTAGTAACAATGCGCTAAAATACTGTTAGGGTTTCTTGAGCTGATTGTTTTTCCTCTTTGAAAAAATAGCTGCTGAGCGTTTTATCCAAACACTTGGGTCTTAATGGCTTGGTGGTTGCGTTGATCTAATCATCTGGTTTTCCTGTTTTATGGATATTTGTTCCAGTTTTTCATAGAATAACTCTGTTCGGATAAAAAAGGCTGGGCGTCATGTAGACGGGACCTCCCCGGGTGCAGGACCAGCTCCACGCTTTTCCAGGCCCAAAAGGTCTTGGCCTCACTCGTCACCTCGCAACCAACCTGCCCTGCCTGGGCATGGCCGGGACCCAACCCAGGGGCCACTCTGGTAGGTGGAAACTATCTTTGAGTCCCGGCGAGGAATAAAGATTCCATTTATTTTCCTCCTTCTCTCTCTCTCCAGAATATTCTTCCAAGATCGACTCTGTATTTCAGCTTAAACTCTTCCAGACACACCCAGAACCTTAGGATCTTACTGGTGGGACGTGGGGGCGGATGGCACCTCAGCCAGCAACTCCAGAACCAGGGTGGGGGGTTCACAGGCTCTGGGGATCCATCTCATCATCACCCCTCTCCCCGCGCCCCCCCCCAGCCCCGCTGCCTCCTCAGCCATCATTTACTTGCGGTTGAAGGTCTTCCCAGATTCTGGTGACCCTCCGCTTCACCTCCCTGTAATCTACAGGCAGCTGAAGGACACGCAGCTCAACCTCCGGGTCACTGTTCAGGCCCAGCGTGGACAGCTCCTGGAGAAAGCAGCAGGTAAATCCCCTTTCTTAATGGAGGGCCAGGGAGAATCCCTGAAAAGCTAACACTTGGGTCACTCATTCTATTCCCAGGGACTATTTTATTTTATTTTATTTATAGTTTATTTTTTGAGAGAGAAGGGGAGGGGCAGAGAGGGGGAAGGAGAGAGAGAATCCCAAGCAGGCTCTGCACTATCACCGCAGAGCCCTTTGTGGGGCTGGAACTCATGAACCCTGAGATCATGACCTGAGCCCAAATCAAGAGTCAGAGGCTTAACCAACTGCACCCCCCAGGTGTCCGTCCAAGGGACCTTCTGTTGGTATGGACCCTGCCCTCGAGAAGTTCACAGGGTGACAGAGGGCCAGTAGGGGAATCGCAGCACGTACCCCCCAAGGCCCTAGGAAGCCTCTCCTGTCGCAGTGCCAGTACCCCAGAGGCATATCTGATCCAGCCCGCGGGTTAGGACCCAGTTCGCAAAAGGGATGCAGGAAGGTGTAGGGGACGGATGAGGAAGAGGGAGCTTCAGAGGCACAGACGAGCCCGAGAGCCTTAGCCTTTGGGAAACATGGGGTGACTTGGCGCTGGGCAGTGGGCGTGAGGCAGCGAAAGCTTCTTCCGGGCGTCCTGCACCTCCAGGGACAGGGTGCTTAGCACCCCAGACTCTGATCTGAGCATTAACTGCCTGTAGCACCCCTCAGCGTTTTGACAAGTAACCCACCACCACCAGGGGTGTATCAGGGAGCACTGCACATGGGGAAGGATGGGAACAGAAGCCAGAAGAATCTGTGGAAGTCAGTCTGAGTGCTCAGCTAGAGGCTGGACTTTAAACAAAAGGGAGCTATCAAAGGATGGTGCACAAGGAGCTGATGGGTCAGAGCTGCCTCCTTAAGAGAATGGAGGTAGAAGTGGGCTGGACGGTGTCATGACGTTGACTTTGGACCTGCTGACTTTGAAGGGGAGGACCTCAGTTCCTTGGTTCTGTGTGTCTGGGGCTCACAGAGAGGATTCTGGGAAGACAGTGGCCTGTCAGGGCTGTAGATCATGGGTTTAGGCTAGATCCAGACAGAGTGAGGGGTGGGGGGGCAGGGAGAGGCAAGAAGGGCCATGGAGAAAACCCAAGGTCCGGGAGCACTCTCCTCACAGACAGGAGTCTGGAAGGAAGAGAGCCCAGAGAGTGAAATCTTAGGCATGTGGAGTTCACTGCTGGGAAACGTTAGAGCAAGAGCCTAAAGGCCAAGTCCTTTCTCTTCTCCAGGACCTGTGCTTATCACCAAGATGGCTTCAGATTAGCGCCTCCGCTTTCCTGACTCCCTCCCCTGGCATTTCCAGGCACCCAGGAGCATGCATCCTCAGATGGAAATGGTGGCCCGGGTGTCAGGCCTGCCCAGGGATCACGGAGGCCATCCTGGGGTCCTGCCCTGGGCTGCAGAGGAGACGGGCAGGAGGGATGTGCCCACCACTGAAGGGCTACCTCTGCTGCGCTCGCTGAGGACGGCACTCCCGGCCAACTTTCAGTGTCTCAGGTCTGTCCCCGACTGGCCCAGCCTTCCTGAGAGGTTCTGTCCCGCCCGCCGGACACCCACCCAGAAGGCCAGGTCCCTTGATCGGCTCAAGCTTGCTCTCTTCTGAAAGTTAAGTGCCAAGATCAGATCCCCATTTGGAGCTTGGAGCGTGAAGGGAGAATTCATTCATTTGCCTGATTCTGGTGGTGGGAGGCGGGGAAGGGGGGGGGCAGGCGGGGCAGGACCCTGGAGGCCATGGAAGCAGCAGGCTGGCACTCCAAGGGCTAGACCCATCGACAGGTTCCAGCTCCTGTGTCCCCTGCAGGGAATGAGTGAGACGTGAGCACTGAGGTCGCACAGGGCCCTGGCCTCTCTGGATGCTCCCAGAGCAGGAATCGGGGGGTAGGGGCTGGAAGGCATCACTCTGGGGTCACCTTTGTATTAGTCACAAGGGCAAGGAGGCCGTGACTTGGCTCCCGGGCTGCTTCTCAGAACCCAGTCATCTGCCAAGAACCAGAAACTTCTACTCGGTGGGGTTCCCATGGGGCCCTGGCTCTGAGCAAAAGCTCCAGAGGAGCCCCCAAAGCACGTGAGGTTGCCTGGGAATCTGCCTTCAGGGCAGCCCCCCCCCAAAAGCTGCTGTGTAGTTCAGTTGTCGGCGGAAACGTCAATGAATTATGTTCAATAAGCCTGCGAAGCCGCAGTGCCCGAGGGAGGGAGAACATCCCAGTGCCCAAGGGTTGGGGACATCTCCCCAGAGGCATGCAGGCCCCGTCCAGCCCAGCACCCAGCCAGCCCAGCACCCAGCCAGCCCAGCAGTGACTGGTCGGCTTCCAGACCAGCCCAGAGCAAAGCAGGCCGCAGCAGGAGCCCCCTCACTGCTTCCCCTACCTGAGCTTTTCCTTTCCACCGCACCCCAAGCCAGCTGAGAGGAGGGGAGACAGAGAGAAAGCCTCCGGACATCTTGTAGGTCTTCCGCTGTGGCCTGGATCTGGGGACCAGCTTCCTGCGGCTGTCGTAACTAAGTGCCACGAACTGGGTGGCTCAGAACCAAACTGTATCACCCGAGCCCATAGGAAAGAAGTCCAAAATCAAGGTGTCGACAGGATCATGCTCCCTCTGAGCCTGTAGGGAAAGGATCCCACCTGCTGCTTCCAGCTTCCAGAAGCCCCAGGCAGCCCTCGGTTTATGTGGTATCTCTCCGGTCTCCATGCTGTCGTCCCTCCATGCACGTCTGTCTGTCTCGGAGTCCAGATCCCCTGTTTTATAAGGACCCTCAATCTGTAACACTGTCTGAGATCGTGCTTTCCAGAAGGCTGATGGCATCGCTCTTGCCGGAGTAGAAAGTACAGTCAAGCCAGATTGCAGCTCTCTTTGGAATTCACAGAGCTGGTGCAGGACGAACAGCATTTGACCTTGCACTTGACTTCACTACCTTTTTTTATGTATCGGAAAAACAATTCCCAGGAGAGGAAAGCACCCTGCTTCTGCTCATCGGGTGTTTCCTTTCCAGCTCCCAGTCCGATGCCCAAACACACTGGGCGCCAGGCTGGTTGGCACGCCCCCGTTGGATTCCAGCGGCACCCCTGGGGCCAGGGCCAGACTCCAGTTCCAGCCCCGTTAAAACCGCAGCACAGGAAACATGCACATGTACTTCGAGTGGAAAAACCACAGGGGTCACACGTTGTCTCACATCAGCTCAGGTCACTTTTTGCCAGCAAGTAAATTAAGAAAAACTTCGAATATCTAGAGATACCAGAGCTGGATAGAAGGGATTATGGACCATCATAAATAGTCCCTGGTTCGGGTACTGCCTTGGAATTAGTCTCCAGGTCTGCCTGGAGTATCTTCTCTCTCTCTCTTTTTAAATAAATGTTTTTAATGTTTATTTATCTTTGAGGCGGGGGGGCGGGGGCGAGGAGAGGAAGACACAGAATCCAAAGCAGGCTCCAAACTCTGAGCTGTCAGCACAGAGCCCTATGCGGGCCTTAAACCCATGAACTATGAGATCATGACCTGAGTGGAAGTTGTAGGCTCAACTGACTGAGTCACCCAGGCGCCCCTGTATTTTCTCCTTCTAACTGGAATGTCACCCTTTTCCTCTTTCTCTCCACTGTTGTCCCGAGCAGAGAGGAGCCTGCGGCTTGGCCCGTCTGCCTTGTCACCAGCAATTCTTCTAAGGTGCAGCCCGCCTCCTCACCAGGAGGTGACCACTGTCATCCACACTGGGGCTGGAAGTCTCCTGGATCCCTTCAAGCCGGGAAGTGTGCGGGGGAGACACAACTCAAGCCAAAAGACACCCTCCCGCGGAGACAGAGGACAGAGAGGAGAGGACCTGTATCCCCGGCGGCTGCAGACCTCGCCTGGGTCCTGGCCCAGCCGCATGGATGGCTCTGAAGGACCATAGCCATCCTGAGGTCACCAGGACGGGGGTGGGGTGGGGAGGGGGGGCTGCGGTAGTATAGGAGGGCGCTACGGACTGAAACGTGTCCCCAACAAGACTCGTTCGCCGAAGCCCTAATCCCCAATGTGGTGGTATTTGCAGATGAGGCCTTTGGGGGGTGCTGAGGCTTCGATGAGGTCGGCAGGGTGGGGACCCGGGGTGGGATTAGTGCCCTCATCAGAGGAAGGAGAGAAGCCAGAGCCATGTGACACATATCCAGAAGGTGGCCATCTGCAGGCCAGGTGGAGGGTTCTCCCTAGAATCCGAATCTGCCAGCGCCTTGATCTCAGACTTCCCAGCCTCCAGAGCCACGGGACGCACATGGCGCCTAGATGCCCGAGGCTATGACACGGTGTCCTGGCAGCTCTGGAGGACTGACGCGGGGCCTTCCGGACAGCAACGAGGGAAGGCCTGGGTGGGTCCCAGAGTCGTGGCAAGTCGTCCATGCAGCTTGTTGTGAGGCTTAAAGAGCCACGCACAGCCTGATGCTGCAGGCAGAACCTGATCTGGGGGATCAAGGGAATTTTGCTAACTTGCACTCGTGGAGAAAGTCCCCAGGCACTGCCTCGTGTGGACAGTCGGCTCGCTCTCATTCTCTCTCTCTCAGTCACTCACACACACGCACACATGCACACACACATGTACACACACACGCACTTGATGTGCTCGACCACCTACACAGTGCCCATGGCAGACAAAGGCATTTACAAAAAATAAGCCAGGCCAGTCTTCATCGCCAGCCCCAGCCTGGAATGAGGAGGGTCCAGGGCCAAAGGGGGCCCATACACAGCCAGGCCCCAACCACAGTGTCTCAGGGAAAGGTGTGCACTTTGGGGTCAAGAAGATGCTAGTCTGACACCCGGTTCTGCCACCTTCCACTGGCTAAACTGATTTAGCCTCAGCACACCTCAGTTTTCTCATCTGTGAAATGGGGAGAATTCAACAGCAGAAGAGTTTTCACAAATATTAAATGAGATGATTCACAAAAGGTGCCCAGCACCATGCCTGGCACACGAGCCGGGCTTTATAGGAGCGATCAGTGCTTATAATTCATGCATCTTAAATTGAGGAAGTCACGCAAAGATTTATCAGAAGTGACATTTAGTATGATTTAACGAGCCCGGGGCCTGTCAGAAGCAGCGAGTCCAACATTCTGCAGAAGCAGAAGGCAGGCCGTCTTTCTGCCAAGAAGGGATGGTTGTTTTAGCAAAGAGAGTGTAGGTTCTGGGCAAACCTGGAGAGAGCCAGGGGGTTGTGTTTCCCGGACTGGCACACTTTCTCAGCTAGAAGTGCAGAGTGTGCTGTGCTCAACGAGGGCAGGGACAGAGCCCGGTCTAACGACCCTTGCCAAAGTGGCACTCCTTGCCAAGGAATGCCAAGGCTCAGCGGGGCGCTGAGTGCCCATGCAGGGCCCATAATCCCTCAGAAAAGCCTGACCGCCGCCAGTTGCAAAGGTCCTGGGGTAGCCAGGAGCCCGCCTTCAAATCCACCAAGG